CTTGTCACCACGCCTTACCGTAATTCACTTCCTGGGTCCCACGTAGCAGGAGAGACCAACTCCTGGGAGTTATCCTTGAAGCCCACAGGCCTTGGTGTGTGTGTGTGTGTGTATGTGTGTATGAGTGTGTGTGTGAGTGTGTGGTGTGTGTGAGTGTGCGTGTGTGAGTGTGCGTGTGTGTGTGAGTGTGTGTGTGTGGTGTGTGTATGTGTGGTGTGTGTGTATAGTGTGTGTGTGAGTGTGCGTGTGTGGTGTGTGAGTGTGCGTGTGTGAGTGTGTGGGTATGTGTGTGAATGTGTGTGTGGTGTGTATATGTGTGTGAGTGTGTGTGTGGTGCGTGTGTGTCTGTGTGTGGTGTGTGTATGTGTGCACACGCGCACACACACCACGGTTTAGTGGAACTCTGGCCTTACGCTCTTGCTTCTGTCCTCTAGAACTTGTCTGCCTTTGGGGACCTGACCATTAAGTCGCTGGCAGACATTGAGAAGGAGGTAGGTGCAGGAGGCCCTTCCCCGGGTCCCCCACTCCTCTGTCATTTCCAGTGCGCCCCTCCAGGCCCCGGCGCCGCCTCAGCCCCCTCTCTCCACTCCCCAGTACAACTATGGCTTCGTGGTGGAGAAGACAGCAGCTGCTCGCCTGCCCCCCAGCGTCTCATAGGCCCTGCCTCGGTGTCCCCTGGCCGCCACCTGCCTGGCAAGCATTGCTGGCTGGCACCCTGCTTTCAGCCTGGCCGCATGGATAAGGTCCCTTGGCTGGTGGTGCCGCGGCTGCCTGGGTGGTGCCTTCTCTTCATTTGTCAGCCTTGTGTCTGGAGGCTGTGCGTGCGCAGCAGTAAACACTTCCTGGTACCCACTGTGGTGTGAAGTCTTTGTTACCTTTAAGATTTGTTTTTGTTTTAAGTGTGTGTGTGTGTGTGAATGCAAGTGCTTTTGGAGACCAAAGCTGGAGCCCCAGGTGATTGTGAGCTCCCTGACACGGGTGTTGGATCTGAACTCAAGTCCTCTGTAAAGCCTCTGTTATTTCTGAAGCAGGGTCTCTGTAGTCCAGGCTGGGTTGTGTGGTGCTCGGCCTGGAAGCGGGGTCTTGCGCACCACAGTTGTGCACTCCGCCAGCTGGGGTGCAGCCTCTCAGCCTTAGTTATTTGGCTTTATTTTTTATTTTTAATTTTGGAGTTTTCTGGACATTGGTTTCATGCAGCCCAGATAGGAAGACCATGAACTTAAATTTAATTTTTAAATCTTATGTGTGTTGGTGTTTCACCTGTATGTATGTCTACGTGAGGGTGTCAGCTCCCCTGAGACTGTAGTCACAGCCATGAGCTGCCTTGTGGATGCTGGGAATTGAACCTGGGTCCTCTGGAAGAGCAGCCAGTGGTCTTAACCACTGAGCCAAACTTAAAATTTTAGCTTTTGTTTATTTGTGGGAAGAGGGGCTCCTAGTGCTGTGTGCGGAGGTCAGAGGACAGTTTTCAGGAGCTGGTCCCCTCCTGTCTGTGAGGCACACCTCCATCCCACAGTGAAGCTCCCTCAGCTGAGGAAGCACACAATTCAGTCGTCTCCGGAAGTCCCTAAAACTGAGCAGGTGCACTAGGCCTCCCCCTCCCCAGGTAATGCGAGCAGTAAGGACTGCAGAGAGCAGCCCAGAGAGCTTGGAAACCTGGGAAGGGCACCATCCGGCCAAGCTGCCTGCAGGCTGTGCCGTGAGCTCCAGGTTCCCAGCTCTGTGAGCTGTCCCCATGCTGGGGGGGGGGCAGTTTTGGTGACGCAGCTCTCTGTGAGTCATTTCTGCTCCTGTAGGTGACCCAAATAAAACTCAGTGTTTCATCAAGTTGGTATCGGTTCTTTGGTCTGTGGTTGGTCCCCACCTGGGGTTAGATGTTTGCTCACGACTCCTTGGTGGGGTCACACAACAGCTTCCAGCATGTGGGTCCCGGGTTTGAGCTCAGGTTGACAGGCTTGCCTGCAAGTGAGCCGGCTCACCAGGCCTCCTTAGGGACTCTTAAGTTACAGTTGGAGTTTACCCACAGAAACAGTGATCCCCACTTCATAGTAAGAGCCCTGAAGACTGACAGTGCTTAAAACCCAAGCTGTGTACTTACACCCGTGCAAAGTGGGCTGAGAGCCTAGAGTGGCAGGTGTTGGGGTTTCTGATCACACTGTGAACCCTGAATTTGCATTTGCTTAAGTAAATTAACTCTGGGTCAGGAGGCTGAAGTAGCGCTAGTTGACAGAGAGTAATCATAGAGCACCAAGGGCACCGGAAGTGACAGGGAGACACCAGAAGCGGTAGAGAAGGATTTGGAGTGTCATGGCCTTTTCTGTTTGGCTGAGCAGAAGGATGCTCCCTTCGGGAGAGGCCAGCAAGCCGGGAAGGCTAACCAGGTGCTCACTGAGTCAGCCGGTTTCCACCCAGCCCTCGAATCTTGAGTCTTACTTACAAATGTAAGGATAGAGATTTATTGAAGCTACCTTTAGTGGCGGTGACAGAGCCAGTGCCTTTGGGTACAGAATTCCCACTTGGCGCTGCTGCCAGAGAAGCAGGTGGGTAACTGCGGAGTTACAATTGCTGGTTGAATAGCAGTAGATTAAGTACTTTAAGTAGATTAAGGTGTAGTTAAAACGACAAGCAGACGTGCAGACTGTCTGCAAGACGGTAGACCCTGACAGGAGACCCCGCACCCAGGGCTCGGGACAGTGCGCTCTCACATGTCATCTACATGTTTATTTGAATTAAAGTTTTTGTGCGTATGTATATGTGTGTGCATGTGCATCCCGGAGCCCTGGGGCCAGAAGGAGGCAACAGATCCTGTGGAGCTGGAGTTGCAGGCAGCTCCGCACCCCGGCCTTGGTATGGAAATAGCAGTGCTCTTAATGGCTGAGCCGTCCCTCTCCTTAGGCCCTCCGCCCAGCCTTTGTTTCCCTTTTTCTGGACAAACCATGCTTGCTGAATCTCTGTCACACCTGTTCATCTCAGAGTTAACAGACATGAGGCAGCCCGTTCATGCTTGTCTAAACTTGGGGGTAACGGGAAGTAGCCCTGCTGGTTTGCAGTGTTTGTGGCCAGACCTGTGCCGGTGTGAGGCACCTTTGGAAAAAGCCCTCAGGTTTGTCTGACACCGGAGACGCACACGGTGTCCTTGTGCTTAGAGCTCCAGAGTTTCTGCAGGACGCCTGGGGTCAGCAACAGCAACTCTGGGGAGGCTGCCGCTCGCTCGGGGTAGAGCACAGTGAGCGAGTGAGGCGGTGCCCCTGGGAGATGCAGGCAGAGATCAGGAATGCTTGAAACGCTGTAGGCCAGCCTGAGCTACCCGAGAGCCCGCCTCAAAAATAACAAAGCAACCCAGTGCGCAGGCGCACACTTTAGACCCAGCCCTTTCGAAGCAGAAGCAGGTGGGTCTATCTGTGCGTTCAGGCCAGCCTGGTCTACATAGGACAGCCAGGGCATTGTAGAATATTATATAGAAATTAAATAAAATAATTTAAAAAGTAAAGGAAGAAGTCCAAATGGGAAAGCCAGCCCTGCGTAGACCCCACAGAGGACGTGTGCTCACGGGAGGGGCTGTACCAGCTTGTCCCAATGCATCATGGAAGTCCCGGGTGTCCGGAAGTCTTCCAGCAAGTTTGGGTACTAATACACTTCTCTTTGGCACTCACTGCTTCAGCTAAACCCAGATGGCAGCTACTGCATGAAGTTGGTACTGTGGTGCCCCACTTAGGCTAAGGCAGGAGGATCACCCTGAGTTACAGCAGGTAGCTGAAGGATTATCTCCCTCAGCTAGGACACCAATGACAAACCATTCTGGCAAGGTGAGTCCATTGGCCTGTGTGGTTACAGGAGTGTGGGGGCCCCTCTGTTGTGGGGTGTCCACCAGAGAAGACTGCTGGGACATGTGTTTAAGCGCCGGGGGACAGAGCTGGATTGCACTTAGAGAAGTCAGAGCCAGCACACGCATGTCAAGCTGGGTCAGGAGGGTCTCATAGGAGCCTGGCTAAGCCCTGAAGTCTGTCAATGAGGACATTCAGAGGGGTGTCACTAAGCCTGGACACAGGGATCTGGGGATGATCCCGACCCTACCTGCTGCTGCGGGGCTGCCAGGCCCCGCCCAGGCTGCTGTGGCGCCAGCCACCAAATCTGATCTCACTTGGAAGCAAAAGTCGTTTGTTCTCCCTGGTCTCCTTCCCAGCTGGCCCGGAACCACCCGGGGTCGCTTTTCACAGCACCAGCGGGTACTAGAGACCTCCGGTGACCTGTGTTTGTCAGTGAGTTGAAGGAACTAGTGTGCCCTGAACCACACACCTTGGCATTTGCCAAGTGTCCAATCTGATGGCAAGGAGAGGTCTCTGGGCCGGTGCTGGGGTCCCACAGGTCCTGCCTGGGACACATAGCTCTACGTGGCTCCAGCCAGGGGTCTCCCACACCCCTCCAGGCCCAAAGCCCCACTGAGCTCTCACAATGACCCTGAGCAGTGGTTTAACCTCTCTGTGCCTCAGTTTCCCCATCTTAGCAATAAGATGTCCTGTTCTCCACCTCATGTGACCAGAGGCATTACATCGTTTTTCTTTTGTTTGTTTGCTTTTCTGTTTGAATCTCATGTAGCCCAGGCTAGTCTCAAACCCAACATGTGCCCAAGTGTGACCTTGGACTCCTTGTCGGTTCTCCCTGCTCCAGCCTCCGGGTGCTGGGATCACAAGTCTGCATGACCACGCTTGCCCAGCAAGGACTGCTTTGTCCGTTTTGTGCAGTCAGGGTCTCACTACGCAGCCCAGGTTGGGTTAGAACTTGCAACGATCCTCCTGCCTCAGCCACCTAGGTGCGGACTGTCCCTGCTGGCGCTGTGAGGTGAACCCGTATAGAAAGTGACTGAGGGTGACTTAGCCAGGTGTGGTGGCATTCAGGCACTCAGAGACAGAGGCAGGAGGATCACACCCTCAGCGCGGTGGAAGTCCCGCCCCTTAGCAGCTTTTATCACCATAGAAGCGACTGAGACTGGACTCGAACCAGGAGTTTAAACATGGAACCTGAGCCAGCGCAGGCCCTTGTTTTCCTTAAGTGGCTGCTATCAAACAGCTAAGACACGTGACTAATAAGTACTGAGGGCCTACTGTGTGCAGCTTCGGAGGAAAGCGAGGCACAGCAACGAGACCACTCAGCCTTGAGCCCACAGGAGACCCCAGCCACCCCGAGCGCCCCCCACCCATGAGAGCTCCAATGTCCACCGCTCCCCAGGGAGTCCCCGGAGTGCAGGTCTAAGACGGAGCCTTCTTCCAGGAACAGGGGGTGGGGCAACTGGACCTGGGTGCAAGTCCAGGTTCGGGTGCTCAGAAATGGGAACCCTGGTGAGTCACAGCCCCTGCCGAGGCCTCCGTTTCCTCATCTGTGAAATGGATGGAGAACCTCTGAGAGTCAGAGCCTAAACCCAACCCTCCCCCCATTACAAAAGAACCCGACTCCCCTGCATCAGGGTCTGCCCAGCGGGATGCAAGAAAAGGTCTCAAAGACCCACCCCTGGCCTCGGTATCCCTCTTAGCAAGGAGGCAAAGGCTGGAGCAGTGGCAACTGTTTTGCATCATGAGGCCACCATGGCTACAGTAGCAGATGCAGTAGTATCTCTGTGTGTCATCATCCTGACTGCCCCAACTGCCAGCTCACACCGGCGTAGCATCCGTTCCCATGTCCAGCGGTTTGCGGCCCAGCATGCTATGCATCTCCTGAGTGACCCTGTCCCAGTGGCCCCTGTCAGCCAATTGTGTCTGAGGCCGCTGGAAAGCAGGCAGACTGACTTCACTGGCTCTCCCCAGGACTGTGGATGCGATATCAGTGGCCATGAGCCCAGGGGGGTCCCCAGGCTCCTGGGAGGGGGCAGAGAGGGTCTGGCGATGGGTACCCTGCTGGGGCTGAGCCCCGCTGCCAGCTTTGGAGTCTTCTGGAGGCCGGGTCGGCTCATCTTCAAAGGACGGTGGAGGCAGTTCATGGAGACCCCGGCGAGTGGCCCGAACAGCCCTGAGCAGGGTGTGAGTCATCACCGCCACCAGGATCAGGGCACCTGAACCCAGGACCGATGCAGCCGCTGCACCTGCCTCAATCTCGAAGAGCAGCAGGACATACATGGCCAGTGCTGAGGAAGGAAAGGCTCACTTATTCACTCAGCAAACATGTGCTCTCCAAGCCTCAAACACAAAGCAACAGCAGGAAACCCTGGGCCAGAGCAAGGAGGCGCACCACTGGAAGCCACAACACCATCACGGCCTCTCCAAATAAGGGCACCTGCCAGGGGTGGTGGTGCATGTTGAAGGAGGTTGAAGCAGGCAGATCTCTGAGTTCAAGGCCAGCCTGGTCTACAGAGTGAGTTCCAGGACAGCCAGGGACATATGGTAAGACCCCATCCTCAAAGCAAAGAAACAAACAGCAAAAATGACTAAACACAGGGTTCCGTGGTTAAGCGAACTTGGGTTTGGTTCCCAGCACTGCACCGTGGTTCCTGAGGGACTCCAGTTCTGAGCTCAGGGATCAAACAGGTACACAGACAGACAGACAGACAAGCAGACAGGTACACAGACAGACAGACAAGCAGACAAACAAGCAGACAAGACACCTATAAACACTAGGTGGGGACACCCCAAGGCCTCACAGCCTGAAGGATACAGACTGGACTTTACTATTTACTTTTTTCATTTTTTACTGTTTCTGTCACTGTGTATGCGCAGTGCACCACGTGCACATGTGCAGGTCAGATTCTCTGGAGTGTGGGTCCGAGGAACTGTGCTAACAGTCATTAGTGAGCCAGCCCTAAAAAAAATGGGGCTTCTGGGGCTAGAAAGATGGCTCAGAGGTTAAGCGCACTGGCTGCTCTTCCAGAGGTCCTGAGTTCAATTCCCAGCACCCACATGGTGGCTCACAACTGTCTATAATGAGATCTGGTGCCTTCTTTTGGCCTGCAGGCAGAACACTGTATACATAATAAATAAATCTTTTAAAAATGGGGCTTCTTATTCTTTTTTTTTTTTTTTTTTTTTTTTTTTTGGTTTTTACGAGACAGGGTTTCTCTGTATTGTTTTGGAGACTGTCGGTCCAGCCCGGCCTCGAACTCACAGAGATCCGCCTGCCTCTGCCTCCCGAGTGCTGGGATAGTAAGTACTCTTAACCACCGAGCATCTCTTCAGTTCTCTGCCAGAGGTCCCTCAGCGGTACAGCTCTTGTCTACGGTGCCCTAGATCCCAGGTTCCAGCCACAATGTGGTAAAACGCAAAACCAAGTCCTTTCAGGGCAGAGCGCTTGCTTGGCATGCATGAGGTCTGGGTGTGGCTCTGTCTGTCACCCCACACTGTGAGGGCAGGAGGATCAGGAAACCCGGCTCATCCTTGGCTACAAAGAGAGTTTGAAACCAGCCAGGGCTATGTGAGACTCTCTAAAAAACAAGTAAGAAGAAGCAAAGGTCAAAACAGGCTGGGGGACGACTCCGGGTTAAGACTCCTGGCTGTTCTTGCAGAGGAGTGGTTCCCAGAGCCCATGCAGCTCAGAACTGCCTGAAGCTGCGGCTCGGGGGGATTTATGGTTTCTGACCTCTGTGGACACCGCATACACCTGTCCTCCCAAGGCTGGGCAGGTAAAAGCAAGACCAGAAGTCCAAGGCCAGCGCTGGCCACAGGCGACTCCAGGCCAATCTCGCCTACGTGATCAGCACTAATAGTGAATGGATGGTGAATATTAATGGAGAAGCATCAGGGACACTCATCACCCTTGATCAATGGGGAAACTGAGGCACAGAGCATATCCACGACGAGGGCTGGAGCAGCAACAGCCTGAGCTCAGGCTGACTGGCCCCAGAGACCTGTGTGCACCCCCCTGCCCCTGCCCGCCACACACCTGCTAAGTAGACGGAGACCCCACAGCAGAACAGGCCGAGCGCGGAGTGCCTGAGGAGGCGGCAGTCGTACAGAAACCAGTCGGACCTGAGGGAGGGCCACAGGAAGAGAGACAGAGACCCAGTGACACCAGGCCAGAGTCTAGTAAGCTGCTGGCCCTCACCCCTCCACCTGCGGACTCTACCCAACCGCCCACCCGCCCACTCGTCCATCACCACCGCGCACCCGGCCACCCGGCCACCCATCGGCTTGAATCTCCACGGTCCCACCGGCGTCAGAGCGCTGTGAGAGAACAGAGTCAACGAGGGACAAGGAGGGCACCCCTCTGCTCCAGTGGGGTCACCGACACCTGCACCCCGCGCTCAGGGCCTGAGCAGGCGACCCCCGGCCGGGCTGTGGCTGCTGATTCACACCCGGCGGCCCTGCCCTCTGCAGCTCCGAGATTGGCACGTGGCCCCGAGACGCACCCCGAGCACCAGCGCGGGAAGGAACGGGAGCCTCAGTTTCCCCCTCCGCAGGCAGAGGCGGCGGCGTCCTACCTGCCCGGCCCCGGCCCACGAGCCAGCTCGGCGCCCAGGTGTCCGCAGAGCGCGGCGAGCAGCAGGCAGCCGAGCCCGAGGACCTGCGTCAGCGCAGCCAGCGCAGTCGCCAGCGGCAGCAATGCCCCAGCCGCAGCTTCGGGTAGCCCAGCGTCGGGGTCCAGCTCGGGGTGCAGCCCGGCGGTGTGCTCACCCCTCAGCTCGGCGCGCCCCGCCTGGAGCTGGAACAACAGCTGCGCAGCCAGCGCGACCAGCACGGCGGCTGGGATGCCCAGCAGGGCCATCGCGGCCAGCACCCGGCCTCCGTACGAGCGGCCCATAGCCCGGGCCTGGGGTGGAGAGAGCGAGGGAGGGAGGCGGCGGGGGTCCTGGGGTGGAGAGAGCGAGGGGAGGGTCCTGGGGTGGAGAGAGCGAGGGGAGGGTCCTGGGGTGGAGAGAGCGAGGGGAGGGAGGCGGCGGGGGTCCTGGGGTGGAGAGAGCGAGGGGAGGGAGGCGGCCCGGGGGTCCTGGGGTGGAGAGAGCGAGGGGGGGAGGCGGCGGGGGTCCTGGGGTGGAGAGAGCGAGGGGAGGGTCCTGGGGTGGAGAGAGCGAGGGGAGGGAGGCGGCGGGGGTCCTGGGGTGGAGAGAGCGAGGGGAGGGAGGCAGCCCGGGGGTCCTGGGGTGGAGAGAGCGAGGGGGAGGCGGCGGGGGTCCTGGGGTGGAGAGAGCGAGGGGAGGGAGGCGGCGGGGGTCCTGGGGTGGAGAGAGCGAGGGGAGGGTCCTGGGGTGGAGAGAGCGAGGGGGGGAGGCGGCGGGGGTCCTGGGGTGGAGAGAGCGGGGGGAAGGGTCCTGGGGTGGAGAGAGCGAGGGGAGGGAGGCGGCGGGGGTCCTGGGGTGGAGAGAGCGAGGGGAGGGTCCTGGGGTGGAGAGAGCGAGGGGAGGGAGGCGGCGGGGGTCCTGGGGTGGAGAGAGCGAGGGAGGGGAGGCGGCCCAGGGGTCCTGGGGTGGAGAGAGCGAGGGAGGGAGGCGGCGGGGGTCCTGGGGTGGAGAGAGCGAGGGGAGGGTCCTGGGGTGGAGAGAGCGAGGGGAGGGAGGCGGCGGGGGTCCTGGGGTGGAGAGAGCGAGGGAGGGGAGGAGGCCCGGGGGTCCTGGGGTGGAGAGAGCGAGGGGAGGGTCCTGGGGTGGAGAGAGCGAGGGGGGGAGGCGGCGGGGGTCCCGGGCGCCACAGGGGCTCTAGACCAGGGCCCCGAGCGCTAGTGCGGGATAGGGGAAAACTGCGCGGAAACTTGGGGGAGAGTGCGTTGTCTCCGCTCCGGCCGGGCTCCGCCCCCCCCCCCCGGGTGTGGGGCGGGGGAGACGGGAGGGGCGCTGGCGGGGAGGCGGGGCCTGTGGCTGAGGGGCGGGGCGGGGCGGGGCTGAAGAGGACGGGGATCCCAAGAGACCGGTCTTCCACGGGGTGGGGCGGGGCTCAGCTGCCGCAGGCAATGATGGGTGGGACCGCGGGTGAGGGGCCAGAAAAGGGGGTCTTGCAGGGCAGAGATGCAGGGCTTCAGGTGCGGGGCGGTGCCCGGAAATGGACGGGTCTGGGAGAGGGAGCGGAGGGGCGGAGCCAGGGGCGGGAGCCATTTGGGTCTCCCCACCCTAACGGGCGATTTTGAAGGTTTACTAGATAGAGAGGGATGATAAAACGTTTATTTTATGTGTGTGAGGGTCTGGCCACAGGTACATCTGTGCGTGCAGTGCTTGCCGAATACCTGTGGAGACCACAAGAGGGCGTGGGCATCGTCTGCAGATGGATGTGGGCCACCACGTGGGTCCTGGGGACTGAGCCTCCATCTGCAAGAGCAGACATGCTCTTACTCACGGAGCCCTCTTCCTATATTAAATGTGTATATACTAACACAGGCCTGTCGTGGAGACAGCCTGACCTAGAAGACACTGTCTTTAAGAGTAAACAGAGTGGTGTTGCACGCCTTTAATCCCAGCACTCGGGAGGCAGAGGCAGGCGGATCTCTGTGAGTTCCAGGACAGCCTCTAAAACAATACAGAGAAACCCTGTCCCGAAAAAAAAAAAAGTAAGCAGAGGGACTGGCTCGATGGTTAAGAGTTCAGTTCCCTGCCGGTCAGGAGGTTCGCAGCTGCTTGTAACTCCAGGGCCAGGGGACCCTATACACCCTTTTCTGGCCTCTGGTCTTGCCTTCAGGTGACCATACGCCACCCCAAGCATATAATAAAATGGAAAAATTAGGCCGGTGGTGATGGCGCTTGCCTTTAACTCCAGCACTCAGGAGGCAGAGGCAGGAGGGACTCCGAGTTCAAGGCCAGCCTGGTCTACACACTGAGCCCAGGACGGCTGGGCTGTGTTGAGAGACCCTGCCTCAGAAAACAAGACAAAGCAATTCTCTCATGTCTGCAGCGTAAGGTGCCACCATAGGTGTCATCTCTCCATCACCGCCTGGAAGCTTGCAGGCCACCCTGCTCCCTGCGTGTCTGCCCGTGTCCTTGCCAGAGCACCTTTCAAACGATTACTTTTCAAGACAGGGTTTCTCTCTGTAGCCCTGGCTGTCCTAGAACTCGCTCTGCAGACCAGGCTGGCCTCGAACTCACAGATCTAAGAGTCTTTGCCTTCTGGGTGCTGGCATTTAAGGCATACAGCACCACTGCCCTGCTACTCAAATGATTACTTTCGACAAGTTGAGACAAAACTTTCATAAAGGTATCCATTTTTTTATTCTGTGGTTTGTAGAAAATTTACAACAGAATCCACCTCTGCCTGGGAACACTGTCTCTTTAAGACCGCCCTTCCCTGCCTGTGTCTGGCTGCTGTCACTCAAAGCCACATGTTACAGCCTGTGTCCTGCTTTATCCTGTCCATGGCTGAGCAACTCTGGGCCTGCCCACTTCAGTTGGTCTGTTGGTGTACATTTGGGGTTCATCTACCTCTTGGCAAATGTCAGTCACAATGCAGGTATAGGACCCCTGACCCCAGGAGTGAAGTTCTATGAGTCAACTTGCTGATACCTATGCTAACTCCATTTTACTGTTTGTGCGTGGAACTACACAGATTTTGCATTCCCATAAGGGGTGAATGATGGTTTTTTTTTTGTTTGTTTTTTTGTTTTTTTGTTTTTTTTGGTTTTTCGAGACAAGGTTTCTCTATGGCTTTGGAGGCTGTCCTGGAATTAGCTCTTGTAGACCAGGCTGGCCTCGAACTCACAAAGATCCACCTGCCTCTGCCTCCCAAGTGCTGGGATTAAAGGTGTGCGCCACCAACGCCCGGCTGAATGATGGTTTCTAATTTTCTTTTTTAACTAATGTTCAACATTCCAGCCGGGTGGTGATGGTGTACGCCTTTAATCCCAGCGCTCTGGAGAAAGAGACAGATGGATCTCTGAGTTTGAGACCAGCCTGGTCTATAAAGCGAGTTCCAGGACATCCAGGGCTACACAGTGAAACCCTGTCTCAAAAAACAAAATAATAATCATAATAATTTAAACTTTCAATTCGTTAGTTCCTGTGGGGGACACGGATAGAGGTCAAAGGACAGCTTGTGGGCGCGGGCTCTTTCCTTGCCCCATGTGGGTACCCCGGATCGAGCTCAGGCAGTCAGACGCGGTGGGTACCCCGGATCGAGCTCAGGCAGTCAGACGCGGTGGGTACCCGGATCGGGCTCAGGCAGTCAGACGTGGTGGCCAGCAGGTATCCTTATTCAGTCTTGAGCCTCGGTTTCCCCCCCTACTCCAAGTTGGGGGCGGAGGTGAACGAGCCGCTTGCGGAGTCATGGCTCCTCAGGTCAGCAGCCTTCTCTACCCCAGAAAGCCAGGTTTGCCAGCATCCATGGACGCGCTTGGCGCGGGAGGGGGTTTCGTCTCATTTGCACGCCAGGGGGCGCCGTAAGCACAGCGAAACCGTTGGCATCGGCTCTCGGCGCTTAGACAGAGGGAGGTGCCGGCCCAGGGGTGGCGCTAGACAGAGGCTTTCTCGTTGAGACCGGGTCTTGTAGCCTAGGCCGTTCTAGAGCCCTCTATGTAGCAGAAAATGGCCTTGAACTCCAGATCCTTCTTCTGCACACATCTTTGCTTTCTTTTTCCTTTATTTTTGTGTCGTTATTTTGCACAAGACTTAAAATAGTATTTTTGTTCCCTATACTCTTTTTCAAGTGTGTGGTCGAGCTCGTGCCACCACGAGCCTGCGGAGGCCAATAGCTTGCGAGATTTTGCTTCTCCCTTCCATCTTGTGTGTTCGGGGAGTGGACTCGGCTTGTCAGTCTTGACAGCGCATGCCATTCCGAATGCACCGATTCATCTCGCCAGCCCTGCGCCAGCGTCCAGAGCAGGCCTGCACCACAAAGGCGGTTTGCAGGAGGGGTTTTGGTCTGTTTTGAACCGGGGTTTTGTGGCTGGGGTTCTATGGGTAGAAAGCTTGCTTAGCATGCACTAAAAACTCCTGGTACCGTGCCCAGGAAGGTACCCACGCTCTTGCAATGACTACGGGTGACTTGGAAGAGGAAACCTGTCTTTCTTTGGCTGCCATTCCAGCTACTCCTTAGGCTGAGGCAGGAGCGTGGTGAGTTCAAGGCCAGTCTTGATAGGGAACATCCTGAACGTGCAGAAGGCTAATGGGAACCCCGCCCCTGGGGAGGGTCACTGGAGCCCCGCCCCTGTACCCGGATTTCCCAGGGGGTCACCAGAGCTCTGCCCCTGCACCCGCATCCCCCTGGGCGTCCTGGCCGCTCCGGGCCCGGCCCCGGCCGGCATCCCGGTCCACGCGGTACTTGCGGCGGCGCAGGGGCTCGGTGATGCTGCGCCGCACCGGCTCGTCCAGGTCCTCGGGCTGCAGGAAGCTGCGGTCCAGCAGCTCAGCCGCCTCCTGCCAGTTGGCGAAGCAGGCAGGCCCCAGGCGTTGGATCTCGTCCGTGGCGTCGCTCGTCAGCACGTCCCCGCCCGGCTTGAGCACCACGACAGCTGGCAGGCGATGCACGGAGAACTGGCGACCGAGGTCCCTGAGGGGAGCGCGTGCGCGCATCAGCCCTCATCGCGACCCGCAGCTCCCGGGGCGCACTGCCCCCGACGGCCTCCCCTGACTCCCAGGGCCTTTGCACAGGCTCCTCACGCCCTCCCTCTCCTCTGCCGCCTGAACCCTTTAGGTGTCCACCTACTGTGTGTGTGCACCGTCTTCCTGCTGTGTGAGTGTGTGCACTGACTTCCTGCTGTGTGTGTGTGTGTACCATCTTCCTGCTGTGTGAGTGTGTGTGTACCGTCTTCCTGATGTGTGTGTGTACCATCTTCCTGCTGTGTGAGTGTGTGTGTGTGTGTGTACCATCTTCCTGCTGTGTGAGTGTGTGTGTGTACCATCTTCCTGCTGTGTGAGTGTGTGTGTACCATCTTCCTGCTGTGTGAGTGTGTGTGTGTGTACCGTCTTCCTGATGTGTGTGTACCATTTTCCTCCTGGGGTCACGGATTTCAAACAGCCAGGCCAGCTGAGGAATGGAATGAAGGAAATGGAATGAATGAATGTATGCTGTGAAAGACTATTAAATACCATGGGGCAGATATTTGAAGTGAGATTTTTTTGGATGGGGTTTCTGTGTAGCCCTGGCTGTCCTAGAATTCGTTTTGTAGACCAGGCTGGTCTGGAACCCACAGAGATCCGCCTGTCTCTGCCTCCTGAGTGCTGGGATTAAAGGCGTGCGCCACCAGCTCAGTTGAGGTTCTTAGTTTTTGTTGTTGGGTTTTTGTTTTGTTTTTGAGGCCCAGGCTGGCCTTATGGTTATATAGACAAGGGTGACCTTTGTAAGCAGTGGTGGCACAAGCCTTTAATCCCAGCTGTGGGGGGGGGGCAAGATGTGGGCAGATCTCTGAGCTCAAGGCCAGGCCAGCCTAGCCCACAGAATGAGTTTCAGGACAGCCAGGGCTACACAGAGGAACCCTGTCTAGAAATAAAACAAACAGATAAAGAAGCGACACTATACTCCCGATAATGGGGTGATGGTGTGTGTCTCCGCTCCTGGGTTATGGGGTGGGACTGGGGCGGAGACTCAGGGCTTCAAGTCTGACACACAAGCACCGTCCACTGAAAGCACAGACCCCGTTTGCTCTACTTGTTTTCGGTGCGCGTTTGCCTCCCTGTATGCACCACCTGTGTGCAGTGCCCGCAGGCACCAGGAGAGGGCGCCAGTGTCCGCAATCTGGAGTTATAGATGGTGTGAGCCTCCAAAACGTGGGTGCTGGGAACTAAATACAAGTCCTCAGCAACAGCAGCGGCGCTCTTGACCTCTGAGTCTTCTCTGCAGCCTGCTCTACACCGCCCTCACGGTCAGTCTGTGTAGAAGGTGGGCCTTAAACTCCGGATCCTCCCACCTCAGCCTCCCGAGTGTTGGGGTGAGAAGCCTGCTTGCCACACCGGGATCTGGCTTCCTGAACTTTGTCCCAGATAGCAGGTTCCTCTATGACACTTTTATGTCTTCTCTGGGAGGCTCATGGGGGAGGGGACTCACTTGATTACACAGGGCGGTAAGTGGTGTCCCAACCCTGATCATGATGTGTGGAATGGGGCCCTCATGATCAGATCCTTGATCTTGTGCAAGGAAGTCATTGAAATGGGTGAAAGGTCAGACAGTCAGCTGCTCATTACAGACTCCATAGCTCACTCCCCCCCCCGCAGCGCAGAGTCGGGGCAACCAGGGGCACATGGCGGGTCGTGGCTCCGGGAGCAGGGAACTGGGTGGCCAGACGTTGCTACATTGAATCTCTCTCAGAACTGAGATGGAACTCAGGGCTTCTGATTTTATCATTGGGAGCACAAATGAGAAGCTGGGTGTGGTGGTGTGTGCTTGACATCCAGCACTTAGGGAGCTGAGGCAGGGGGATTACTGTGAGTTCCAAGCCAGAACACCAAGCAAAGTTAGAAGGTGACTCAGAGGGTCAAATATTTGCTGTACAAGGATAAGGACTTGCGCTCTGGCCCCAACAGCCCAAAAGTAGGGTGGATGTTGTTGTCAAGGGATCCCCCACGATGCAAGACTCAACCAGTCTGTGAGCTCAGGGCTGTGTGATCCGGACTCTAGTGGAGCAACTGACGCCAGCCTTCCCCCACGCTGGGGAGCATACAGCAACACGCACCTGCACACGGCAGTGCATGGAACAACACATGCTTGAGGGCAGGCACATGTGTGCACACACACACACATGTGCGCATGCACACAGGCACACACACATGCACATGCACACATACACACATGCACACACACAAGCACACACACACATGGGCACACAACACACACACACACACACACTTGTCTGTGTCTTGAAGCTCCTGGGGGCGCCTGGGGGTTGGGTCCCTTCTCTTACTTTCATGTTTGTGTCCTACAGCTCCCGGTGAGGAGGGTCCTCTCTCTCGCTTTTACGTTTCTGGTAGGTTTGTTGGTTTTGGAGCAGGGTCACCCCACATAGCTCAGGCTAGCCTCAAACTCGGGATAGTTCTGACTCGCCTTCCTTGTGTTGATACTGCAGACGCGCACCCCCACATCGGGCTTACTTTAGGCGATGCAGTGGATAGAGGTATGACTTCACCGACAATGGACAACCATGAGCTACAGTAGCCATGTTTTTAGAGCTGGCCTTGAACTTGTATCCATTCTCTTGCCTCATCTCCAAGTTAGGATTGCAGGCTCCTGCGACTACCTCTAGCTGCCATCATGTGATTTCCTGACCCTTTGCTTCATATCTGTCCCCTTCAGTGGGCTGTCACGGACGAGGGATGGACCCCCTCTTCTGCGCTAGCTTCTAGTACCGGGACCGTAACCCTGGCTTGCCTTCCACGGAGACACCTTCTCCAGGAAGCCCTCCCTGGCCTTCCGTGGGGCCTCACCTCCTTAGGTCGTCATGGAACGGCAGGAAGAGCCACTTCTCAGGCATGTCCCTGAGGAACAGGTCCTGTTGCTCCTCCGTGGGATCCTGGGACACGTAGACCAGGGCCAGCTGTGCGGCCCGCAGCACGTAGAACTCATCAGTGAGTCGCACGAAGAAGTCTTTGAGGACCGGGGCGAAGGCCTGGCACTGGGGACAGGCCCCGGCGCCGAAGAACAGCAGCACCAGACGGTTCTCCAGCCGGCGGCTCAGCTCCGCCTCGGTCTCCACCTCGTCCTGGTCGCTGTTATTCCTGATCAGAACGCGGCCAGAGAAGAGGGTTACCATGGCGTGTGAGGACTGGGGACACGGGAGAGAGATCTGGTGTGGCCTGCTTACTGGGGCCCCTAACCCCAGGAATAGGAGCCTCAGAAGCCAGATTAGCCTCTAATCCTCCTGTAAGACGACCTCTACGGGACCAGCATCAGTTTGAGGGGGTAGGGAGGCCTCACGGACCTTCAGCTGAGAGCCAAACTGCTTGCAACCCTGTGAGCCCAGCACTGAGGCAGGGGGATCACCGCAAGTTCCAGGACACCCTGGGACAAAAATGAGAGGGGTTGGGGTACGCCTGGGAGTGGAGCCCCTGCCTAGAACCCGCCCCCACAGTGAGGGGGCCAGGGGCGTGGCTCAGGGGGGTGGAGTGACAGCCTGCAATCCCCCAATGAGGGGCTGGGGGCGTGGCTCAGGGGTGGAGCTCCTGCCTAGAATCTCCTTAGTGAGGGGGCCAGGGGCGTGACTTAGGGGGTGGGGTGACACCCTGCAATCCCCCAATGAGGGGCTGGGCGTGATTCGGGGTCTGGCTTCCATCTGTAACACAGTAAAGCAAACAAAACAATAAACTCCAGTAATGAAGGGATATGCTTGACACAACGAAAGCAATTCACTTCTAGGCAAAAATGTTTGGTAAAAAAACGAAACAAATACTGTAGACTCCTCCCTTCTCTATCCCCTCGCATCACCCAGACTACTCCGGAAACTCAGAGGCTTCCCACACTCCCCTTAACTATCAAAATCCAAATAAGCTTTTCCAAGGTGAGTGTGTCACTCAAGGCAGCTGCCATCTGTGTTCAGGGCTTGGACAAGCTCCTGTACAACTCCCGAGGCCTTTGTTGTTGTTACCGTTTTTTTTTTACGTTCAGGGCTTGGACACGCTCCTGTACAACTCACGAGGCCTTTGTTGTTAAGTTTTTAAGAACTGGTCTCTCGTAGACCAGGTGGTCCTCAGATTTACTATGTAGCCAAGGTTGACCCGAGCACAGGATCCTCCTCCTGAGTCAGGGTGAGAATCCTGGCGTCTGCAAACATGACAGAGCACGGAGAGGGCACCGAAGGTCGGACAGACATTTATTGTCTGCCGCAGGAAGGGAGAACACAGGATCATCCCAAGGCAAGGTTCTGAGGACTCCGGCTGCTTCCTCAGGGGCCCGCTCAGAGCATGTTTGATTGTTTTGGTCACAGATGCCACAGTGCACTTATGAGAACCCTGTCCTAGGGATCCAACTCATGTCATCAGCCTTGGTGACAAGCGCCTTTACCTGCTGAGCCCTCTCTTCTGGCCTGCGCATGCTCGGTTGAAGGTGACAGCTTAGAAAAGATGGAAATGTTGGGGGTGACAGTGACCTCGCTGAAAGCCAAAGCCAAAGGGAGGAAGCATGTGTGACGCTCAGCTTGCCTCATCAGAAAGGACAGTGACGGTGGTCAGCTCTGGCTGTCACCAACACCGCTAGCTCTACACTGTCCTTCCATCTCCGGGGTCTCTGTATCCCACTGTAGTCCTCTTGTGTAGCCAAGGACAACCTGGGACTTCCTGTGTGACAGCCTCGTTTACGGGGTGGGGGCACCGGGCACGGAAGCCAGGCTTCCTGCATGCTTTTTCTTCATTTTTCTCTTTTTAAAATTTTACAAGACAGGGTTTCCCTGTAGCTTTGGGGACTGTTCTGGAACTCACTCTGGAGACCAGGCTGGCCTGGAACTCCCGGAGATCCGCCTGCCTCTGCCTCCCGAGAGAGCTGGGATTAAAGGCGGCGCCACCACCGCCCGGCTCCTGCATGCTAAGCAAGCTTGCCCGGGCTGAGCGCCTTCTACCTCTTCGGCTCTGCCAGATGGGCACTTTCTGGGTCCCGGCTCTCTCACCCTCAGAAGCCTCCCTCCTCACTCTGCACAACACGGGGACTAGAGGCAAGCCTTTATTTGTATTTATTTTTCTTATTTATTTATTTAGTTGTTCTCTTGCCGATTAATTGTGTTCCAGTGCGGGGAAGCCGGAAAATAACTTTTGGGAGTTCTCTTCCACCGTGGGGATCCTGAGGGTCAAACAGAAGTACTTGCTAGCCTGCTGCCAACCTTCCGGACATTGGGACTGAAGGCCGGAGCAGGTGCTCAGAATCCGACGAGGGGTCAGTTCCCTGCAGACTAGGAGAAGAGGAGGGGAGGGGAGGAAGGGGGCGGGAGGCACCGGATGGCTGGAGGAGGAAGTAGGGCAAAGGGCACAGGAGATGTTCCAGGACTATGGAAACAGGAGGGGCCTGAGAAAGGAGGGCAGGCGCCAGGGCTGAATCCCAGACCAAGGTGGTGGGCCTGCGGCAGCGCAAGGTGTCTACCTGTAAAATGGGCGATCGCGGTGGAGGGGGCGAGGCAGCTCTGGAGACTGGCCCTTGTCGACCCCCGGCTGGCCGGTTCGGGATCTGCAGCAGCCCCCATCCCACCACCCACCTCCCCGGGACCAGTGGCAACTGCGGGCGGGGGTGGGGCCGCGCCTGCCCAGCCTTGGCCTTCCAGTGGCTCTGGAAGCCGGCCCTGGCTGGCTTCCTCCCAAGGAGAGCTGTGGGAAGGTCGGCCAAGCCGGGCAGAAAACAAGCGAGCCGGCAGGGTGGGTGGGGGGCGTGGGAGGGCGGCTGGGAGGGCCGGGGCAGAGGCGCGCGGGCCGCTGTGCAGCGAGCAGTGCGCGGGGCCGCCAAGGACCCGCCAAGCGCTCAAGTCCCCGTCCAGGCCTCCCACCGGAGCTTCGGTGACGGCCCGCGAGGCCCGGGGGTCTGCAAGCCGGAGCAGGTCAGCGGGGCAGCAGGGAGGAGGCGCCCCGGCAGGGGGCTGGGGACAGGGGCGCCTCCGGATGGGCGCCGAGGACCGCGGGGTGCAAACAGGGCTCGAGGAGCGCCTGCCCCGGGGAGGAGTAAAGGATCCTGGGGAGCAACAGGGTTTCTGGGGAGCAGAAGGGCTCGTGTCCGGAAGGACGGGGACCGAGGCGCGTCTGGCACGTCCCTGGGGTTCTGGGATGAGGCTTGGCAGGGTTTCGCGGGGGCTCCTTATCTGAAGGCCGAGGCTTCTGGGCCCCGGGGTGTGGGTTTTGACTCTCTGGGAGCCTGGAATGCGGAGAAGCCCCGGGGCCCGGATCTAGGACGAGCTGGATCAAGCCGGCTCCAGCACGGGCGGGCCCTGGGCGCCTCGGCCCCGGGGGCGCGGAGCTTGGAGACCTTCTCGGTTTACGCGCGCCGCAGCCACGCCCCCTGGACCACGCACGGCGCGTCCCCAGCACCTGCGCGTTCTCGTCACACGCTGGGACGCGGCGCTCCCCTTCCCCTCGCCCGCGCTTGGTTGCCATGGAGACTGGTAGGTAACGGGGGGCGGGGGTCGCTCTAGCCTGCGAGTCTCTTTGGCCGCGGGCTCTCTGGCCCGCTCGTCCTCTCTATGGTTCAGGCCTCCGGAAGGGGGTCGGCTTGCGCGGGCGGTGTGAGGGCCTGGGAGCGTTACGCGGCAGGGAAGAGGGTTGGGGGCGCCAGGCGCTGCGTGGGTCGCACGGACCCGGCCTTCCCGTGAGCCTTGACTGACAAGGGCTGAAGGGGGCGCGGGAGGCCCAGGTAGAATCTGGGTCCCGAATGTCAGGATAGACTAGGGGCTGGGGGCGGGCCCGCGCCTGGGGGCGGGGCTAGGCCTCTCCCTGGGGGCGGGGCCCGGCTCCGGGCGGGTGCGTTCGTGCCTGTGGGCGGGACCGTAGGCCTCACCTGTAGGCGGGACTTGGGGGGAAGCGTGCGCTGGGGGCGGAGCCACAGCCTCATCTGGAGGAGGAGCCTCGGTCGGGTTTCGGGGTTTTGATCTGAGGCTCCCAGTTGTGGGCGGAAATAGAGGCCTCAGCTGGGGGCGTGGTCGAAGGATCAGGGTTAGTTAGGGAACAGGTCTGAGGCAGCAAAAGCTTGAGGACAGCATGTGAATGTTGGGACACGGGACGGGGTTGGGCGACATGGGGGCGTGGCCTGACTGCAGAGGGTCCAGGGGTGCCTGGGGTACGGAGGCGACCCCAAGCCCAGCGGCGGTCGGGGCGGCTAGCCGCGTGGTCAAGGTGTGGGCGGGGTCTGTCATTGAGGCAGAGATTCAATAACAGGGGGCGGGTCGGAGGGGTGGGCGGGGCAGGGGCGGGGCCGGTTCTTAGTAAACGTCTTCGGGTTGGGCGACAGCTGGAGGAGAGGCGGCGGGGGCGGGGCCAGGACGCGGCTGGGGGCGGGTCCGCGGCCTCAGCTCTGTGCTCCGCAGGATGCGGGCTCCGGGAGCGGGCACGGCCTCGGTGGCCTCGCTGGCGCTGCTCTGGCTGCTGGGGCTTCCGTGGACCTGGAGCGCGGCGGCGGCCTTCGGTGTGTACGTGGGCGGCGGCGGCTGGCGCTTCCTGCGAATCGTCTGCAAGACGGCGAGGCGGGACCTCTTGTAAGTAGACGGGGCTGGAGGCAGGGCCCGCGGGTGCCTGGCGCTCGGGCGGGCGGCGAGAGGGCCCGCGCGTGGCCCGGGTGGCTTTCGGGGGGCTGGGGCGGGGCCCTGCAGGACACAGCGGGAGTTGTGGGGGGGGCGGAGTCCGCACTGGGACTGGGCGGGGCCGTTCGGGTGGGAGGGTCCGCCAGGGATGACCCGGTGTCCAGATTCCTGTAAGAACGGGTTTGGGTGCAGGGTGTGGGCTCCCGGGTGGGAGCTGAGTGGAGCTGGGCGTGGTTCCGGGTCGGGGGCAGTCACTGTGACCGGGGTCTCGAGGTGAAGTCAGGGGAGTCGTGGCGTGCAGGGGACCTGGAGGCTTCTGGGGTGTCTCTCGGGGTTTGAGAGGAGCTGGGGTCGTTCTGGGTACCCTCGGTGTTGCTGGGGTTTGAGGTGTCTGTCTGAGCGCCCCACGGCACACTGAGTGCTTTAAGGCAGGGGGAAAGGTGTGGGACGGGGCGGCGTCCAAGCTGACTGGCTCTGAGCTTTCTCTTCTCCGTACAGTGGCTCTTGTCTGCTGTCTGCCTCCTGGATTCTTTCTGTTTTTCTTTTCTCAAAGTAGTGAAGGAACTTCAAAGGAAATTAGTAGTGGGGTCAGAGAAGGCACCGTGAGGAGTGACAGCGGGCACCAAAGTGAGGGCCCTCATGGGCTTTGGCTTTGCAGATGGGCTCTCATGGAGCCCAGGGCGAGCTTGAGCCCCTTATGGCCTGCCTTTCTCTCCCGGCACAGGAGACAGTCTGTGCCGCCGCATCTGGTGGCTGCTGTGCTGAGGGCTAGCACGGGACTTTGCATGCTGAGCGAGCTGCCCACTTAGCGGGACCACGGCGTCGTTTACTTTTTGAGGCGGGATCTTATGGCATCCAGCTTCCCATGTTTCTCCTTTCTTTTCCCTTTTCTCTCTTTCTCCCCCTGCCCTCTGTCTGTTTTTCTTGTCCAGGCTGCCCTGAGCTTGAGACCCTTCTGCCTCAGCCTCTGGAGTCACAGGGTGGTTGTCTAAAAATGAGTGGCGTCGAGCACTCAGATGCACTTCCAGAAGACCCGGGTTTGGCTCGGCACCCCTATCTCCAGCTCCAGGTGGTCTACTGCCATCTTCTGGCCTCTGTTCCACATATACACATACACACATAAAAATAAATAAAACCAGCATTTTTGAAAAAGATGTATTTATTATGTATGCAGCCTCCTGCCTGCATGTATCCCTGCAGGCCAGAAGAGGGCACCAGATCTCATTATAGACAGTTGTGAGCCACCGTGTGGGTGCTGGGAATTGAACTCAGGATCTCTGGAAGTGCAGCCAGTGCTCTTAACCTCTGAGCCATCTCTCCAGTCTCCCAGTATTTATTTTTAATGAAGAGTATGGATGTTTGAAGCACCAGTGTCACCCAGGCAGCCATAGGCAGGGGCAGCTGTGTGACTCCCAGTCTGACTGGACACTGTGAGCCTTTGCTTTGAGAATTATCTTTTCTTCTTTTTGTTGTTGTTTGCTTTCTAATGATTTTGTTTATTGTATATACATTGGTGTTTTGCCTGTATGTGTGCCTGTGTGAGGGTATTGGATTCTCTAAAACTAGAGTTACAGTTACAAGCTTCCATGTGGGTTCTGGGAATTGAACCTGGGACCTATGGAAGAGCAGCCAGTGCTCTCAACTGCTGAGCCATCTCTGCAGCCCTCTTTTTTCTTTTTAATACTTATTTTTATTTCATTTGCATTGGTGTTTTACCTGCATGTATATCTGTGTGAGAGCATCAGATACCTTGGACTGGAGTTATAGGCAGTTGTGAGCTTTCATGTGGGTGCTGGGAATTGAACCTGGGGCCTCTGGAAGAGCAGCCAGTGCTCTCAACCACTGAGCCATCTCTCTAGCCCTCTGTCTTTGCTTTGATGTTTTGAAACTGAGTCTTTCTGGAAGCGAGGTTGGCTTAAACTCCCCATCCGCTTGCCTCGGCCTTCCAGTCCTGGACATTCCCTCCCGCTGCACCCAGGTCACCTGCCATCAGGAGCACCAGCCACGCCATGCCGGGCTCTCCCAAGGGGCCTGCTTTCCTGCTGGCCCAGACCTGGGCCTCCGGATAAAAGAAGCTGAGGCGGAGAGGCCCTGGGAAGGGCCAAGCTGGACAGAGCTGTCTTTGTGCTTTGTGTGGGGTGCCTTGGGCAGCAGCCAACCTGGGTGCTGGGGCGTGTAGTAGGGACAAAAACAGCGGATCCCGCCTGCCCGCGCGGCCCCTGGTGGGAGAGGCAAGCTGGAGGGAAAGGCCCTGACAGCCACGGAGCTGCTGGAACCTGGCCTGCTTTTGCTCACAACCCAGCTGTGGCCTGGTTCCCATTTGCAACTTCCAGAAGAATAGCTTCCTGCACATAGCCCTGTGTCCTCAGCTGACACGCCCACCCTCTTCACGGTCGGTCAGGGAGCTGAAAGCGTGCAGCATGGAGGCATGCATGCTGAGAGGAGGTGGTGGGGTCCACTTCATCTCTGGGTTAGATCCTTAAGCAGCATGCTTTTCTGAGGCGTGCACAGTGAGCACCTGCTGTGTGCATGTCAGCATGTGTACTGTGGAGGCTGTTGTTCAGTTTGAGTCATGCCGTGTGACCTCATCTATGATAACTTGTCTCCGAGCTGTCAGCTTACCCATGGAATCCCGTCTGTGGCAGCTCTACAGTCTAAGGGAGCTGTAGACGGCACGGTGCTTGGTGTACACGAGGCTACACTTAATAACGCTGGGGCCAGCGTCTGCCTGGGCCACCACATTTCAATTTTTTGGTGGTGTTGGTGTTTGGTTTTCTTAGCTGCTCTGTTCATTAACTGAGCTTAACTACTCTGTGTTTATTCTGGTCCTTGGCCATTTTCCCAGGAATCACCCTAGGAACTAACTTATAGTTGAGTTTGCCCCCACTAGCACCCGAGAAGACAGAGCTGTGAGCCCCAGGCTGACAGGCTTTGACCACAGGAAAGCCAATATTTTTTTATCTTTTTTTCACATTCTAATCTCAGATCCCCCTCTGTCCCCTCATCCTGATCACCCTCCCTCCCTTCACCCAGCCCCCATCTGCTCAACAGAGAGGGTATGACCTTCCAAGGGGAGTCAACGAAGTCTGTCCCATCACCACGTTGAGGGAGGACCAATGTCCCATCTTCCCCTGCTGTGTCAAGGCTGAGCAAAGTATCTCTCCATAGGAAATGGACTACAAAAGGCCAGCTCATGTACTAGGGTTAGATCCTGGTCCCACTGCCAGTGACCCCACAAACTGCCTAAGCTTCCCACTGTTACCTGCATTAAGGGTTCCTAGTTCAGTCCTGTGCAGGTTCCCAGCTGTGAGTCCAGAGCCCGTGAGCTCCCTAGCTCAGGTCAGCTGTCTCTGCGGTTTCCCCATCATGATCTTGACTCCTTTGCTCATATTATCACTCCTCCTCTTTGGTTGGACTCTGGGAGTTCAGCCCAGAGTTCAGCTGTGAATCTCTGCACCTGCTTCCATCAGATACTGAATGAAGGTTCTATGATGACAATTAAGGCAGCCACCAGTCTGATTACAGGGGAGGCCAGTCAGTCCCCCCCTCTACTATTGCTTAAAGTTTGACCTGGGGTCGTCCTTGTGTGATCCAGCTCAATCATCCCATTCCTTCATGTTCTCCTTCCTACTCCCCTCCCCTTCTCCCCTCTTCCCTTCCACCTTCCCCTCCCTCCCCTGCTCCATAATTGCCCAGGAGATCTTTATTCTCCCTTCCTAGGTAGATCCGTGTATGTCTCTCAGCATCCTCTTTATTGCCTGCTTCTCTGGGGTTGTGGACTGTAGGCTGGATATCCTTTGCTTTATGCCTAATATCCCCTTATGAGTACTTACCATGTTTGTCTTTCCAGGGCTGTGTTACCTCACTCAGGAATTTTTTTTCTAGTTCTGTCCATTTGCCTTCAAATTTCAAGATGTCATTGTTTTTTTTTGTTTTGTTTTTTTTTTGTTTTTTTTTGGTTTTTGGAGACAGGGTTTCTCTGTGTAGTTTTGGAGGCTGTCCTGGCACTCGTTCTGTAGACCAGGCTGGCCTCGAACTCACAGAGATCCGCCTGCCTCTGCCTCCCGAGTGCTGGGATTAAAGGGCATGTGCCACCAACGCCCGGCTGTCATTGTTTTTTTATCGCTGAGTAGTACTCCATTGTGTAAATGTACCACATTTTCTTTATCCATTCTTTGGTTGAGAGGTATTTAGGTTGTTTTCAGGTTCTGGCTATTATAAATAATGCTGTTATGAACATAGTTAAGCAAATGTTCTTGTGGTGTGGGTGTGCATTCTTTGGGTGTGTGCCCAAAAGTGCTGGGTCTTGAGGTAGACTGATTCCCAGTTTTCTGAGAAATGGCCATGCGGATTTCCAAACAGCTGTATGAGTTTGCACTCCCACCAGCAATGGAGGAGTGTTCCCCTTCCCATCCTCTTTAAGCTGTCACTGGTGCTTTTGATCTTAGCCACTCTTACAGGTGTAAGATGGAATCTCAGAGTTGTTTTGATTTGCATTTCTCTGATGGCTAAGAATGTTGAACAATTCCTTAAATATCTTTCAACCATTTGAGTTTCTTCTGTTGAGAATTCTCTATCTAGAGCTGTACCCCATTTTTTAATTGGATTATTTGGTGTTTTGGAGACTTGTTTCTGGAGTTCTTCGTATATTTTGAAGATCAGATGTGGGGGCTGGTGAAGATCTTTTCCCATTCTGTAAGCTGCCATTTTGTCTTATTGACTGTGTCCTTTGCCTTACAGAAGCTTCTCAGTTTCAGGAGGTCCCATTTATTATTGTTCTCAGTGTGGAAAGCCATTTTTTTTTCAAGGCAGGGTTTCTCTGTTTTGGAGGCTGTCCTGGAACTTGCTTGGTAGTCCAGGCTAGTCTCGAATTTACGGAGATCCGCCTGCCTCTGCCTCCCGAGTGCTGGGATTAAAGGCGTGCGCCACCAATGCCCAGCTACGATCTGCTTTAATGATAGCCAGCCCCCTTAGTGATGACTTTATTAGTTCTCAGTCCCCTCCTATTGCACCTCTAAGGTTTCCTTCAGAGTCCTCTCTCTAGTGCTGATGACCCTACTAGCCCTGGGGCACACGTGGCTGTTCCCTAGGGCTGCAGGATCCCTGGCTGACCCGAGGCCCAGGCACTGGGTACTCTGGTCCCTCTGGGATTATTTGTAGCAGCCACTAAATCATGAGAGCTGGGCCTTGGGCCTCGGTCATCTCCTTAAACCTTTCCTAGTCTTTTCCCTTCCCTAGCCCTCTTTACTTTTAATTTTTACTTAATATTTATAATTTTTATTTATTTACTTTTTACATGCATGAATGTCTTGCCAATGTGTGTGTGTGTGTGTGTGTGTGTGTGTGCGCGTGTGCATGTCTAGTGCCTGCAGGGGACAGAGGAGGACTTTGGGACAGGGACTGGAGCTCCAGACAGCCGTGAACAGCCATGTCAGTGCTGGGAACCACACACAGGTTCTCTGCAAGAGCAGTCAGTGCTGTAACCACTGAGCATCTCTCCAGCCCCATTTTATTTTAATTGGGACAGAGTCCCGCTCTGTAGCAATGGCTGGCCTCACTTCCAGCCCCGCGCTGCTCAGCCCTGGATGCTAGGGTGACAGTTGGCTAGGATGCCACCACGCCTCCTGTCTGTCCCTGGAGACAACAGACAAGGACAGGGTGAGCAGTGTGTCTGCCATCCCTGGTTTTGGAAGGTCCTGGGTGCCAGGGAAGAGATACCAAGGCAGGCACGGGGTCCAGGAGTGTTGCTGTGAGCATAGCATAGCACAGGTGAACCAAGATCTGAGGGGAGCGCATGGCTGGTGCGGCCTTTGAGAAGGAACTGGGGAGCGAGAGTGCTGGGTGTCTTCAGGGGGCCCTGTTTGTGTGCAGCCAGCGGTGACAAGTGACAGGAAATGGTAATGGGGTGGGGAAGGCGTCTCACCGGGCACACAGGAGGGCCTGGACACCTGGGGAGAAATGAAAGGCTAGGCTGCTGTGCCTGTGGTGGAGTGCCGACCCAGGGAGCCCTACCTTGTCTCCACCACATGAGCTGGGCTGGGCACACACCTTACAGCCTTTGCTGCAGCTGAGTGGACGCCTCCCTCCTTCCTCAGCCCATCTTTACTTGTTACCCTGCATCACTGCGTTCAGCTCCCCGGCGCTCACCGCTCTGGGGATCACCTCTCAGGGCTCTGTGGCCCTGGAGGGATGGTGACAACAGATGGTGTCTTCAGAACAGCATAGCCCCAGGCGGGCAATGGACAGATGAGGGAGGGTGAAGGGGGAGGGGAATGAGTGAATGAGGAAAGGGATGAATGAGTGAAGGAAGCTGGTGTGGCTCTGTAGCCCATAGGCAAGGTTGCCATGAGTTCAAGGCTAGCCTGGGCTAGGAAGGAGATATCGTCAGGTTTCGTGCCTTCTCTTGGCTGGCCTGTGGCCCCATCTCTCTGTGTCCTGTGGTGATGGGGTTGGGAACTCAAGGGACATCCCCAGAGAGAAGAACCTTCCTGCTAGCCAGGCCTGTCAGCTCAGAGACTCCAGATGCTGAGGCAGGAGGAATGCAGGCTGCAGGCTGGAGGGATTACCGGGACACTCAAGTGAAATGAGGGCTGGGGCGGGACAGAGCCTCTGCCTGGAATCCCCAGAGAGGAGCGGCCGGCCCTGGCTCAGGGCGGTGTTGCTAAGAATGCTTGTTGGCCAGGGTTCAACTGCTACATTGGGGAGAATAAACAAAGGAGACTCTGACACCTGATTTGCAGGTCACCAGGCCACCGGGGAAGACTACTGGTGACTAACACTCTGGTGGTGGACAGGCAGGCTTTGGGGATTCATAGCTTCCTGGCAGGTTGGTTAATGCGTCCTGCCCGATATCAACCATTAAAGGACCAAACATGCTGGACCCCAGCTGTCCTGGGGCCCTGACTGGGGACTAAGGCTTGAGGCATCTCTGGCAGTGACCTGGTCCCTTCTCTGCAGCGGCCTCTCGGTTCTGATTCGTGTACGGCTGGAGCTGCGTCGACACCGGCGTGCAGGGGATACGATCCCACGCATCTTCCAGGCAGTGGCCAAGCGGCAGCCGGAGCGCCTGGCGCTGGTGGACGCAAGCAGCGGTGCATGCTGGACCTTTGCACAACTGGACACCTATTCCAATGCGGTGGCCAACCTGTTCCACCAGCTGGGCTTCTGTCCCGGCGACGTGGTGGCTGTGTTCCTGGAGGGCCGGCCCGAGTTCGTGGGGCTGTGGCTGGGCCTGGCCAAGGCTGGCGTGGTGGCTGCCCTGCTCAATGTCAACCTGAGGAGGGAGCCCCTGGCGTTCTGCCTGGGCACGTCAGCTGCCAAGGCCCTCATTTATGGAGGGGAGATGGCGGCAGGTGAGGCCTGGTGGACCCCAGGGGTGGGTACCTGAGGGCTGGGGAGATGCCGGCAAGGGCCTCACAGCTGTGACCCTGAGCCCCGTGTTGCCCCAGCGGTGGCGGAGGTGAGCGAGCAGCTGGGGAAGAGCCTCCTCAAGTTCTGCTCCGGAGACCTGGGACCTGAGGGTGTCCCGCCCGACACGCAGCTCCTGGACCCCATGCTGGCCCAGGCAGCCACCACACCCCTGGCAGAAGCCCCAGGCAAGGGCATGGACGGTGAGTGGAGGCCCTGGCCATCCGTCCCCTCTGCCCTGGCCCCCAGTGCCTCACGCCCGCTTCTCTTACAGATCGGCTGTTTTACATCTACACTTCGGGGACCACCGGGCTCCCCAAGGCGGCCATCGTGGTGCACAGCCGGTGAGCAGGGCCCTCAGTCCCCTGCCAGCAGCCTGTGCTGTCCCCAGCTTCGCCCTCCGCCCTCCTGCGCCCCACCCACCCGCTCGGGCTCCCACGCGTGACTCCGCCACCGCTGCCCTGCGCCTTTTAGGGCGTTTGCTTTGCGTTTAGAGACGGGGTTTCTCTGTGTAAACTCACGGAGATCCTCCTGCCTCTGCCTCTGTGCTGGGATTAAAGGGGCGCCGCCACTGTGCAGCGCGGAGAGTTCCACATCCTGAGCCCGTGGCCCTCCTGCCTTGCCCTCGGGGAGTCACACGGCTCTGTCCTCTGTGGCCCCTGCTCTTCGGAGCCCACCGCGGGCTTCAGCCTGGGAGCCCCTCCTGGTGCTGTGCGTCAGGCAGCCCCCAGGGCCCGAGTGCAGAGCAGACGCCCCCAGGATGTCCCCAGGTGTGCAGCGGTGACTCCCTCGCAGGTACTACCGCATCGCCGCCTTCGGCCACCACTCCTACAGCATGAGGCCCGCCGACGTGCTGTACGACTGTCTGCCGCTCTACCACTCGGCAGGTACGCCCGGGCCCTGGGGCGCGGGGGGGGGCCCCCCGCGACCCTCACGGCCACCCTCCCTCTAGGGAACATCATGGGTGTGGGACAGTGCGTCATCTACGGGCTCACCGTGGTGCTGCGGAAGAAGTTCTCCGCCAGCCGCTTCTGGGACGACTGTGTCAAGTACAACTGCACGGTAGGCCCCGCCCCTCCCAGGCCCCGCCCACGCGCCTCCTGCTCCGGCCCCGCCCCTCGCCACCGCCTCCCCGAGGTCGCCGCCTGCTTGCCCGCTCCACTCAGCCCGCCACGCCCTGCCCACACCGGATACACCGGGGCCCAAACCCCATCCGGTAGTCAGTCCTCACCCCCGTCGGCCACACCAGCTCCGCAGGACGCCATGGGTAGTCAGCCTGCTCGACGGGGAGCCCAGGCCGGACACCGCAGCATACCCCGTGTCCTCACCCCGTGTCCTCACCCCGTGTCCTCACCCCGTGTCCTCACCCCGTGTCCTAGACTCTTCACCCCGTGTCCTCACCCCGTGTCCTCACCCCGTGTCCTAGACTCCTCACCCCGTGTCCTAGACTCCTCACCCCGTGTCCTAGACTCTTCACCCCGTGTCCTCACCCTGTGTCCTCACCCCGTGTCCTCACCCCGTGTCCTCACCCCGTGTCCTCACCCCGTGTCCTCACCCCATGTCCTCACCCCGTGTCCTAGACTCCTCACCCCGTGTCCTAGATTCCTCACCCCGTGTCCTCACCCCGTGTCCTAGACTCCTCACCCCGTGTCCTAGACTCCTCACCCCGTGTCCTAGACTCCTCACCCCGTGTCCTCACCCCGTGCCCTCACCCCGTGCCCTCACCCCGTGTCCTAGACTCCTCACCCCGTGTCCTCACCCCGTGTCCTAGACTCCTCACACCCTGTCCTGGGCTATGCCCTGGCGCCCTCTGATCCTGGAACGCTGAAGCAGCAGAATGACGGGGTGTGGTGGCATTACAGGGTGGGGTGGGGTGGGGTGGGATGGGGCATGCCCCTGCCCCCACTCTTCCCCAGCTGAGGCTCAGGGCTGCTGGCTGAGAAGAGGGAAGAGCTCGCCGTGCCTGGGTTCTGGGGCAGTTAACACACAGGACCAGGGCATGCGGGGCCTGTCCACGGCACACAGCGTGTGTGGCGCTGCTGAGGCCCTGTGCCGCCGGCATTGTAGGATTTTCACCTTCCTGGGGAAAACTAACCAACACTTGAAACACTAGAGTCACTTGAGGAAAAGCCACAGGATTCCGGATCTGGGTGGCAGCCATCGAAGAGCCCAGCCCGATGTCTCAGGCCCTGCGGCCGCCTGTGGCTCCATGCTGGAACTCGGGGGAAGCTCAGTCTAGTTCCAGAACGTTCCATGCCTGTCCCAGTCCCGACCTCTCCCCTCCAGTGCCTGGTGGAACCCACGCTGCTGGTTCACACACCAGTGTCCTTTAGTTCTGGAGGCTCCGGCTTCTTTTTGTTTTCCTCCTCTGCTCTGGAATCCAGGGTATGGGCGGCGAGGCCACGCCCCGCCTGGGACGGTGGCCTCTGCCCCTCGTTTTGTGAGTGTGGGGCCTGGGGTCCTCCCTGGCTGTTTTGAGACAGGATGGTATCTCCCATCTGTCCCCGCTGTCCTGGACCTCACTGTAGACCAGGCCGGCCTGGACCTCACTGTAGACCAGGCCGGCCTGGAACTCACTGTAGACCAGGCCGGCCTGGAACTCACTGTAGACCAGGCTGGCCTGGAGTTCACAGAGCTCCGCCTGCATCTGACCACTGCCCTGCGTGTGAACCGGCAGACGCCTGTGGTGGGGCGTGGCCCAGACGCCAGGAAGTCCCGGTCCCTCCGTGTGGACTCTCCGGGTCCCCGTCTGCGTGCTGTCTGCGGGTCCTTCAAAGGCAGAGGGGGGCAGAGAGAGAGGGGCGGGGCAGAGAGAGAGGAGAGGGGCGGGCAGAGAGGGGCGGGCAGAGAGGGGCGGGCAGAGAGGGGCGGGGCGGAGAGGGGAGGTGCAGAGAGGGGCGGGCAGAGAGGGGCGGGGCAGAGAGAGAGGAGAGGGGCGGGCAGAGAGGGGCGGGGCGGAGAGGGGCGGGGCGGAAAGGGGAGGTGCAGAGAGAGGAGAGGGGCGGGGCAGAGAGAGGGGCGGAGTGAGGGGCGGGGCGGAGTGAGGGGAGGGGCACAGAGAGAGGCGGGGCGGAGTGAGGGGCGGGGCGGGGCTCCCGTCTCCCGACGGGGCTCAGCTCGTGAGCCAGGGTCCCACCCGAGGCCTCCTGCCCGCTCTCCTGCTGGGCGCTGGGTGACAGATGCCTGGCACCGCCTTGGCCGGGCAGAGTTCGAGCGCAGCCCCGGGATTATTAGTTTACCGAGTTGAGAGAGACCAAAACCCAGACTGGAGTCTGAGCTTTCTCAAGGGCAGGGCTGAGTTCGCAGAAATGGACATGCTGCCTAGGGAAGCCTCGGGTCCCGTGACCTGCAGGACCCTCTCTCTACCCCGCTCTCCTCCTCTCTCTCTACCCCGCTCTCCTCTCTCTCTACCCCGCTCTCCTCTCTCTCTCTCTACCCCGCTCTCCTCCTCTCTCTCTACCCCGCTCTCCTCTCTCTCTACCCCGCTCTCCTCTCTCTCTCTCTACCCCGCTCTCCTCTCTCTCTACCCCGCTCTCCTCTCTCTCTCTCTACCCCGCTCTCCTCTCTCTCTCTCTCTACCCCGCTCTCCTCTCTCTCTCTCTACCCCGCTCTCCTCTCTCTCTCTCTACCCCGCTCTCCTCCTCTCTCTCTACCCCGCTCTCCTCTCTCTCTACCCCGCTCTCCTCTCTCTCTCTCTACCCCGCTCTCCTCTCTCTCTCTCTCTCTACCCCGCTCTCCTCTCTCTCTCTCTCTCTACCCCGCTCTCCTCTCTCTCTCTCTACCCCGCTCTCCTCTCTCTCTCTCTACCCCGCTCTCCTCTCTCTCTCTCTACCCCGCTCTCCTCCTCTCTCTCTACCCCGCTCTCCTTTCTCACTCTCTCTACCCCGCTCTCCTCTCTCACTGTCTCTGTCTCTCTCTCTCTCTACCCCGCTCTCCTCTCTCTCTCTACCCCGCTCTCCTCTCTCTCTCTCTCTGTCTCTCTGTCTCTCTCCCCCACACTCCTCCTCTTGCTGGCCTGGAACTTGCTATGTAGCCAAGACTATGCCCCTTGGTCCTAGTACCGTGTACTCAGCCCTCATTTTGTTGGTTAGCCTCTCCTGTGGGCTTTTCCTTTGGGTAGGGGACAAGGAGGGGACACACCTGTCACCCTAGCGTTTGGAGGACTGAGGCAGGGGGATCAGAAGCTCCTGGACAGCCTGGGCTACATTAGACCTTGTCTCAAAACCGTAAACGGAGGGTGAGCGCTGGCTGGCTCGGTTCTGTCCCGGCACCGCGCCGTCCTCGGCCCCCTCTGCCGCGCCTGTCCCGTCGGGATGGCGGGAGTCCGGTCCTGTCCACGTCGCTTGTCCCCGGGCTGCCCCTGGCTCCGTCAGCCATGGCGGGAGGGAGCCAACCGAGCTCAGGCGTGCCTGAGACACAAGTGTTTGAGCAGTGCAGCCCCTGGGGCAGCGCAGGACACGGTGGCCGTGCATCCGGAGGGTACAGGAGACATCGGCTTCCTTGCCGAAGGGGAGGGCGCTCTGGGGCTGGCCTGGCTGTTACCCTGACAGGGTGGCTGCCTCATGACAAGTGTGGCCAGTTCAGCTTTCACTGCCCCGGTGGCTTCCTAGCTACTGTTGGCCTCAGTCTGTCTATCCGTAGACTGGAACATGCTACACGAAGCAGAGGCAGGCAGATCTCTGTGAGCTAAATGCTAGCCTGGTCTACACCTCGTGTGCGGCCTCGCAGGGAGAGCCGGCCCCGCCTCCCGGGCCGGCCCCGCCCACCCACCTCCAGCCCCGCCCGCGATGGGCGTGTCCTGAGCCCGCTGCCCCGCAGGTGGTGCAGTACATCGGGGAGATCTGCCGCTACCTGCTGCAGCAGCCGGTCCGCGACGTGGAGCGGCGGCACCGCGTGCGCCTGGCCGTGGGCAACGGGCTGCGGCCGGCCATCTGGGAGGAGTTCACGCAGCGCTTCGGCGTGCGGCAGATCGGCGAGTTCTACGGCGCCACCGAGTGCAACTGCAGCATCGCCAACATGGACGGCAAGGTTCGCGGCCGCGGCCCAACCCTCGGCTGTGGCTCGGGGCGGCGCCGCGTGCCGGCCGCTCACCGCCCGCCGTGTCCCCCCAGGTCGGCTCCTGCGGCTTCAACAGCCGCATCCTCACGCACGTGTACCCCATCCGTCTGGTCAAGGTACACGAGGACACGATGGAGCCGCTGCGGGACGCCCAGGGCCTCTGCATCCCGTGCCAGCCGGGTGAGAGCAGCGCCGCCGCCCGGGCCGGGGAGCTGGGGTCCCACGGCTCCCGGCCGCTCAGCCTGAGTCTCTCCCTCCAGGGGAGCCCGGCCTTCTCGTGGGCCAGATCAACCAGCAAGACCCTCTGCGGCGCTTCGATGGCTACGTTAGCGACAGCGCCACCAGCAAGAAGATCGCCCACAGCGTGTTCCGCAAGGGCGACAGCGCCTACCTCTCAGGTGCGGAGCCCGGCGGCCCCACTGTGTGCGTTGACGTGAAGCTGGGTGCCACCTGCCCCTCTCCCCTGCAGGTGACGTGCTGGTGATGGACGAGCTGGGCTACATGTATTTCCGCGACCGCAGTGGGGACACCTACCGCTGGCGCGGGGAGAACGTGTCCACCACCGAGGTGGAAGCCGTGCTGAGCCGCCTGCTGGGCCAGACTGACGTGGCCGTGTACGGGGTGGCCGTGCCAGGCAAGCCGGGGACGTGGCGGGGTGCAGGGGCCCCAAGGAGCCCACCCAGAAGGGGCCTGCGCAACCCGGAGAAGTAGCTTCAGATCCTAGGGGTCCCCCAAACTTGAGTCTCAGTTTGGGGGACCCCTAGGATCAGGAGGGCGGAGATGACCCCTATGAAGCGGATATGGTCAGGACCACTGCTGTCGCAGGTGGGAGGTCCTAGAGTCGAGGGCAGGGTGCTGCAGGTGGGCGGGTGTCCTCAGCTGAGCCTCCCTCTGCAGGCGTGGAGGGCAAAGCCGGCATGGCGGCCATTGCGGATCCCCACGGCCAGTTGGACCCTAACTCCATGTACCAGGAGTTGCAGAAGGTTCTGGCATCTTATGCCCGGCCCGTTTTCCTGCGTCTTCTGCCTCAAGTGGATACCACAGGTACGGCCCTGCCTCAGGAGCCCCAGTCCCCAGTGTGAAGGAAGGTTCACAGCCACCTGCCCTGGGTGACTGGCACGAAATATACCAACCCTCCATGATGTATAACTAAGTCAAACTCTCGTTTATTGCTTAATTTTTAATCACTGCTGAGTCCCGCGAGGGTGCGGCTGGACAAAGTGTCTTTAGCTATTAGCATGTGCTTGATACCCTCTCCTGAGAGTTCAAAATTAAAATCTAGGGATTTGACACTGATATAGGCAGTTTTGCATGTGTAATTCTACCTCCAACTAATTATAAGGCCAGAACCAAACCTTTTGTGTTTATGGGATTTAAAATTCACCTAAGCATTTTAAGTGCTTGGCTTTATCTATTAAGCTATATGAAACGGTAAGGAAAAAATCAATACTGAAATTCTACTTGTAAATTTTGACTTATATGGTATTGGGGAATACTAGATTCTTACATTAAAATTTTACAAATACTGAAATTCAAGTCACATTTGGTGAATTACTAGAATGTGGAGAGGTTTGGTAGTTGAAATCTCTGCTTTTGGGGTTTGTCAGAGGGGAGTAGATACCCCTCTGTTGGGGTATTTGACATTGAAAATTAGTATCAAGTTAAATTGTATGTCCAAGAAAGCATTAATACTGTCTCAAGAGATTCCTATGAGGGTGAATGACACTTGAACAGAGTCCAGCTACACGAATAAGCTGACCTTCATGCCTTGACGACTGTGGTGAGCCACAGCATACCAACAAATAAACCACCAGGGCACGAGACCACAGTTTTGGTGGGCATGGGCTGATTAGACCCGGACCTTATTTAAGGGGAGTGTATGGACGATAAAACATTCTGTGGCCCTGAAGTAAGAGTCAGGTGTCTGATAAAGTTTCACATTAATCACTCCCAAATTAAATGACCCCGGAGCGAGAAGAGGGGCAGATGTGGGTGGTTGCTGGCTTCTCAGAGGATGTAGGGTAGCTAGACAGGCCAAATGCGGAAGGGTAGCCATACGGAACAGCAGGGTTATGACGGAATGGGGTGTGTAAGATAACGCAGATATAGAGCATTAATTTGTTGTGACTGAGTAATATGCATGGTGGATTGTGTTATATGTTAGAATATCATAATATGTCTTAGTTCATTAATTGGGGAGTACATGCTTATAGGCTAGGAGAAAATAATATAATGTATGATATACATAAATGTATGATGGATTATATGAATTTGTGTTCAAGAGGTAGTTTAATTAGAATTTCAGCTTTGGGTGCTGACGGTGGGATTAAACCTTCCTTCTTGATGTCCTGAGAAGACAGTATCTTCATTTTTGGTTTACTATCAGGACATTTAGGTAAATTTTAGAATGCTGTCTTCAATTATGCTTGGGGGGATTGGTATGAAAATAACAATGGTAGCAAAATAAATGATTGGTTATTCTACAGGTTGTCCCCCAACTCAGGGTAGTAGGAAAAGGTCGGCCACTAGGATTCAGTATGTAGTTTGTGTGATAGGACGGAAGATTTTGGCGCAGTGTTTTGATGTGTGTAGGAGAGGTAGGATAGTTAGGATTAAAATAGAGAGAATTAAGGCTAGTACACCACCTAGTTTGTTAGGGATGGATCGTAGGAGAGTGTGAGCAAACAGGAAGTGTCATTCCTGTTTACTGTGTGCGGGAGTATTGAGTGGATTTGCAGGAGTGTAATTATCTGGGTCTTCGAGAATATCTGGGGAAAACAATGCTAAAATTATGGGAGCAGATAATAGTAGGAACATCTCGTTTACGGTGGTGGGTGTGTCTTCACCTGTGTATGGTGGTGCGTGTGTCTCACCTGTTTGCAGTGGTGCGTGTGTCTCACCTGTACAGTGTTGCGTGTGATCATCACCTGTGTACAGTGGTGCGTGTGTCATCACCTGTGTACGGTGGTGCGTGTGTCTCACCTGTGTATGGTGGTGCGTGTGTCTCACCTGTGTATGGTGGTGCGTGTGTCTCACCTGTGTACGGTGGTGCGTGTGTCTCACCTGTGTATGGTGGTGTGTGTGTCATCACCTGTGTACGGTGGTGCGTGTGTCATCACCTGTGTATGGTGGTGTGTGTGTCTCACCTGTTTGCAGTGGTGCGTGTGTCTCACCTGTACAGTGTTGCGTGTGATCATCACCTGTGTACAGTGGTGCGTGTGTCATCACCTGTGTACGGTGGTGTGTGTGTCTCACCTGTTTACGGTGTTGCGTGTGATCATCACCTGTGTACAGTGGTGCGTGTGTCATCACCTGTGTATGGTGGTGCGTGTGTCTCACCTGTGTATGGTGGTGTGTGTGTCATCACCTGTGTACGGTGCGTGTGTCATCACCTGTGTATGGTGGTGCGTGTGTCTCACCTGTGTATGGTGGTGCGTGTGTCTCACCTGTGTACGGTGGTGCGTGTGTCTCACCTGTGTATGGTGGTGTGTGTGTCATCACCTGTGTACGGTGGTGCGTGTGTCATCACCTGTGTACGGTGGTGTGTGTGTCTCACCTGTTTACAGTGTTGCGTGTGATCATCACCTGTGTACAGTGTTGCGTGTGTCATCACCTGTGTATGGTGTTGCGTGTGTCTCACCTGTGTACGGTGGTGCGTGTGTCATCACCTGTGTACGGTGGTGTGTGTGTCTCACCTGTTTGCAGTGGTGCGTGTGTCATCACCTGTGTACGGTGGTGTGTGTGTCTCACCTGTTTGCAGTGGTGCGTGTGTCTCACCTGTACAGTGTTGCGTGTGATCATCACCTGTGTACGGTGGTGGGTGTGTCTTCACCTGTTTACAGTGTTGCATGTGATCATCACCTGTGTACGGTGGTGCGTGTGTCTCACCTGTGTACAGTGGTGTGTGTGTCTCACCTGTTTGCAGTGGTGCGTGTGTCTCACCTGTACAGTGTTGCGTGTGATCATCACCTGTGTACAGTGGTGTGTGTGTCATCACCTGTGTACGGTGGTGCGTGTGTCATCACCTGTTTACAGTGTTGCATGTGATCATCACCTGTGTACGGTGGTGCGTGTGTCTCACCTGTTTATGGTGGTGCGTGTGATCATCAGTGGATGTACTGGTTGTGTAGCCGTGTATAACAGTTTTTAGCATTGTAGAAGGTTGAGGTTTTGTACATAGTCTGTTCTAAATGCACTTGATACTAATAGGGCCGGTCCTCCATGGTCTGTTCCTAAGTGTCAAGATCCTCATCAATAGATACATATAGGAACAGTCACACTACGTCTACGAAGTGTCAGTATCATGCTACAGCTTCAAAGCCAAAGTGATGTTTTGGTGTGAAATGATATTTTAGTTGTCATAGTAAGGAATGCTGTAAGGAACGCTGATCTGATGATTACATGTAGGCCGTGAAAGCCTGTTGCTATAAAGAATGTGGACCCGCAGATTCCGTCTGACGTAGAAAATGAGGTTTCTAGGTATTCTGATGCTTGGAGAGCTGTGAATAAATCCCAAGAATGATTGTAATTAGTAGGGCTTGGTTTATGTTACTTCGTTTACCTTCTATAAGGCTGTGATGGGCTCATGTGATGGAAACTCCGGATGCTGGAAGTACTGATGTGTTCAGTAGTGGGACTTCCAGGGTTAGTGGGTAACACCTGGAGGTGGTATTTCTTGTTTTCCTGACTGATTTATCTGCTGCCTCTGGTCATTTCCACTGCAGTCAAGGGTCATCAGTTGGTGGGCACCTTGTTTCATCTTTTGCATTGCTGTGACACCTAGGAAGCTGTGGGGGTGGGTATGGGCTGCACACCGTGAGTTCTTTCTCTACGAATTGTCTTTTGCCCCTTCCTGCTGGTATTGTCTTCCTGTCCTGACGAGTGAAGGGTGTGAAGGTGTGTCCGCTGGGCAGCTGTCAGGGGTATCCACTGCTGCAGGGAATCCTGTGCAGAGAGCTCCTTCTGGGTTCTCACGGCCCCTCCCCTCCTCCCCTCCCCACTCTCCTTTGCCCTCCCTGCAGGCACCTTCAAGATCCAGAAGACCCGGCTGCAGCGCGAAGGCTTTGACCCTCGCCAGACCTCAGACCAGCTCTTCTTCCTGGACATGAAGCAGGGCCGATACCTGCCCCTGGATGAGGGAGTCCACACCCGCATCTGCACTGGGGACTTCTCGCTCTGATGCACCTGGCCAGTGGGCTGGCCTGGACTCCGAGCCCCGGGCACCTGATGCCCTCAGGGGCCTCTTCCGCTGACCACCTGGCCAGCAGCACCAGTGGGTGTGAGATCGGAACAGGGAGGGCCTGAGCCGCCACCAGGCGACTCCTCCATCCCACAATGCATCCATCCAGCCTCCGCCTTTCTCCTTCTCTCCATCTCTCGCCCCACCCGCCATAGCCCACAGCACACCCTGGCTGCTGTGTCCTGCTCTGAGACTAGCCCAGGGGCCCAGGCTGTGGCATCCGCCTCCCTCGCTGCTGTGCCTTAGGAACCTGTCCTAGGCTCCCCTTGGTCCACCCAGCTGCCCTCCCTACGGAGGGTCTGTAGCACACTCACTTTAGCTGGGCGACATGGGCAGCCCCACTGACCCCCAGTCAACTGGAAATTTTATTTTATTTGTTTTAAGACAGTGTCTCACTGTGGAGGCCGAGCTGGCCTCCAACCGTCCATCTTACCGCCTCTGCCTGTCCTAGTAACTGCGCCACCCTGCAGTCCCAGAGGGTGACATCTGTGCACTATCGTCCCTAGTCCCCACTTTCCCTTTCCCCTCATGCCTTGGAAGCTTCTGGAACTGACTGTGACCACTTGGATGTGGCCAGTCATGGCCCTGACCACAGTTGTCTGTTCAGGGGTCCCCAGGCATCCCTTCCTCGGGTCCTGACCCTTCACAGCAGGAGGGACCAGGAAGGTTGCCGTGGTGTTCCTTGGGTGCCCGGCCACAGCCCTGGGTGCTCCCCGTTGTGTCAGAGCCCAGACCCTGCCGCTTGGGACATGCCAGGTCTACCTGTCTGGCTCCCATGATCTCCCGAGGTCATCGGGGACTCAACTCAGTCACCCAGCCCAGCCTCTGCCCTCCTGTGTCGTCAAGGACAGAGACCCGGAGAGGGTGTGGACAGCATCCACAGGCTGCCCCGCAATCCACACACACAAATGTCACTTCCTTGTTGGTTTTCAGAAATAAACGTACTGAGCCTTGACACCTGCCAGAATGCCGCGTCTCTGGTCTGTCTCAAGGCCTAGGTGCTTCTGCAGGCCTCCTGAGCAGGCTGCAGCAGGACACCCAGTGTTGTCCTAGTTAGCACCTGAGCAGGACACCCAGTGTTTGTCCTAGTTAGGCTACGGTGATGACACACTGACCAGAGCAGCTTGGGGGGAAGGGTTCCTTTGGCTTACACAGTGAATCACAGTCCCCTGAAGGCAGCCAGGCAGGAACCTGGTCAGGAGCGGCCACGGGAGGTGCTGCTCCCGTTTGTATTCAGCCTGCTTGCCTGATTGCTTGCTTTTCTTTTCTTTTCTTTTTTTTTTTTTTTTTTTTTGAGACAGGGTTTCTCTGTATTGTTTTAGAGGCTGTCCTGGAACTCGCTCTGTAGACCAGGCTGGCCTCGAACACAGAGATCCGCCTGCCTCTGCCTCCCGAGTGCTGGGATTAAAGGCTGCGCCACAAATGCCTGGCTCGTTCAGCCTGCTTTCTTATAGAACCTAGGATCACCTGCCCAGGGATGGCACCTCCCCCAGCCTCCATCAATTACCCATCAAGAAAAAGGCCCACAGGCTTGCCAGCCTCTGGGAGCATTTCTAATTGAGGTCCCTCCCGCCAATGACTGTGGCTTGTGTCAAGTTGACACAAAAACTAGCCAGCACAATCTCGTCTCAGGAAAATTTAAAAATCGGACATGGTGGCGCACATCTTTAATCCCAGAACCTGGAAGGCAGAGGCAGGCAGATCTCTGAGTTTGAAGACAGCCTGGTCTACAGAGTGAGTTCTAGGACAGCCAGGACTACACAGAGAGACCCTATCTCGAAAAAACACCTCTGGTGACTTGGTCTTAAGGCTGAGACTGTACAAAAAGAAACGTTTATGCAGGTCAGTTTTGGAGATTGGAAGTCCAAATACCATTGCCACATTTTAATTAGCATCCAGATGCCCCCACCTTTAAACACTGTAATGGGACTAACTTTTCAGTGTGTGTGTTTTACAGAGCCCATATGGAGCTCAGAGGACAATCTTGGTTCTCTCCTTCCCCTGTGTGGCGCCTGGGGAAGTACTTAGCTGGTTAGCTTATTGGTAAGCATATTTACCGGCTGAAGCATTTCAAGGGCCCATCTCCACCTCAGCACCATGAGCAAGGCTTTGTGGGTTATACTGTGTGAATTAGGGGAAGCCATTCTGACAGCAACAGGACCCTTGCCTCCAGGCTGACCTATACAGACCAAGGACACTCCAGGCAGGGCAACCAAGCATTCATTCAGCTTGCTTACTTCAGTTTCCTTGGACACCCCAATCCTTGGACCTGATGCCCCGGGCAGCAAGTGCCCAACACAGCCTGCCAACAGAGCCCACTTCTGGGATCTCCACTGTCCACTGTCCACCTGATACAGCAGCAGCGGTGTTGTTGACGCAGACACAGCTGGAAGAAACAGGCCCAGGGGTGTCTGTTGTCTCAATGCATGACACTGTTTGGACCCCTGTTCTAGAAGGAAGCTACTTCAGCCAGCTAGGCTACACAGTGAGATGCTTCTTTCAAAACAAAACAACAAACGAAAAAAGAAGGGATAGCCAACTAGGAGCAAAAACACCTGCCATCGAAGCCCTTGGGAGACCCAGGCTTTGGGATGTTGAGTCCAAGGTCACCCCGGGCCCTACAGTAACTTCCCACTTCAAAGCAGCCAGAAGAAAACACCTCAGTTCTAAATTTAAAAAGCTCATTGCCCTTCCTACCCTAGAGTAGTGTCCATTGTTAACTCTCACGAAGGGGCCGCCCTGTAAGCTGGCCACGATGTTTATGCTGAGGACTCTGGGGCTCCCTGTCTCCTCTCCTTCCTCTTCTTTGCTTTTGCATGTCCCCGGATGAAACTCCAGCTAAGCCACGCCCACAGCCCCTCCCTGAGGAGGGACTCTAGGCGGGGGCTCCAGCACCCTCATCTTGCTTCTGAGCCATGTCTGGGTATTTCCCAGGCTGTTGTTGAACTCCTAGGCAATTCTCCTGCCTCAGCTTCTCAGTGAGTTGGCCCACAGACACTGGTGATGCTGAAAGACAGGATTCATTTTAGTTCTTTTTATGCTTTTCCATGGGCATCACATGTCACCATGAGACCCTTTCTCCAGAATCTATAGGACTAAAAACAGTTTAGACTTGGGATTTTGAAAATTTCAGAATATTGGCACAAACATCAGTGATCTGTGATACGAACTCCTGCCGGTGGCTTGTGTGACACTCATGCCTTGCACGTGCAGTTTGGAAGAAAGTGTAAACACTAGAGTTTGTTTCATTTATTTCATTTCTGTCATAACCGAAATCAAATTGTCAGGGTTAGGGGTGCCTTTACTTACTGAGCCATCTTGAATATTCTAGAACCCTTCAACCCCCATCGGGAGGCAGGTTCTCATTATATAGCCCTGGCTGGCCTGAAACTCACTATGTAGACCAGGAGGGCCTCGAACTCAGAGACCCAACAGCCTCTGCCCCCTCCGGCCAGGGTTTGAGGCGTTTATCACCACATCGGACCTAAATGTTTTTAAAATGGATCAAGCCAGATGTGGACTGTATGCCTTTACTCCCGGCACTCGGTGGATCTCTGTGAGGTTGAGGTCAGCCTGGTCTATATAGCGAGTTCTAGGACAGCCGGCACCACACAAGAAACCTTGTCTCGGAAATCGATAAAAATTTACTCGCAATGTTTTGTGAAGTGTAACTCGTCACTTGCAGCCTCAGGTGGGCACTCAGAAAACTCGGTTTGAGGCTGGGGTACAGCCGAGTGGCCCAGCCTGGGCTTAGCATGCACGAGGAGGCCCTGGATTGAGTCCCCGCACAAGTGATTGAGCGCTTGGATTTTGGAGCTTTCCCGAGTTCAGCAGGGTCAAGGTCACAGTATCAGTCATTCTTCTGGTTGCTATGGCTTGTTCTGGCGGAGTTAGCTCCCCATCACCCACACTAAGGGTCACAGGCCGCTCACTCAGACCCGGAGCATCCCACGTCCTCTCCCGGCCCCCGCAGGCCCAGGCAAGCGCGTGCTACAGAGGAAACCCGTGCACACAGCAAATTAAGCAAAAACAGAGGGGGAAGTTACGGGGACGGCAGGGGGTCTTCATGGCAGAAGCAGCTGTCACCTCCAAGGTCCACACTCTGGCTGATCTACTCAAAGTTCTTAACAGTCCCGAAGGTCCCACAGTCTCCCGAGACAGAACGGGCAGCTGGGAGCCACCTGTTCACGCGCATGAGTGGAAAAGCAACAGGAAGTCCAACTGTCGCGAAGCGGCCTTGCTGGGGACAGCTGTAGGCTGAGGGTTAGGAACCTCATCACCTGCTCCGTTAAGCAGGGACGGCCAGGCCCCGGATGTGGGAAGAGCCGCGCAGGCACGCGGGCCTCGCCAGCCTCCAACTCAGAGCCAGACTCCTGCCGCAGCGGTCTGAGCGAAGGCCCGAGTGTCACCCGGCTCACCGCGGCAAGCGCCACAGCCTCGGGGTGAAGCTGCCGCCGGCCACCCCAGCACCCAGACCGAGGAAGCAGGGCCGGAGCCGCGGCCCCACCCACCGCCCCGCCCCGCCCCGCCCCGCGGCGTCCGAGCAACTGCGCATGCGCCGAGCTCCGGGACCCGGCGTTCGGCCGCCGCGCAAGCGCACTGGCGCCGCCGGCCGCCCCCGCCCCGCCCCGCCCCGCCCCGCCCCGCAGCCATGGCCGCTCCCGCGCCGGGTCTCATCTCGGTCTTCTCCAGCCCGCAGGAGCTGGGCGCGTCGCTGGCGCAGCTGGTCGCGCAGCGGGCCGCGAGCTGCCTGGAAGGTAACCGAGGCCGCTTCGCGCTGGGCCTGTCGGGCGGCAGCCTGGTCTCCATGCTGGCCCGAGACCTGCCCGCCGCCGCCGCCCCCGCCGGGCCCGACAGCTTGGCGCGCTGGACGCTCGGCTTCTGCGATGAGCGCCTCGTGCCCTTCGAGCACGCCGAGAGCACGTACGGCCTCTACCGGGTGAGCGCTGCGAGGCCGCGCACCGCCCGGCTACGGCGGCCGCCGCGGGCCACGCGCGACCGGCCCCGTCCGCCGAGGAAACGCGGGCTACGGGGGCCGCGGCGGGCCACGCGCAACCGGCTCAGCCTGCCGAGGAAACTAACGCCCTGGAGCTGCTTCAACGCCTGCGCTCGGGCCACGGGCCGCCCTGGGCCTTGCAGCGTGTGCAGTGACGTCCACCCAAGCCTGGCCTGAAGGGCCGATCCCCGGCTCCCGGCGGGGCCCTGCGGGGCGTGGCGTTAGCGCGCTCAGCTGCCCCCGGTGTGTTGGGTGTGTTGGGCCTCGGGCATGGAGGATTGAGCTCTGAGCACCCCCGCGTGCCCGCCACTGCCCCGTGGCATGGACCCTGAGGCAGGGGCCATCACACTCAGTTCAAGGTGGGGAAACTAAGGCCAGAAGGTTGAGGTCCCCGTGGCCGTCATCTGGGGCGTCAGTTTGAAACCGCCCCGCCCTGAACGCGGTGAACTTCACTGAGCAGTGGGCTGTAGGTTACTGCACGAGGCTCAGCCGCTTAGTGCTCGCCTAGAATGCCCTAGGCGCTGGCCTCCTTGTGAGCATCTTATAAACCACTCGAGGTGGTGCGCACCCGTCATCCGAGCCCTGGGGGCTGGAGGCAGGGCCGTGAGTTCGAGGTCACAGCTCCCAACTGGAACTGCCTGTGCTACATGAGACCATTTTGATGCTACCCACCTAAGAAAAATAAAGCAAGGATCGCTGAGTAGCCCCCTCTGAGGGGACACACTTGAAAGCTCTGTCTTTGACCAAGGTGACCCAGGGAAGAGGGCTCAGTGGCTGGTGGAGTCTGCTGAGGATTTGGTGTTAGGGGCCCAGTAGGTGGCCTGACTGGGCTGCAGGGGCCGAGGAGTCCAGCGCTGCCTTTCCGTGGCCCGCACTTGAGCCCTGCACGGGTGTGACCCCTGGTCAGAGCACTGACTGCCCAGCGCACCCTGGGGTTGTGTCGTCAGCATTTGCCCCAAGCCCCTACCTGTTCCACTAACAGCAGATCACAGGGCCTGGAATTCAATGAGGACCCTCAGGTGGGGACCCCCAGGCAGGTCTGGCTGTGGAAGAAGGCAGCCGGGGAGTCAGCCAGGCTGTGCAGCGGGGCCCAGTCTGAGTGACGGGGTTCCTGGCTTTCGGCAGGTCCCTGTTTGAACATCATCTGACACGGTCATGTTCCTGCTAACTTCTCTTCCCTTCCACAGACGCACCTGCTCTCAAAGCTACCCATTCCCGACAGCCAGGTCCTCACTGTCAACCCTGCCCTGCCTGTAGAGGACGCTGCGGAGGACTATGCCAGGAAACTGAGGCAGGTGGGTCCCGGAACAGGTGGAGCAGCTGTGGAAGATGGGGACACCGTTGTCATTCAGAGGGCGTGGCCCACTGCAGAAACTAAGGCTGGGGCCTCACGCCTCAGGGACACTGGTCTTCAGACCCAAGGTCCTTGGTCATTGAACGGGAATTGAGTATGCTGCTGATGTCTGGTGGGACAGCGTGCCTGTGACCCCAGCACTTGGGACACTGAGGCAGAGGACTGTCGGAAAACACTGCAGATCTTAGACCATGCCGAAGCTGCCCGGTGCCAGGATGCCGCTGTGCAGAGAGCATGGTGGGCGGCTCTTGCTGAGGGATGCCCCCTCGGGACAAGGTGGTTAAAGCTGAGGCTGGAGGGACCAGACATGGACACCTGGTTCCGACGTCTTTCTGTGTAACCTCTGACCCCTGCAATGCTCTGACCCACCGTCCTCCCTGTCAGGCCTTCCAGGGAGATCCTGTCCCGGTGTTTGACCTCCTGATCCTGGGAATAGGCCCGGACGGCCACACCTGCTCCCTCTTCCCTGGTCATCCCCTCCTACAGGTGAGCATGGGACCCATCTGGGCTGTCAGTCTCCTGGTATGTGAGCACCCACACCCCCAGCCCAGCCCCGCAGAGCCCCAGATACCTTGGACATGGTGACAAATGCCTGTCATCCCAGCACTTAGGAAGCACCGTAAAGATCGCAGAGGCTGAGTGCAGCCGGGGTCCCAAACACCCAAGACTGTCACACGAGAGTCTGGTGGCACTGTAGACTCAGTGTTTGGAGGGGGCGGGGGCGGATTCATTCCAGCAACACAAGGGTGGACATGACCTGTTCCCACCGGGCCTCCCCCAGGAACAAGAGAAGATCGTGGCTCCCATCAGTGACTCCCCCAAGCCACCACCGCAGAGAGTGACCCTGACACTTCCTGTGCTGAATGCAGCCCAGAATGTCATTTTCGTGGCCACAGGGGAAGGCAAGGCAGCAGTGCTGAAGGTAAGGACGATCGGAGGGCGGTCGGGGACACGGATGTGAGAAGGCAGAGGTCACCGTCCCTGCCACCAAGTGATGCTGGCTGTGGTCATGTGTGTCCAACCCTTTCCTGAGGACAGGATGGTTGGGGCTTGATGGCCGCCGGCCTAGTGCCAGCCTCAGTGGGGACGCTGTGTCAAGGGAATACGGTGCAGGGGGTTGGTAAACTGAGACACCACACACATTTAAAGAAAAAGAAGTTTGTTCTTCAGAGGACCCAGCACAGCAGGTCACAAGCATCTTCTGCTTTAGTGCTGGGGTTCAGACGCCCTCTTCTGGCCTCTGTGGCCCTAGGCACCCACACATAAAATAGAAATAAAACAAAAAGTTACAAAGGGGGGGCAAGATGGTTTAGTGGGTAAAGGTGCTTGCCACCAAGAGTGAGTTCAGTCCTGGTTCTCAGACAACCTGAGTTTGGTCCCCAGCACCACCTGTTGCCCCCATATTGAGGAGGTAGAAGCAGGGGGATCATCCTTGGCTACCTAGCAAGTTCAAGGGCAGCCTGGGCTGCATGAGGCTCTGGCTCCTAATAAAACAACAAACAAACCCACACCACGGAGCTTTAGAGCCCACGGAGCACAGAGGAGGACTCCCACGGGTGCCTGTCCCCACATCCGAACAGACCCCGGGTCCGAGCCGCTCGGTCTGGTGCTGGGGTCTGAGGCGGGTCCGGGTTTTGCACACAGCGCATCCTGGAGGACAAGGATGGAGCGTTGCCCGCCACCATGGTGCAGCCGCGCTCGGGCGCCCTCTGCTGGTTCCTGGACGAGGCGGCCGCACGGCTGCTGTCTGTGCCCTTCGAGAAGCATTCCACGCTGTAGCGCGGGCAGCATGCGTGGGCACTCCGGGGCTGGCCCCCGGCCTCCACCCTGGGCTTTCTGGAAAAGCCGCCGGGGGTCGCGGGAGCGGGCTGACTGGGAATTAAACAGAGCATTCTGGAATTCTGGTCCCTGTGGTTCTTGGTGGCGGAGTTGGGCGGACAGCACCCTGGGGGCCTCGGCGCAACGTGGAGCCTGGCAACTGCGCGCCACGCCATGCGCACATCGGAAAAGGCGGTTCTCGGCTCCGGGCGTTAGAGCCTGTGTTCCAGCCGAGCTGAGGGAGACAAGCATCATGACAGGCATCATGCCGGGCTTCCCCTGGCACCCGAAGCCCTCCCACAGCCTCGAGCGAGGTGAAATATCTTGAGCTTTCCCCATGATGCCACAGGGTCACATAACAATGAGAGAAGTGTCTGAGGCGAGTCGGGATGTCCCCTGAGACGGTTTTCTCCCCCCTCCTGCAGTCACTGAATGCAGGTATACTGGCTGGCGCTCAAGCCGCCACCCTGGCATGAAGTGGATCAGTGGCCTGTTGGTCCTGCCCCCTCCCAATCCCGGGGGTCTAGTTGGGGAGGCTGGAGGAGCTGGCTGTGGAATTCGCGGGGCATCCCCAGGAAGGTCCCACGAGCCAGACATGAGGTGGCCTTGAAGCCTCCCTGAGCCAACCTGGAGCGGAAGGGTGGGGTCCAGAAGCACAAATGTCGAGTTTCTTTTGGTGTCTGGTCCCTGAGGACAATGTGTGACAATGAGGAAGTGGAACGGGCTGGGACACACAGTGAGGACACAGAAGGGAAGCTGCCCTGCTGGGGACTTCCACGGCCAAGGGCAGAGGCTGAGCCTGATAAAGGGAAGTGAGTGCGTGAGGACCCGTGGGAGCAGCCCTGCAAGGGACATGCACCAGTGCCTGTGTCCGTCTCAAGGGCACATTACTGCTGTGCTGTTGCTGCATAGGACCTGCCTCATGCTCCGAGGTGGCTGCTTATGCCCCAGCTGTCAGCCTCTGGAAAGGGGAGGGAAAAGGGAGCATCCTCCCTCGAGGGCAGACTTGCATTCCCTATACACTATAATCCACGCCCCAGGTCATTTGCTTGTTTGGTCTGTTCTTTTTGTTGAGACAATACTTCAGGTAGCCCAGGTTGGCCTCCATTACCTAAACTCCTGATCCCCCTGTCTCTGCTTTCTGAGTGCTGGAAAAGCAGAGGTGTGCCACCCCACCCACCCGTGTCAGGGCATAGTGGTTTCCCACACTGCCTTGGTCTCCCCGGGGACGGTCCCCACTGTCCCCCACAGGAACCCCCAGTCTTGGTCGGGCCTGTCCCCAGGGGACGGGAGGAGGCAGGTGCAGACAGGAGGGCTCGGGGCTGTACCCAACGGCAGGCAGTGCCTCCCGGAACTTGGGCCACTTGACTGCTACCCAGAACCCTGCGCAGAGGGACCCGGGAGAGCTCTGCCCAGTGCAGGATGGGGGCGCGGCCTTCCATCCCCTTGGACAAACGGCAGCAGCAGCAGCTGAGGGGTGAGCCGGGATTGGGGTCGGGCCACGCTGTCCGCTGGCCTGGGCACCAGATGTGTGGTTCCTCGTGGTTCTCTTGTCCTGATGGGAGTGGGCTTGTATTGGAAGATTCCAGAGACAGGGCTTCTCTGTGTAGTTCAGGCTGGGCTCGAAACCAGAGATCCACCTGCCTCTGCCTTCCACGGGCTGGGATTAAAGGTGTGAGCCACCACTGCCTGGCTTTGGAAGATTCCAGATTTAAGTGAAACTCAAGTGGCTGAGCATGGTATTGAACAGCTGTCATCCCAGCACTCAGGAGACAGATCCTTGAGTTCCAGGCCAGCCTGGGCTACATGTGACCCTGCCTCGAAACAAATGGAAAGTGAAGTGTGGCCCACTGAGGGCGGAGGAGGGGCCGCAGGCAGGTGGAAGGGATCCCCACCTGACCGCAGACCGCCCTCTTGGCCGGGAGGCTGGCTGCATGGACATTGGGTCTGAGGCTTTCTGTACTGGCCTACACTAGCCCCAGGAGAGGGGTGGACACTCATGGTCCCGACTAACAGGATATGGTGTCTGGTCCCCAAGGGGAGGTGGCTAGGCCAGGCTGGAAGAGGGTGCATGGTTGGCAGCCAGTGCGAGAACAGCATTTGGGGAGGGAGCTCCCCGTGCAAAGTCTGCTTGTCTGCAAATCATCTCTCCAAGTCCCAGGACTGACTGCTGCCCGCATTTGCTACGTGCTGCTGGTGAACCCCTCTGCCGCACTGTCCTGATGAATGAGGGTGGAAACACCTCTGTGTGCGCCTGCGTAGGCCAGCGGCTAACAGCGGCTGTCCTCAGTCGGCGTCCCCCTCACTGAGGCACGGCCTCGCCCCTGCCGGGCTCACTAACTCAGGCTCATGTGGCTGGCTGGGCTGCCTGAGATGCTGAGGCAGGTCCCTGGCCACAGTGTGGTGCCTTCTCCCCGCAGGTCAGGTGGACAGCATGTTGAGGGCCTTCCTGCCGTGTTACCGCAGGCAGCTGGCGGCAGCCGTCCTGAGGCAGATCTCCAGGGAGCTGGGACCGCAGGAGCCAGCAGGATGCCAGCTGTCCCCCACCAGAGTGCGTGCGTGCGTGCGTGCGTGCCTCGGAGGATGGCACTCCCTGCCAGGCACCCTCGGGCGTGTGGGGACCCAGCTGTGGTTGTCTCCAGAGGACAGGTGCTGGGGAGGATGCATTGGCCTCAGGGCCTTTGCACGAGTGGATCGGGAAGCCAGGCAGGCGGAGGAGCAACGGCGTGTGCAAAGGCCTGAGCCTGGCCAAGGCCGGGTAGTGAGCGAGGCCCAGCCTCCTCGTGTTCCTGAGCCGCTGTTGTAGCTGTAGTGCCAGAGAAGCCGTGATACGACCCATGCCTGTGTTCCTTGCTCCTTGTCCCTCTGACCCTGTCCCTGGAAGCTCAGGGCTCATTAGATCAGACAGCCTGGAGCTGTAGCCTCTAAGGCTCCCATGGCCCCCATCTGTCCCTACCCTGGGACAGTCCTGGACTAATGAGGGCCACAGAGCAGAGGGAGTCACGGGAAGGCTGCACTGCACAGGTGACTGGAACCTGGGGTTTCTCACTGGCTCCCTTCCCTCCCTACTGAGGGAGGCTCTGAGGGCAGAGGTCACCTCTGGGGTCCCGTCCTGTCCCATGCAGGACATCCCCCCCCCACCTGCTACAATTTTGTTTTTGCTTTGAGACAGAGACGCATATAGCTGGGCTGGTCTTAAACCTGATGTGTAGCTGAGGCTGACCTTGAACTCCTGACCTTCCTGTCTCAGCCTTCCTGGTGCTAGGAGCACAGAGTGCTAGGCTGCCTTTGAGCCTCAGGACTATGATGGGTAGATGTGACCAAGCCTACGCGACACGTGTTTTCCTTTGGGTCTCTGCAGCCCAGGCTGTCTACATGGGAAACTGAGGAAGGAGGGTCACTGGCGTCCCCACGGTACCACAATCAGATTCTGTCACAATTAACCAACTAATGTAAAAGAAAAGCTGAGTGCCCTGCTTTTGGTGGCAACTGAAACTCAGGCAGAGTTCAGGGGACCCTAAAATCTGCTCTAGACCCAACGACAGCTGTCATCCTCTTCCAGAAGCTTCCCCGAGTCCGGGAGCACCAAGGACCCTTGACCCTGCTGCGGGGTCATCCGCCACAGTGGCAACCCACCTTCTGTGTTCTGCGTGGGGATGGACGTCTGGAATGGTTCAGCCAAAAGGAGGTGAGTGGAAGACCAGAGGCCCTGCCTAGAATCCCCCAGTGAGGAGCCGGGGTGTAGCCCAGTGGTAGAGCCCATGCCTAGAGTCCCCCAGTGAGGAGCTGGGGCGTGGCCCAAAGTGGAGCATCTGCCTAGAATCCCCCAGTGAGGAGCTGGGGCGTGGCCCAGTGGTAGAGCCCCTGCCTAGAATATCCCACTGAGGGACTGTGGGTCTGGCCCTGGGGTGCAGCCCCTGCTGAGAATCCCCACTGAGGGGCTGGGGCGTGGTCAATGGCAGAGTCCTGGCAGTAACGTGTGGGAGATCCTGAGCTGCAGAAGGCCCAGAGGCCTAGGGCCGTGCTCCGGGCCAGCTTCCCGGCTCCCGTGCTGGGGAACCTGTTTGGTCTCAAGTCTTTGTCTGGTCGTAGGAGTATGAGTCTGGGGGCCGTCCCCTGGGCTGCGCAGCCCTGACCGGGTACAAGCTGCTCACCTCCCAGCGTGAGTACCTCTGCCTTCTGGATGACCTCTGTCCAAGTTCCCCTGGTAAGCGCCCCTGGGTTCCTTCAGCTCCCCGCACCGTGGGCATCTGCCCTCCCTGTGCCCGCGGGAGCTGACTTGATCCTCCTCCGCCTGTCGCCAGTAGCAGCTTCCTACCCACAGCGTGACTCAGTGTCTACAGATGTTGCCAGCTGTCCCTTGGGGGCTGGCGTTGTTCCTCGAGTGAGTACGCTTGCTTTGGGAAGGAAAAGGACCCACAGTCCCTAGGAGGACATCAGTAACGTCAATGGAACAAAACCCAAATAGCAAAGAAACGCTGGTGTCACACGCCTTTACTCCCAGCACTCGGGAGGCAGAGGCAGGGGGATCTCTGTGAGTTCCAGGACAGCCAGGTCTACACAGAGAAACCTTGCCTTGGAAAACAAACAAAAAGAATAAGGCAACAAAACAATACAATAAAAGTCAGGGCTGGGAAGATGGCTCAGGCTGCTCACAGCTGCCTGGAACTCCGGCCCCAGGGCGTCCGGTGCCTGTGTTTGACATATGGCTAAAGATAATGAAAAGCCATAGAAGCCAGTGTCCGCATGCAGGCACAGACATGGTGGGAGCAGTAGTAGGTTGCGCAGTGTGCACAGGCCAGCTGGGGCCCGGGCTCCGAGTTTCCCTCACTCCGCCCCTGTTCACCTGCTCCAAAAACGACTTTCATCTTGCCAGCCCACACAGTACTAGGCTTCTGCTGTGCTTAATCGTTGAGACAGCTTTTGCTCCAAAGCCCAGGCTGGCCAGGAAGTCACACAGGCTCTCCGGGCTGCTGCCTCACTTTCAGGAGATCTCGCCCAGGAGGAGCCTCTGAGGGTGCTGGAGGAGCCGGTGAGCTTTGCGCTCTTCCTGGTGCACCCGTTCCGGGCTCACCTCTGCTTCCGCGCCGGCACACGGGGAGCGCAGCGCGCCTGGAGGCTCAACCTGCAGGGTGCCATCCGGCTGCGAGCCACCGGTGCGTCGGGGCAGAGCAGGGCGCGGGTGGGAGGCTGCAGGACGATGGGCGTAGGTGCGGGGCTCCCTGGAGAGGGCCGGGGCGCAGCGCGCGGCTGACGGTGCCCTCAGTCCTACAGCGCAGCCGGGCGCCCGCGGCCCGCGCCTTCCTGGACGCCGTGCAGCTCTATAGACGACGCCGGGGCTTCGCCGGCGGCGAGGACGCTACGCTGGGCTCCGACGCGGAGGTGAGTGGTGACCCGAGGCCTGGGTGGGTTCCGCCACCCGCCGCACACTACACCTCCACGCCTCCCTTGTAGGTGCTGAGCGCCGAGCTGATGCGGGAGCTGTTGCCCGGGCTGCGCTCACAGGCGCTGCGGGGTCTGCGCGGTGCGGGGCGCGCCCGGGCCCGGGCCTGCGCGGAGGTGTGGAGCGGGGTGCGGCGAGGTGGGGGAGAGAGAAGGGGACGCCCCCAGCCCCACGTGCTCGCCCACACCACCTTCGACGCTGCAGTTCCTCGACGCCGTGCACGCGGCCGTCCTGGCCCGGGCATCTGCAGGTCTGCGCGCCTTCCAGCCAGAAAAGGACGCGCTGCTGGCGGCGCTAGAGAGGACGGCACGCGCAGAGCTCGAGCACATCCTCCGGGAGCGGGCTCTACGGGCGCGGAGACTGGAAGGCGAGCCGAGGGGCGGGGCCTCAGAGCGAGGGGCGGGGCCTAGGCGGGACAGAGCGGGAGGCCAAGGGTGGGGCCAGGAAATGTAGGGGCGGGGCCGGCCGAGAGCGGGTGTGTCGAGCAGGGGAGGGCCGCCTGGAGGCGGCTACCAGCGGGTTGGACGGAGCTTGCCTGAGGGGGTGGGGTCTTGTGACTGGAAGGTGGGGCCTAATCGACGCGGGGCGGGGCCTGGAGGATAGGCTTGGGAAAGGGAAATAGTCGAGCTTTAGAGTCTGATTCAGGAAGGGAGGCGCACGGTGGCGGTGGCCTTGCAGGGAGGACCTGCTCTGCAGCCCCGTTATCAAGTCTCGGGTTTGAATCACCCTCTGCTTCCTCGGTCCCTGCCTTTGGGTCAGGTCTCAATGCTCCTACTTAGCCTCAGTTTCCTCAGCTGCAAAATAGGTATTAAGCTGGCCAGGTTGAGGCCCCTGCTCCTGGGCATCCACTGAGTGCCTGGTAGAGAACTTCAGGTCCACCTTTCCCCTCAGCTGAGATCCAGGACGCCCTGGAGGCGTGCCTGTGCCGCATGGTGGACCCGCAACTGTCCCAGCTTACCCTCGCGCTGCTGAGCCCCGTGGAAGCCACGCTCGGAGCTGTTCGTACCCTCCTCATCCGGGGCATGGACCGGCTGTCTCACCACCTGCGCAAGAACCCTTCAGGCCCTCGGCTGCGCAGGGAGGTTAGCCGTGGGCCGGCAGCGGCTTGTCCCCCTCGGCCTGCCTGTATCCGAAGCCAAGGGTGTTTCCTCATCCGACCGGTATTCATGCGTAGGTTTATGACTTTGGGGAGATGCCTTGGGATCCAGAGCTGATGCAGACCTGCTATCGGGAGGCAGAGAGGAACCGCAGCCGCCTGGCCCAGCTGGCAGAACCCTTTGGCTTCCTGGGGATGCAGAGCCTGGTGTTTGGGGCCCAAGATCTGGCACAACAGGTGAGAGCCAATGCGAGTATGCATTGGGCATCCCTGGTGGAGGGAGAGCGCGCATTTGTGGGGAAGGGATGGGCCCAGCGGGGAGGCAGGCAGAGCCTGGAGAGAGTGGGTCTGTGGAGGGCACCAGGGAGCCTCTGTGAGCATGGCCAGACTCAAGGTTTAGAAGGCTGCTGTTAGCTGAGGCTGGAAGCCCTGGTCCAGATGCGGGTGAGGCCGTGCCAGCCTGGCAGAGGCAGGAGGATCAGGATACCAGGGTCATCCTCAGCTGCACAGGGAGTTTGAGGCCAGTGTGGTTATGCCAGGACCTACGGAAAACAAAAAGAAAGACATGCTTTGAAGGCAGCGATGGGGCCCTGCGGTGGACACGGAGTGCCGCAGGAACAGCCTGAGGTGACCCATTGGTGCCTGGCACAGTTGTTCAGTTTATGCTGCCCGGAAGCACTCCCCAAGGCAGCTACCCATCTTTCCTGAGACTGCAGCCCAGGGGGCAGCGGCCTGACCCAGGCTTCTGGGAAAGCATCGGGCATTAGAAGCCTGAGCCAGCCAGGCAGTGGTGGCACACACCTTTAATCCCAGCACTCGGGAGGCAGAGGCAGGCGGATCTCTGAGAGTTCAAGACCAGCCTGGTCTACACGAGCTAGTTCCAGGACAGCCTCCAAAGCCACAGAGAAACCCTGTCTCGAAAAACTGAAAATAAATAAATAAATAGAAGCCAGAGCAGGGTCCTGGGGTGTGGGGTCATCTGGGCACCTCCTTCACAGCTCATGGCGGATGCAGTCACCACCTTCCTGCAGCTGGCGGACCAGTGTCTAACATCAGGTCTGGACTGCGGCCAGGCAGCTGAGCAGCTCGAGAAAGTCCGGGGCCTTGTGCTGAAGGTGAGGTGGGTGGGAGGGGCCACAGCTGGAGTCCTGGGCCGCTGCACAGCCTGGCTGTGTCCCTGCAGAAGCTCGCCTCGGACGGTGAGAGCGCTCGGTGGAGGTTCACCCAGGACTGGCTGCTGGGCATCTTGTGGCCCTTTGTGTGGACCCAGCTTGGGGTGAGCAGCAGCTCGGTGAGCAGACACTTGAGACATCTGCGGGGGGCGGGGTCTGCTTGAAGCCGCTGGGAGAACGGGACCCCACCTCTGCCCCCAGAATGGGGGCCTCTTCTGGGGTCCACGGTGCCCCATGCATCTTGGCTCATCCCAATGCTTTCTGACCACACACACTCCAGAACCCGCCCCGCCCCGCTGCGCATGTGCGGCTCTGTTTCTGTGGGAGACTCAGCTGTGCAAGGGTCCTGGGGAGGACTGCCCTGTGTGTTCAGGACGGGGAGCACTACCCTGTGTGTTCAGGACGGGGAGCACTGCCCTGTGTGTTCAGGACGGGGAGCACTGCCCTGTGTGTTCAGGACGGGAGCACTGCCCTGTGTGTTCAGGACGGGAGCACTGCCCTGTGTGTTCAGGACGGGAGCACTGCCCTGTGTGTTCAGGACGGGGAGCACTGCCCTGTGTGTTCAGGACGGGGAGCACTGCCCTGTGTGTTCAGGACGGGGAGCACTGCCCTGTGTGTTCAGGACGGGAGCACTGCCCTGTGTGTTCAGGACAGGAGCACTGCCCTGTGTGTTCAGGACGGGGAGCACTGCCCTGTGTGTTCAGGACGGGAGCACTGCCCTGTGTGTTCAGGACGGGAGCACTGCCCTGTGTGTTCAGGACGGGAGCACTGCCCTGTGTGTTCAGGACGGGGAGCACTGCCCTGTGTGTTCAGGACGGGAGCACTGCCCTGTGTGTTCAGGACGGGGAGCACTGCCCTGTGTGTTCAGGACGGGAGCACTGCCCTGTGTGTTCAGGACGGGAGCACTGCCCTGTGTGTTCAGGGTCAGAGAGGTGGTGACTGAAACTGGAGCTGAGGGAAGAAACAGGAGGAAGAGGTGGGCGGGGAGGACCCGGGTGGGCGGGGAGGACCCGTGGGGAGGACCCAGCCTCTGGCTACCTATAAGTCAGGACCAGCAAGCATGGGTGTCAGTAGATGCTAATAGGACCCAGGGGAGTGACTGTGGGTTGGTCTCGGCTGAGGTGCCTGGGGTCGGGTGGCTGTGTGGGCCCATCTGTGGCACGTGCTCCGGCATGTGGCCATGGGTGAGAGGTCCGTGTTACAGAGGGAAATGAGTGCTCCAGCAGATGTGACCGGAGCACACAGGTCCTGCATCCAGCCGAGCTCCTGACTGTGGTCCTAGGAACAGCCTGAGGTGGATGGGGACATCCCGGCCATGGGCTGCCAGGTCCTGACCACTGAGGGAGTCTGCAGGGACGTCATCCGGGGCCTCCTTCTGCAGAGAATCGATGGCGGTGAGTCCCCAGCTGGAGCTCAGGGGAGCCTCGCTCAGTCCCTATCCTGTGGATGCTTGCCCAGGACTGGAGGGATCCTGGGCGGGCGGTGCTGGGGCTCCCGGGGGGGGGACTGGAATGAGATTCTCAGGGGGCTGCTGGGGTTCTCAGGAAGATGAGAGAGGGGCAGTTGTACCTGGTACCAGAGGGTTGACCTGGAGTCCACTCAGGAGCTTCTGCAAGTTCACAAAGCCTTTGGAGACGGCAGAGGAAAGAGGGACTGGGAAGGTTCGGCCAGCGGCAGAATGCAGAGATGATAGAGTCCCAGGGGCCAAACAAAAAGGGAGCTGAGGTGGTCACTCAGACCTACCATCCAAGCAATCCTTCTGTCTCAGCATCCTGAGTGCCTGAGCCCACATGCCCAGGAGAGGAGAATGTTTTTAAGGATTGTTGTCATTTTATTGCCTGCATGCCATCTGTGAGAGTGTCAGGCCTCCCGGAACTGGGGTCACAGATGGGTGAGCTGCCCTGTGGGTGCTGGGAACGGAACCTGGCTCCACTAGTACAGCAACCAGTGCTCTCAGATGCTGAGCGTCCGCTTCCAAGAGAGAAAGTTTTAAATGCGGCCTAGATAAGCTTCTGACCCCAGAGCCTGTGTACATGCTTAGGGCATTCCATCTGCCATTGATTTGTGATGTCTGCGCAGAGCAGCAGGTGGGTGGTGCTGCCGCTCCCCTGGCTGGGTGCAGAGCAGCTACTGATTAGCGATGTCTCCTATTCTAGAGTTGAGAAAGATCCCTGGTGCCTGGGACCGAACCTGCACCCTGGCTGACGGCTCATCAGCCCAGTGGACCCCGGAAGGAGTGGGTGAGCACCTCAGTGATTCTGGGCCACCGAGGCATGGCTGTGGGGTTGTGCGGTGTGTATAGGAGTGTGGCAAGGGGAGAGTGGATGAACAGGATGAGCTTCATCTCCTGAAGTGGCCAAAGCCATGGTGAGCAGGTGGAGGAGCTGCAGGCTGAGACGCACGGTGACGGGCTTGTGTCCCGTTCCTGCCACCTAGACACAGTCGGGGTCTTGCAGTCACTTTCTGTCATCAATGCTGGGAGGGGAGGTGGTGGTGGTCAGCAAGGGCACTTTGAGGCAAGGTAACTTGGGCTTACTCGTTACACAGCCGTAGCTGACTTTGACTCTGCCGTTGATCTGTTTAGTTTCCACAGCCACGAGTTCACGTGAAGTCACTCAAGGGGAGTAATAGAAAGACTTTGCAGGGTCAGATGCTTACACACAAGGAACCTGGGGATGCCTCCACCTGCCGCATACACCGGGGTGGCCCTGAGTCCACCTCAGGGTGTGGAGAGACAGGCTCGCATTTCCACAGGACTCTCCAGCGTGTCTCCCGCCTGGCAGGCCACTGAGTCACACGGCTTGCCAGTCCCTCTTGTTTGTGAGCCCTGTCCCTGCTCCGGCCTCCTTACCTGTGGATCCCCCAGGCCCTGCCCCAGCTTGTGACATGTGACATGGGACATCGAGGTGACAGTTACCATTTCCACAGAGGAGAGAGTTGAGGCTCAGGTCTGAGACGGAGAGACCCACTCGGGTGGCCAGATCCAGCCTCTCCAGCCCCCCTGCTTCCAAGCACCCCAGCAGTCTTCACCCACACCCATCCTAGGGACGATGGATGAAGATCCAAGCATGTGAGCTGCTTCTGGATTTTTAACCGCTGCAATCCAGCAGAGCATCACAGACTGTATGTTCCTGCTAGACTTCCTACACTCGAGTTCTGAGGCACCATAATAAGACTGTAAAGAAAACAACTAAAAAACCCAAACATACCCCAAAACTTCTGTTGATTTGACACATGTAATTTCATTAATTGTATTTTTTAAACTTTTTTGCTTTAAAAATCCATACAACTAAAATTTTTTCTTTTAAAATTTGTGTGTGTGGTGTGGTGTATGTATGTATGTGTGTGTGTGTGTCTGTGTGTGGTGTGTGTGTGTCTCTGTGTGTGTGTGTGGTGTGAGTGTGTGTGTGGTGTGTCTGTGTGTGTGTGGTGTGTGTGTGGTGTGAGTGTGTGTGTGGTGTAAGTGTGTGTGTGTCTGTGTGTGGTGTGTGTGTGGTGTGTGTATATGTGAGTGTGTGTGGTGTGTGTGTCTGTGTGTGTGGTGTGTGTGTCTGTGTGTAGTGTGTGTGTGTAGTGTGTGTGTGGTGTGAGTGTGTGTGTGGTGTGAGTGTGTGTGTGGTGTAAGTGTGTGTGTGTCTGTGTGTGGTGTGTGTGTGGTGTGTGTATATGTGAGTGTGTGTGGTGTGTGTGTCTGTGTGTGTGGTGTGTGTGTCTGTGTGTAGTGTGTGTGTGTAGTGTGTGTGTGGTGTGAGTGTGTGTGTGGTGTGAGTGTGTGTGTGGTGCGTGTGTGGTGTGTGTGTGGTGTGTGTGGTGTGTGTGTGTCTGTGTGTGTGGTGTGTCTGTGTGTGTGTGTCTGTGTGTGTGTGGTGTGTGTGTGGTGTGTGTCTGTATGTGTATGTATGTGGTGTGTGTGTGTGTGGTGTGTGTGTGTGTGGTGTGTGTCTGTATGTGTGTGTGTATGTGTGTGGTGTGCGTGGTGTGTGTGTGTGTGGTGCCGTTGCAGTCAGAGGACAACTTTTGGAAGTGGGGTTTTCTCTTTCTATCAAGTAGGTCTTAAGGATTGAACTCAGGTCATCAGGCGTGACAGCAAGTGTCTTTACCTGATAATCCATCTCGATGGCCCTCATTTTTACTTTCATCATCGTTTGAATTCTAAAGGTCTGTGTGCTTGATTGGTCGAAGTCCCGCCCCCAGCCCAGCCCGCTGGGCGCCTCTGTCCTGGCTTCTAGCAGCGCTGATGTTGGTCCTGAAACCTGGATTCCTCGGGTTGCCGCCTCCCTAGCTGCTTCTGGAAGGTTCCAGAGAGTTTCCCCCAACACTCCCTGAGACCCTGTGTCAGTTCCTGGCCTCAGCACCAGGACATTTAGATTTTAAATTTGCTCATCGTGCATAGCTCTGGCTGCAGCAGATATCCACCTAGACCCAGGCTAGAATGCAGAAGCTAATTCTGGAAACAGGGCGGAAGCAAGAACACCCTGCCGCCACCTATGAGAGCAGCTGTGGGTTACCAGAGCCAAGTCCTTCCCAGAGGAATAACCCAGTGTGGATTTACTTCCTTAGTATGAGATTTCATGAAATCCACAGAGTACTGAGTGTATTTTTTAAGATTATTTTTTTCATTTTTTAAAACTGTTTACACATGTTTTCCCCAGTTCCCTCTCCCTCCCCCTCCTCCCTGGCCCCCAAAGCTCCTACTCCCCCTCCCACTCCACCCCCCTCTGTTCCCAGGGAGGGTGTGGCCCTCCATAAGGGATTTTCGGGGTCTGTCATATCATCCCAGGCAGGGCCTAGGTCCTCCCCCATGTGTCCGTTTTTTTTTTTTTTAATTTAAAGCATGCTCTCAAACTGACACCCATATGCCCCAACATCAACCAAGTTAGCCCGCCCTGCCACCCCCTCAGAATGAGTACCCTTTTCCAGAAATACCCAAACATGTTTCCCCCAGAGATCCTCCTGCCTCAGCTTCCGAAGTGCTGGGATTTTAGCCTGGTGCAAAGTTAATTGTTGTTTGTTTTAATTGTTCGTTTAGCTTAAATGGAGTCTGGTTTTTTGTTTTGTTTTGTTTTTTTGTTTTTGTTTTTCGAGACAGGGTTTCCCTGTATTGTTTTGGAGGCTGTCCTGGAACTCACTCTGTAGACCAGGCTGGCCTCGAACTCGTGATCCTCCTGCCTCTGCCTCCTTCAGCAAATCCTACCGGCGTGCGCCACCACAACCGGCTTAAATGGAGTCTGATGTAGCCCAGGTTTTTCTGGACTTGTCCGTGTAGCTGAGGGCACTTTGGCCTGGGGGTGACAGGTTAGTCATCACTGGCCGAGCTACTACTTAGAAATGATGTTAGCATGATTAATGAGAATATAACCAAAAAAACATGGGAAGGCTACTGGTACTTCACACCATTAATCCCAGCACTCGGGAGGCAGATGTAGGCAGATCTGTGAGTTCAAGGCCAGCCTGGTCTACAGAGTGAGTTCCAGAACAGGCAGGGCCACACAGAGAAACCCTGTCCTGAAAAAACAGAGCAAAGACAAAACCAAAAAAGCCTGTAAAGAAACACGGGTACTGTCTCCAGAGAACCTACTCAACAAACCGGAGCCTCTGGGTTCTGGCTCCAATGTTATGCCCTACTGACGTCCCTGAAGTCACTCGTTTTACAGAATGAGTGGGGAGGGGGCTGGGTTCGATCCCAGGGCCTTCAAGTTCAGCACCCCTGGAGGAGGGTAGGGACTAGACGCAGAAGGGTCCCGGTGACTTTATAGTAAGCCTTGGCTGTACAGTGAGTGCCACCCTGTTTCATAAACCAGAAAGGGGGTAACGGCTCAGCTGGTAAAGCTGCTCGCGGCCCTTTGTTGGACACACAAACAAGCAAAATTTAACGGAAAAAATTACAGCTAGGTTCTCTTGTTGCTCTTCCCTAGGGGAGGAGTTCGATTCCCAGCCCCACATGGCGGCTCACAAGCGCCTGTAACTCCATGCATGCTCATGGTGGACAGCCATGCATGTGGGCAAAACATTCGTGCGCAGAAATGAAAACATAAAAACAGCGGGAGGAGGCACTCAGAAGCCGCGGAGGTCAGAGGACAACAGTTGACATGGCAAGCGTGGCAGCAAGCACTTTCACCCACGGAGACTTTCCGCTGCCTCTTCAAAAGTAGCTCAGAAGCAACAAACAAACGAAAATAACCATGTCGCAGCCGAGGAAATGTGTACGACAAGCTCCTAATTAGACGCCTCTATATAGAGGCTCAGAGTCAATACAGAGGCCGCTTCCAGGGCGCGGTCACTGGACGTGTCTGCCCCTTTAAGGTGTGAGCTGGGGGCGGGGCCCTGGAGGCTTCTGACAGGCTGACGTCACCAGACGGGGTTGGGGCGGTGGGGCGGAAAGCTGGGTTAACTTTTAAAGGCGCGGCCTCGTCGCTCCCTCTCCCAGACGACTCACGGGCCGGCCAGAGCGCACCTCCCCTTTAAGGAGCGAGGCAGGGGCGGGACCTGGAGAACCCCGCCCCCCAGACCTCTTTAAGGCGCGGCCCTCGTCCGCCGGCAGAAAAGCGGCTTAAAGGCGACGCGTGGCGCGATGGCGGCGTTCCCCGGCGGGGCGCGGGCGCTGCGGTTGCTGCCGTTGCTGCTGCTGCTGCCGCTGCCGCTGGGAGGCCCGCGCGGTGGGGACGGCTACTTCCCCGAGGAGCGCTGGAGCCCCGAGTCCCCGCTGCAGGCGCCGCGCGTGCTCATCGCGCTGCTGGCGCGGAACGCGGCGCCCGCGCTGCCGGCCACGCTGGGCGCCCTGGAGCGGCTGCGCCACCCGCGGGAGCGCACGGCGCTGTGGTGAGCGGCGGCCCGGGCGCGGGGCTCGGCTGTGCCCCGGGGGGGCGCGGTTCTGCACCGCAGAGACTCGGGTTTGCACCCGGGGAACCGGCGATGTCCCCGAAGGCCGGTTCCGTCCCCATTGCAGCTGGGGACCCCGAGCTGCCGCCCCCTCCGCCGGGTCCTGGGCTGCTGCCAGCCCTCACAGCCGGCGGCGACCCTAGGACCCCCGGAACGGGCCAGGCTGGTGCTTCCAGACCCTTCCGGCGCGCTGCGTGGCTGCCAGACCCAGTGAGACCCCAGTGACCTGAGAGTAGAGGCCTGCAGGCCGCGGGGACAAATGGGCCCTTCTCCTAAGGGACGAGGCAGCTATGAAGACACCGTGACTCAGTTTCCCTGTTGCCTCACAGCAATGCGCTTCACAAACGTTCAGCAGTGCAGCTCAGGGCTACCTGGTTACTGCGCAGGAGGGTGCCCCCCCCCCAGACAGGGTTTCCCTGTAGCCTTGGAGGCTGTCCTGGAACTCGCGCTGTAGGCCAGGCTGGCCTCGAACTCACAGAGATCCGCCTGCCTCTGTCTCCAGAGGGTTGGGGTTGAAGGTGTGCGCTGCCACGGCCTGCTGGAGGGCGCTGTACCCAGGGCGTTTGCAGCTGGTGGTGGCTGAGCCAGCATGGGGACCCCGGTGCTTCCTGTTTTTCTCAACTTGGCTTTGTTTCCCAACTGCTCTGACCTTGTCATCCCTCACGCTCACAGGGTGGCCACGGATCACAACGCTGACAACACTTCAGCCATACTCCGAGAGTGGCTGGTGGCTGTGAAGGGTTTGTACCACTCTGTGGAGTGGCGACCAGCGGAGGAGCCCAGGTGAGCCTCTGGCACCCAAACCTAAGACGCTGGGAGCCAGCTCTTCCCACCCCACGGGGGACTTGGCCACATCCTGACCTTTGTCCCCGCTGTCTTTCTCCATTGTCCATCCTTGGACACACACCTGCCACACCTCATGGCAGAATTCCTTTGTGTCCCGTGGCGGTCTGCGGCTGTTCCGCCCCTCTAATGTCACTACTTAGCCAGGCTGGCCTGGAACTTGCCATCCTCCGGCCTCAGTCTCCTGGGGCTGGGATCACAGATCCCCACCCCACACCAGCCCGTGGGTTGCATCCAGTAAGCGCCCTGGGCTCTCCTGTTCCTTCTGTGCCCTGGATGGCCGGGGGTCTCTAGCCAGGCGGAAGTCTCTGTGGTCCTCAGCTTTCGTTCGAGCCTCTGCACTCGTGGGCAGGACACGCGGCCCTGCCCCTTGGTCCCCACGCTCTCCGTGGGGGCCTTCAGGTCGCTGAGCCTCACCCTCTGCGAAGCTCGCGGTCCCTCCAGATGTGACTCGTGCTCTGGGGCCCCGTAGTGCTCCCGGGTCCCACATCACAGCTACTCTCCCACAGCTCCTACCCGGATGAGGAGGGCCCCAAACACTGGTCTGACTCCCGGTATGAGCACGTGATGAAGTTGCGCCAGGCGGCCCTGAAGTCTGCTCGGGACATGTGGGCTGATTACATCATGGTGAGTTTCCGAGTGGGAGAGGTGGTGCTACCCAGAGGGGGGTCAGGAGCCGTGAGCAACCCCACACAGAAAACCTTGTCTCGGGGAGGGGCCTGTGGCTATAGCTCAGTGGGTACTTGGGGCCTGCGTCCCATCCCAGCCCCCCAAAAGAGCACGTGGGCTTTTGCATCTTGGGGTTGGGCACTACATTGTTTTTTGGGGGGAGGGTTCGAGACAGGGTTTCTCTGTAGTCCTGGCTCTCCTGGAACTCGCTCTGTAGACCAGGCTGGCCTAGAACACAGAGATCAGCCTGCCTCTGCCTCCCGAGTGCTGGGAGTAAAGGCTGCGCCGCCACCGCCCAGCTACGTTGTATTTTTAAAAATACACGTTTTAGAGCAACATTACTTGTGCGTGAGGGGCGTGCGCGGTCGGGACAGCTTGCAGGCGGGGCTCTCTCTCTCTCTCCCACCCTGTGGGTCTTGGGGGTTGGGGGCACGAGCTAGGTGTGTGATGTAAGTGCCAGGCAGTGGCTAAAGCCTGACTTCCTCTTCCCCGACTTGCAGTAGCCTGTAAGGAGGAAGTCTCTGGGGCTGGAGAGCCCAGTGAGTGGGAGCCCTGGCTGCTCTTAAGGTAACCCAGGGTCAGTTCACAAGCCGCTGACTTCAGGTCCTGGGGAATCTGGTGCCCCCTTCTGGTCTGTGTGGGCACTGCACTCACCCCCCCCCCCTTTTCCGATTTTTAAGATTTTTTAATTTATTTATTATGGATACAACATCCCGCCTCCATGTACATCTACACATCAGAAGAGGGCACCAGATCTCATTACGGATGGTTATGAGCCACCAAGTGGTTGCTGGGAATTGAACTCAGGTCCTCTGGAAGAGCAGTCAGTGCTCTTAACCTCTGAGCCATCTCTCCAGCCCCCGATTTATATTATTCTTTTGTGGGTTTTTTTTTTTTTGAGACGAGGTTTCTCTGTGTGGCCCTGGCTGTCCTGGAACTCGCTCTGTAGACCAGGCTGGCCTAGAACTCAGGTCCACCTGCCTCTGCCTCCCGGGTGCTGGTATTAAAGGTGTGCGCCACCACACTCGGCTAGATTACCTTATTTTTATTTGTGTTTATGGTGTTTTGCCTGCATGTCTGTCTGTGCAGCACATGTGGCCTGGCGCCTGTAGAGGTCAGGAGAGGGTGTCGTGTCCCCTGGAACTGGAGTCACAGATAACTGTGAGACCATGGAGGTGCTGGCGTCTGAACTGGGCTCCCTGCAAGAGCAGCACGTGCTGTTTGTAACTGCCGAGCCATCTCTTCAGTCCCCAGTGGTGTGTGAGTGTGTGTGTGTGTGTGAGTGCGTGCGTATGCACATGTGTGTGAGAGTATGCGTGTGTGTGCATGCGTGTGTGTATGAGCGTGTGTGTGCGTGTGCGTGTGTGAGTATGCATGTGTGTGCATGTGTGTGCGCGCGTGAGTGTGTGAGTATGCATGTGTGCATGTGTGTGTGTGCGCACGTGCATGTGAGTATACATGTGTATATGTGTGTGTGCGTGCGTGTGTGAGTATGCATGCGTGTGCATGCATGTGTGTGTGCGTGTGTGTGTGTGCACATGTGTGTGTGCATGCAACATCGGTCTGAGTGCCCGCAGGTCTCTGTCCCTGCCCGCAGGGCCTCTCTTCAGACGGTAGACTCAGGCGTGGCTGCTCCTGGGTCTGCTTGCGGCCCTGAGAGTGTTTGCCTTGGATTCCAGGGTCTCGTCTGCTCTGTTCTGATTGGTCCTTTACTTGCTGTGTTTCCTCGCTTGTAGCTTTCACTAGCTGGAACCTGTGTCCTCCAGCCTCAGCCTCCCGGGTGCTGGGATAACTGGCAGGGGCTCCGTCACTTTAACCCGCGCTGTTTTGCCCTGTGCAGTTGCTGGGCTCTCGAGACTGCCGGAGGGGCGGAGAGGCAGTGGGGGGTCTGGCAGCCAGGTTTGCTATGATAGTTAGCCAGGCACCTCAGCTGTGCGCCCGGGTTTGAAACCTAACGTCCCAGCTTTGTGTTGATAACAAATGAATGATAAGGGTCAGCTTAATCATTTATGACTGCTTCAAGCCGGGCGTTGGTGGCGCTCGCCTTTACTCCCAGCACTCAGGAGGCAGAGGCAGGCGGATCTCTGTGAGTTCGAGACCAGCCTGGTCTACAGAGAGAGTTCCAGGACAGCCTCCAAAGCTACAGAGAAACCCTGTCTCGTAAAAACCAAAAGAAAAAAAAAAGAGAGAAGGTAAGTTTTACATATGTCACGCTTCCCACTGTCTGTGACCTGTACTGAAGTCCTCACTGTAGAAGAATCAGTAGACTCACACCTTCAATTATAGCAGAACCTTGGGAACTCAAAAGTGATTCTGGGTAAAAGAGTACACTCTTTCCTCTGGCCAGAAGGCGGACGGGGCAGGTGTGTTAGCACAGTCGCTCTGGATAGTCTGGGGACCATCTAGTAAGCATACCTGATTTAAGGCTTAACTTTGAAACAGTCCATCTTCCATTAGGTTTAACCTGAAAAAATAACAATTTTGAAATGAAGCCTTCTAGCACCAAAATAAAACTTTTTAATCATGGATATAGTCCATAGACTGGCAACTCTATAGATTTTTTTTTCTTTTTTTTGGTTTTTTTCGAGACAGGGTTTCTCTGTTTTGGAGGCTGTCCTGGAACTCACTCTGTAGACCAGGCTGGTCTCGAACTCACAGAGATCCGCCTGCCTCTGCCTCCCCAGTGCTGGGATTAAAGGCATGTGCCACCAACGCCCGGCTCTATCGATCTTTTTATAGGACGTCATTGTGGGATAGTGCAGGCTTTTGAGGCTTGGTTTAGCCAAGTAAAATGAAGTGAGTAAATAAGGAAGCTTGACAACGTCACAGCAAACCTGAGTGCACTCAGGAACTTACAAATCCTGGTTATCCAAAACATACATTGTTACTTTTCTAGATTTCCTAGCAGCTTGCTGTTGGCCTGTTAGCAAAGATGTAAGTAGTCACACATACCCCTGAATCAGCTATTCTCAGGTTCTTATAACATTAAAGATGTAAGTAGTCACACATACCCCTGAATCAGCTATTCTCAGGTTCTTATAACATTAAAGATGTAAGTAGTCACACATACATCCTGAATCAGCTATTCTCAGGTTCTTATAACATTAAAGATGTAAGTAGTCACACATACCCCTGAATCAGCTATTCTCAGGTTCTTATAACATTAAAGATGTAAGTAGTCACACATACACCTGAATCAGCTATTCTCAGGTTCTTATAACATTAAAGATGTAAGTAGTCACACATACACCTGAATCAGCTATTCTCAGGTTCTTATAACATTAAAGATGTAAGTAGTCACACATACACCTGAATCAGCTATTCTCAGGTTCTTATAACATTAAAGATGTAAGTAGTCACACATACACCTGAATCAGCTATTCTCAGGTTCTTATAACATTAAAGATGTAAGTAGTCACACATACACCTGAATCAGCTATTCTCAGGCTCTTTTTTTTTAATTAATTTATTTATTATGAATACAACACCCTACCTCCATGTACACATCAGAAGAGGGCACTAGATCTCATTACAGATGGTTGTGAGCCACCATGTGGTTGCTGGGAATTGAACTCATGACCTCTGGAAGAGCAGTCAGTGCTCTTAACCTCTGAGCTATCTCTCCAGCCCTATTCTCAGGCTCTTATAACATTAAAGCTTATCATCACACGAAAATCTGTACCGATGTAAGTAGTCACACATACATCCTGAATCAGCTATTCTCAGGTTCTTATAACATTAAAGATGTAAGTAGTCACACATACACCTGAATCAGCTATTCTCAGGTTTTTATAACATTAAAGCTTATCATCACACGGAAATCTATACCAATCCAAAATATGTTGGAGAACTGTTTCCTCCGTCTAAAAGGAGGGAGAGCGGTGAATGAAGGGTTCGGAAGGTTATGATTGGTGCTTGATGCCACGTGGTCATCCTGAGATGGTGAGGTCACACAGAGTGTACCCTTTAATCTCAGTTAGGATGGCTACCAGTCATAGGACTGCTTACATCTCGAAGGTCATCAGCCAAGATGGAGGAGAGCAGCTTGACTGCTGTTTAAAACATCCGCTTTGCTAAACAAGAGGTGAACCTGTTACATCTACAGCATAGTACAGGATATTGTAGCAAATTAAGATTCCCACATGTAGGTTTTAATTGTAAGCCTTTTGCTGTAAGTTGTTTGTTTTTTGTTTTTTCAAGACAGGGTTTCTTGCTTTGGAGGCTGTCCTGGAACTCGCTCTGTAGACCAGGCTGGCCTCGAACTCACAGAGATCCACCTGCCTCTGCCTCCCGAGTGCTGGGATTAAAGGCGTGGGCCACTGCCCGGCTGCTACAAGTTTTAAGCCAAATTTTGTTACAGATTCTTTAATTAGACTCAATAAACTTACAAATCAAGCCCCAGACACAATAGTCTTAAAAATTTGAGAGCAGGACACAGAGAAATTCCAGTAGAGGTAAAAGATTTAGGAGTGGAAGTTGTAGAACCTTCCCAGATAAGAGACTTTGGGATCATTTGCCTGTGTGGCGGCAGAAGTTGTTACAATCTGCAAGAATTTGGAACTTGGAGTGTGGGGTCTCAGGAGGACAGCAAAGCTCTAAGAAAATCTCAGGTCTGCCGGGCGGTGGTGGCGCACGCCTTTAATCCCAGCACTCGGGAGGCAGAGGCACGTGGATCTCTGTGAGTTCGAGGCCGGGCTGGACCGACAGCCTCCAAAACAATACAGAGAAACCCTGTCTCGTAAAAACAAAAAAAAAAAAAGCCGGGCGTTGGTGGCGCACGCCTTTAATCCCAGCACTCGGGAGGCAGAGGCAGGCGGATCTCTGTGAGTTCGAGACCAGCCTGGACTACCAAACGAGTTCCAGGACAGCCTCCAAAGCCACAGAGAAACCCTGTCTCGAAAAACAAAAAAACAAAAAAACAAAAAAAAAGAAAGAAAGAAAAGAAAAGAAAATCTCAGGTCAAAGGAATTGAGCAAAGGAGAAAGGATCACAAGAGATATCTGCCGTAGGAGGGCCAGGCAGCCGAGACAGAGCAGTGCAGCCTTAGGGACAGCAGGGACTCCAGGCAGCTGAGACAGAGCAGTGCAGCCTTAGGGACAGCAGGGACTCCAGGCAGCCGAGACAGAGCAGTGCAGCCTTAGGGACAGCAGGGACTCCAGGCAGCTGAGACAGAACAGTGCAGCCTTAGGGACAGCAGGGACTCCAGGCAGCTGAGATAGAACAGTGCAGCCTTAGGGACAGCAGGGACTCCAGGCAGCTGAGACAGAGCAGTGCAGCCTTAGGGACAGCAGGACACGCCTGAGGGAGGGAGGCCTCGCCAAAGTCAGGAGGCAGGGAAACTGGCCATGTGCCAGCCTAGGAAGGAACAAGGAGAGAGCAGGGCTCTCAGGGAAAGGGGGCAAGGGAAGGTTGAAGACCCCACGGGGAGGTGAGGAAGTTCCGGAAGGAGCCGAGGAGCCGCAGGGATTTTAATCCAGGGCGTCCCCAAGCAGACTGAGATTTGTCAGAGAGAAGTGTCCCAAGTCACAAGGGAGAGGCCTCCCTTTCCAAGTGAGGGGGCCCAGTAGGGCGAGAGGAGCTTCCTGGTACACGGGTGGAGAGCGTGCATGTGTGTGAGCGTGCACACGTGTGTGTAAGTGGACAAAGCAGGAAGCTCTGTAGAAGGGGAGAGACCAGTGGTTAGAGCAAGTAGAGCCGTCCAAGTGCCTTAGTGGGTAGAAACCCCACCCCCACCCCCCCACCCCCGTGGGACCTCCATGGTGTTTGTCCCAAGAGGGGTGTGGCTAGGAGGGGAGACTTACTGAGCAGGCGGGGTAGAGATGGATGATTTTCTACACCCTCTCCAGTGCAACAATCCAAATCAGGCCAAATCAAGCTGAATTAGAAAAAGCCCACATTGCCGGGCGTTGGTGGCGCATGCCTTTAATCCCAGCACTTGGGAGGCAGAGGCAGGCGGATCTCTGTGAGTTCGAGACCAGCCTGGTCTACAAGAGCTAGTTCCAGGACAGCCTCCAAAGCCACAGAGAAACCCTGTCTCGAAAAACCAAAAAAAAAAAAAAAAGAAAGAAAAAAAAAAAAAGAAAAAGCCCATATTTAATGGATACAATGTTCCTGGTTGGCCTTCCAGTCCCCAGAGAATACCCTGTGGGAGTGGTCTTAGCATCTCTGGGACAGAGGCCATCATTTGGGGGGCTTTCTGAGATGCAGCAGGGTTTGGAGGGAGATGGTGCAGGGAGCTTGGATGGAACTTCCACCATTCCAGACTCTCTGGGTGTGGGATGCCAGGGGCTGGGTGAGGCTCCCACCAGAACAGGAGGGAAGGAACAGAAGAGTGGACTCCAGGCTGGAGTCTGGCGGGTGGCAGAAGCCAATGATCTGTCCATGGCTTAGGAGGCAGAGGGAACTCATTTGTGCTGTGCCCGAGTTCCAGCCCTGGATGAGTGAAAAAGAAGGACAGCCATGGCTGCTCCTAGGTGTGGTGGAGGGGAAGCTTATCCTGGATAAGAGGGAGTGAAGCCAGAGGCAGGGACACCTGGAGACCACACTGAGCAGAGAAGATGGGGGGGGCACAGGCGAGGGGAGGGACACTGACCAGGTGCTGTAGCCAGGAGGCCAAAGATACGAAAAAGGGCAGGTGACCAAAATGGCTGGATTATGGGGAAGGGAGAGGGGGAAGGGTAGCCAGCCTGAGGGATGCTGGGAGAACCTGGGGGCCATTTCCACTTTGATACATTATAGGTACCTCAGGCTCCTGTCCCAGACTTGAGCTTCTGGAAGCTCCTAGAACTTTGTGGAACCTATTGGGGCGTCCCGGAACAGACACGGTGAACCCTTCCCTGCTTTGGCTTTGTGGTTTGGGGTTGGCTCTTTGCACTCCCCCTCCGCCAGCCTGGCGAGAGGTCACTGTGAGGGTTAGCATAAGCTTTTTATAGTAGGTTCTGCTTTTCAGCAGTAGGGACTTGGGAGCATAGCTCAGAAATGAGGGATCACTTCCGTGGAAGCAAAGGGTCTCTCCAGGGTGAATTTCAGATGTGGCCTCTTGCTCTGTAGAAATGTTTTGTGTAAGGGCATCCGGTTCTGTTAACGCCGGGCTCACCAGCCCTAATTCTCCTTTAATGTAACTATTCACTCTAAACCAGGCTGGCCTGAAACTCGCAGAGACCCACTGGCCTCTGCCTCTGAGTGCTGGGACAGCAGGCGTGCGCCAGTTATTTGTTTCCGGTTTCTGAGACAGGGTTTCTCGGTGTAGCCTGTCTGTCCTGGAACTTTCTCTGGAGACCAGGCTGGCTTCAGACTCAGAGATCCGCCTTGGCCTCAAGGCGCACCACTATGCCAGCTAAGGCCCACTGTTACTAGACCTCCTAATGTCCCTCTTCCTGCAGAGACTGTGCGTGTCGTGTGCGTGTTGTGTTTGCGTGTGTTGTGTGTGCGTGTTGTGTGTGTGTTGTGTGCGCGTGTTGTGTGTGTATGTGTTGTGTGAATGTGTGTTGTGTGTGCGCATGTTGTGTGCGTGTGTTGTCTGTGTGTTGTGTGTGCACGTGTTGTCTGAGTGCGTGTTGTGTGTTCGTGTGTTGTATGAGTGCGTGTTGTGTGCGTGTGTTGTGTGCGCGTGTTGTGTGCGCGTGTTGTGTGCGTGTGTTGTCTGTGTGTTGTGTGTGCACGTGTTGTCTGAGTGCGTGTTGTGTGTATGTGTTGTGTGTATGCATGTTGTGTGTGTGCACGCGTGTTGGGGCAGGTGAGGCCCAGCTGCCTGCCATGAGGATATTTTGTAACTGCTTGGTTTAACTGAGCTGCAGCTCACCTAACACTAAATTAATCTTTTGTGTGTGGGGGGGGGTTGTTTATGGAGACAGATTCTCTGTGTTGTCCCAGCTGTCCTGGAACTAGTGGTGTGTACCAGGCTGGCCTTCAACTCACAGAGGTCTGCCTGTCTCTACCTCCCAAGGGCTGGAATCACTGGCCCAACTAGTTATTTTTATTTTTTGAGATTTATTTATTTATTACATATACAGTGTTCTGTGCAGGCCAGAAGAGGGCACCAGATCTCATTGCAGATGGCTGTGAGCCACCATGTGGTTGTTGGGAACTGAACTCAGGACCTCTGGGAGAACAGCCAGTGCTCTTAGCTGCTGAGCCATCTCTCCAGCCTCCCACTAGCTCTTATAACCTAAGTTGGCCATTTATATTAATCTGCTCTCTGCCACGTGGCCCATTCCCTCTGTACCATATGCTTCCCCTCGTCTGTCTGTGAATCCCACATGCCTCAGATGCGTTCCCAGAGTGCCTCTCTCTGCCTGGAAGTCGTCCCTGCCCCCCCATCCTCTCCTGCCTAGCTTTGACCATTCAGCTTTTTTTTTTTCAAGACAGGGCTTATTTGTGCAACAGTCCTGGCTGTCCTGGAACTCGCTTTGTCGAGCAGGCTGGCCTCATATTAAAGCAATCAGAAAGTCCCTTAGGCAGGTGAGGAAACACAGGCATCTTCACACAGTGAACAAAAGATCATCCAATCAGCGTGAATTTGTGTGTGCGTCTGTCTGGCGACTGAGTGATATTCCAAAGCGTGGGGCATTTGTATAGTTCACTTTTTGGCTCCTGTGAAGGGTGACATATTTGAACCTGTGTCTTCCATTCTTTAGGGTTCATCTCCCAGGATGGAAAGTTAGACTTATTTTTCTCTCATTTTTGGAGGTACGGCCAGGCTGCCCTGGCTCACACAAGATTCCAGTGTTTGCAGGGACCAGGTGGGACTAGCTTGACCCACAGATCCCCAGGGCAGCCGCCTCCCCAGCTGGGGACACCCAGGGATCCCAGCTGCGCCCCCAGCCCTGGATCCCAGCTGCGCCCCCAGCCCTGGTAGCCAGGGTTTCAGGGTCTCTCTGATGCTGGAGGAACCCAGTGGTGAGCTCCACGTGCACAGTTCTGGGATCGCTGACATAAGACAGCTTTCTCCATGGGGCTGAGCGTGCTTTATCAGTGCCCCGGCCTGACAGCCCAGCGCTTTTATCTTTACATGTGTAAATGCATACTTGACCCGTGTGCGTGTCTGTGTGCCTCATACCTGCCTGGTGCCCATGGAGACCAGAAGAGGGCGTCAAGCCCTTGGAGCTGGAGTTACAAACGGTTGTGAGCCACGCTGTGGGTGCAGGGAACCAAACCCGTGTCCCTCGCAAGAGCAGCTGAGCCACCTCTGCAGCCCCTCAGAGGCACCGCGAGGACTAAGGTCTCCCGGGATGTCCGTGCCTCCGCCCCGGCCTGGTCACGCTGACTGCAGGTCGCCCTTTCAGTTTGTGGACAGCGACAACTTGATCACCAACCCTGACACCCTGAGTCTTCTCATCGCCGAGAACAAGACTGTGGTGGCCCCGATGCTGGACTCCCGCGCAGCCTACTCCAACTTTTGGTGCGGAATGACTTCCCAGGTAGGCAGGGCGAGGCAGTGGTCAGCGCTCTGACGGACAAGCATTGGGGTGGGTCTGCGGGTGCCCCCACCCCTTCTTTACTGAGAGACTGGCTCTAGTTTACGTGTCAACAGCTACGAAGAGGGGTCCGGGAGGGGCAACTGGGGGTGGCTCCCATGGTCCACTACGACGGGTGACGACAGTGAGAGTGCTGGAGGCCACAGCACCCTTGCGGACCCTGCCGTAGCTGGGTGCAGGCACCGCAGTGCACCCACTGTGGGCTCCGGCGCCCCTGGTCCCTCCCCGCAGGGCTACTACAAGCGCACCCCTGCGTACATCCCCATCCGAAAGCGGGACCGCCGCGGCTGCTTCGCGGTTCCCATGGTGCACTCGACCTTCCTCATCGACCTGCGGAAGGCTGCGTCCAGGAACCTGGCCTTCTACCCGCCACACCCTGACTACACCTGGTCATTTGACGACATCATTGTCTTTGCCTTCTCCTGCAAGCAGGCGGGTGAGTGGGGCTCTGTGGGTTCCGCACTGGGCGAGACCAAGGCCACGAGTGCAGATGTGCGGGCTCAGCCGTGTGCACGGAGTTCTGCTGCCCGGCTCTGCAGCTTCAGCACACGCCCCGCCCCGCCCCCACCCCCCACCTTCACCCCCGCCCCCACCACCACCGGACATGCGACATGCGTGATTACCATTTTCACCTTCTCCCAAGTGTGTGAGTGTGAGTGCGTCTCTATGTGAGTGTGTGTGTCTCTGTGTGTGTGTCTATGTGAGTGTGTCTATGTGAGTGCGTGTGAGTGTGTCTGTGTATGTGTGTCTCTGTGTCTGTGTGAATGTGTGTTTCTGTGAGTGTGTGAGTGTGTGTCTCTGTGTGTGTGTCTGTGTATTTGTGTCTGTGTCTCTGTGTGTGTATCTCTGTGAGTGTCTGTGAGTGTGTGTGTGTCTCTGTGTGTGAGTGTGTCTCTGTGAGTGTGTGTCTCTGTGTGTGTGTCTGTGTGTGAGTGTGTGTCTCTGTGTGTGTGACTCTGTGTCTCTGTGTATGAGTGTGTGTCTCTGTGTCTCTGTGTGAGTGTGTGTGTCTCTGTGTCTCTGTGTGTGAGTGTATGTGTCTCTGTGTGTGAGTGTGTCTCTGTGAGTGTGTGTGTCTCTGTGTGTGTGTCTCTGTGTGTGAGTGTGTGTCTCTGTGTGTGAGTGTGTGTGTCTCTGTGTCTCTGTGTGTGAGTGTATGTGTCTCTGTGTGTGAGTGTGTCTCTGTGAGTGTGTGTGTCTCTGTGTGTGTGTCTCTGTGTATGAGTGTGTGTCTCTGTGTGTGTGAGTGTGTGTGTCTCTGTGTGTGAGTGTGTGTCTCTGTGTCTCTGTGTGTGAGTGTGTCTGTCTCTGTGTCTGTGTGAGTGTGTCTCTGTGTGTGTGTGAGTGTGTGTGTCTCTGTGTCTCTGTGTGTGTGAGTCAGAGGAGAACCTGCAGCCATCCGTTCTCTCCACTGTGGGTCCTGGGGATGACACTCAGATCTTAGGGCGGTGGTGGCCACGCCTTTAATCCCAGCACCCGGGAGGCAGAGGCAGGGGGATGTCTGTGAGTTCATTTAAAGAATGGCCAAGATCTGAAATGTAGAAACTTGATGCTTGAGTTGCGGTGTCACGCAGCCCAGGCATGTGCCACACTGACTTGTCTCTTGCCCGCCCCAGAGGTGCAGATGTATGTGTGCAATAAGGAGGTGTATGGCTTCCTGCCCGTGCCACTGCGTGCACACAGCAGTCTGCAGGACGAAGCGGAGAGCTTCACGCATGTGCAGCTGGAGGTCATGGGTGAGTGCTCGGGCCGTGGCTGTCTCGAGTGCACCCTGCTGCTGGGGTGTGACTCGGGACGCCGGGGCCAAGGGATCTCGAGTGGCAGGCCAGCCTGGCCACAGCTGAGACCCCAGCCAGGCAGCTGACCCCGCTTTGCAGTGAACTCACGAAGGCCGGGCACCCATGTAGCGTTTAGGGGACACTTTTAGAGTGCCATCAGCCAGTGTGAGCCTCAGCGTTTCTGTGAAGCTGGAGAGTGTGCCTGGGGAGAGCAGGGCTGGACCCCTAAGTCATCACACATGCTACTGGAGTGACTCTGCAGTAGCTGTTGAGCACCTGCTGTATACCAGGCTCCGTGCTAGGCACTGGGAGTCTAATGTGAGTGGACAGACCCTACATTGCTCCCAACACATTAGAAGTGGAGTTAGGAGAGCAGGAACAATGCCTTGAACCCACGGCCTGACGCCGTGGGGAGAAGAGATGGCTGAGCGTCAGAGACCCAGAGGCTGCCCCAGGCTGTCAGCGGAAGCCTAAGTTGCTCTGGGCAGCAGGGTGGCATGGGTGAAGGCCCTGGGGCAGGAATGGGCTACTTGGGCACCGGTGTCAAGGGCTGAGGTGGCCCATAGCCCAGTCGTACTGGGAGCTTGGAGGGCATGGGGTCCATTACCCCGGTGACCCCTGCTTTCCCCTCAGTGAAGCACCCGCCAGTGCAGCTGTCCCGATTCATCCCTGCACCCAGCAAGACTGCGGACAAGATGGGCTTCGATGAGGTGGGCTGCGCCCCACCCTGCCCCGCCCCACCCCGCCCTAACCCAACGGGCTCCTGCCCCACCCCTACCCTGCCCCGCCCCACCCCTGCCCCATCCCATCCCATCCTACCCCACCCCACCCTACCCCACCCCTGCCTCCATCCCCGTGGGAGAGGTGGCCTCTGATCTGGGGCTCACTGAGACTCTCCTTCCACAGGTCTTCATGATCAACCTGAAGAGGAGGCAGGACCGGCGAGAACGCATGCTGAGGGCCCTGCATGAGCAGGAGATTGACTGCCAGCTGGTGGAGGCCGTGGATGGCAAGTATGTCACTCACAAGCGTGGGCGTGTGTGCACGTGTGTGCGTATGCTTACACATACAGAGGTGTGGGTGGAGCCAGGAAAGCAGGAAGGCTTCTCTCCCTTGGACAGGCTGCCATGCTCTTGAACATGGGGTGGGTGTGGGCTCAGACCAGCCAGGTGGGCGGATCACAGCAGGGCAGAGGGTGATCAGTAGACAGCTGTTTCTGTTGACCCTCTTACCTCACCCCTATAAGCATTTCGACAGATCCTGTGGGGTGGACAGGGATGGATTATGGGTGAGAGCCAAAGAATACTGGGTGTTACAGCTCGGATGGAAAGGTATTCTGTCGCTCGCTCGGGAGTCATGGGATACTAAGTGTTACAAGGTATTCTGGGACTCTGGAGCCAAGGACTACCACAGGTCACAGTAAGCCTAGAAACTCACAGCCTTGCTTCAGGGAGAGGCTTCCCCAGAGCTCTGCAGGAGAGGGCGTCCGCACGAGGTTGTTACAGTTCCCCTGGCGAGGTTGTTACAGTTCGCTAGAAGGTTTCCCCTGAGAAAGTGTTACTGCCCTGCTCAACTCGCTCTGCCAGACCTGCTCGATTAGCTCTGCTCAGCTCTGGCAAAAAGTTACTTCTCTCCTCTGCTCCATTCAGCGAAGGAAAGTCTCACCCAAACCTCATTCAAGAGATTTATTGGGAGGGAAGAATCCAGGAGAGCGGCTGCCCCCTGCCAGGGTGGAAGAGGACAGCCAGGCAGCCCTTACAGCCAGAAGCTGCGCAGACACAGGGTTTATATAGGGATTCTTAGTTTTCCAGGGTGGGGATTGGTCGGATTGCAATCCCTGAGCTCACATTGGCTAGAGCTCCTGCTCAAGGATTGGTTAGTTTTCTGCACAGGTTTAGGGTCAGATTTGACTCTGGTTTCAAGGCCAAAGTGTGTTTCTTTCTCTGGTCCTTTTTAGCCTTTTGGCTCCGATTTTAGGGCCAGGGAGTATTTCTTTCACTGACTCAGATTCCAGGGACAAAGTGTCTTTCTTTTGCACTGGTTTCAGGGTCAGGGTACATTTCTTTGTTTCTGGTTACAGGGCCAAAGTGTGTGTCTTTGGCTCTGTCGGGGTGTGTCTTTGGCTCTGTCGGGGTGTGTCTTTGGCTCTGTTGGGGTGTGTCTTTGGCTCTGTCGGGGTGTGTCTTTGGCTCTGTCGGGGTGTGTCTTTGGCTGACCCTTTCCCTACAACCCCTCCCCATCTCCATCTCTTCCTCTCCTCCCCCTTGGTTTCCTCACCATCCTCGCCGTCTTTCCTACCCCACCCCCCACAGAGCCATGAACACCAGCCAGGTGGAGGCCTTGGGCATTCAGATGCTGCCTGGCTACCAGGACCCCTACCATGGGCGACCACTCACCAAAGGAGAGCTGGGCTGCTTTCTCAGCCACTACAACATCTGGAAGGAGGTAAGTGTCTGGGGTGAGGGAGCCTGGCCCCGCAGTCCTGGGTCTCCTCACAGATTCGGTGGGGCCCAGGGGCCCAGGAGGGACTGTGGTCCCCATGCTGCCGCCTGACTACAGCAGGACCTGCAGTGCGCTACAATGTCGATGAACCGTCTTCACATTGGCTCTGACACTTCTTTCTGAGTGGGGCGGCCATGTCTTAGCATTGCACACGTGCAGAAAATGGGCCTAGGGAGTGGGGGAGGACTGCAGGGGAGGACTGGGGAGTGGGGGAGGACTGCAGGGGAGGACTGGGGAGTGGGGGAGGACTGTAGGGGAGGCCTGGGGAGTGGGAGAGGGCTGCAGGGGAGGCCTGGGGAGTGGGAGAGGGCTGCAGGGGAGGACTGGGGAGTGGGGGAGGACTACAGGGGAGGACTGGGGAGTGGGGGAGGACTGCAGGGGAGGACTAAGGAGTGAGGGAGGACTGCAGGGGAGGATTGGGGAGTGGGGGAGGGCTGCAGGGGAGGACTGCAGGGGAGGACTGGGGAGTGGGGGAGGGCTGCAGGGGAGGCCTGGGGCTGTGATCCCCAACCTGACTCTGATCCCTGTTTCTCTGGCATTGGTATCGCTGGGCCGTATGTTAGGAAACAACAGACAATGATGTGTCATGATGTCACACAGTCAAACTGAGACTTGCAAATTGGTAGCTGGGGGGGGGGTGCCTCCAGATGATGAGATTCTAAGTAATGGGTGCTTGTATGGGCCACCCTTCTTTCCCGAAATGCCTCATGGGCAGTCTGGTAACTCCACTGGGTGACAGTGAAGCCTCCTAGCCCAAGGAGAAGGTGAGAGGAGCCTGATGTTACCAAGAGGAGGGCTTTTGTGTCACCGCCAGGTGACAGGCAAAGTCTGGAGCAGAAAAGCCCAGGCAAGTGGGAGAGAGGACGGGCAAGCATCTGGGTGCGGAAGGTTGGGGTGCACGTTTCCTTCCCGGCCAGCAGCTCTGGCTGGATCTCTGTGACTCGGCGGGGCACCTTCCTCCAGGTGGTCGACCGGGGACTACGGAAGTCACTCGTGTTTGAGGATGACCTGCGATTTGAGATCTTCTTCAAGAGACGTCTGAAGAGCCTCATGAGGGACGTGGAGCGCGAGGGGCTGGACTGGGACCTCATGTAAGGGGGTTGGTGGACGGGTGCAGATGGGACGTCAGCCTGGCCATGGCCAGGACTCAGAGCACCGAGTAGGTCTGGAGCCTGGAAGGCGTCAGAGCTCTGACTGTTGGGTTGGCCTGGCTCCTGCCCAATTCCCCTGTGCCTATGTCTGGGTAGCATCCTCTGCCAGCTAGCAGGGCGTGTGACGAGTCTGGTTCTTCACCCCAGCTATGTGGGCCGGAAGCGCATGCAGGTGGAGCACCCCGAAAAGGCTGTGCCCCGTGTGAGGAACCTGGTGGAGGCCGATTACTCCTACTGGACACTCGCCTATGTCATCTCCCTGCAAGGAGCTCGCAAGCTGCTTGGCGCTAAGCCACTGTCCAAGATGCTGCCTGTGGACGAGTTCCTGCCAGTCATGTTTGACAAGCACCCAGTGTAAGGAGGCTGGGGGAGGAGTCCCAGGGGCATTGGGTGGCAGACCACAGTCTGGAGTCCCGGAAGATCGGGCAGGGAACTGCGGGGCTCTGGGGCCGGAGGCGGTGGGACAGGTCCTGTGGACTCGGGGCAGGGTCTGTTCTGGCCCGTTGGCCTGCATCTCCCTTGTGTCCCTGTCCCCGTGTCCCCAGGTCGGAGTACAAGACTCACTTCTCTCCACGTAACCTGCGCGCATTCTCCGTGGAGCCTCTGCTCGTCTACCCCACACACTACACAGGCGATGACGGCTACGTGAGCGACACCGAGACCTCCGTCGTGTGGAATAACGAGCAGGTTAAGACTGACTGGGACCGCGCCAAGTCCCAGAAGATGCGTGAACAGCAGGCGCTGAGCCGCGAGGCCAAGAACTCAGATGTGCTTCAGTCCCCGCTGGACAGCGCTGCTCGCGATGAGCTCTGACGGAGGGCAAAAGCCAACGCGGCTGCCAGGGCCAGCCCTCACGTGCCTGCCTGGGGCACCACAGCACAGGGCTCTGCAGTAGCCAGTGTCCGTGTCTCATTCAGCGGCCACTTGTACACAGGCAGTATTAATGGAGTGCTTACGGTATGCAGGGCTGGTCTCTGGGAGACTGGGCAAGAAGGAACCCAGTCTGCTGTGTCCGTCCTGAAGGGAGGTTTCTTACTAGAGTGGCGAAAGGCATAATGATCCCCTCATGGGTGATTGATTTGATCATCAGGCGCTTATCAGCCTGAGTCAGATACTGCGCATACATGCTCATTTTTAAATCTGTTTGAGTCTTTATTGAGGGCATACTGGGTGTTGACCACCATTTTTAGCTCTGGGAATACTGAAATAAGAAAAAATTCAATAGCTGGGTGTTGGTGGCGCAGGCCTTTAATTCCAACACTCGGGAGGCAGAGGCAGGCGGATCTCTGTGAGTTCGAGGCCAGCCTGGTCTACAAGAGCGAGTTCCAGGACAGCCTCCAAAACAATACAGAGAAATCCTGACTCGAAAAACAAAAAAAAAAAAAAGAAAGAAAAGAATTCAATATATCAAGTGCCTACTAATGCCAGGTCCTGGGCGCCCCTGAGTTGAGCGCCAACTGTGTGTCACTCACTAGGTGCTGGGGTACAGATCCCAGTGGCATTCACCCCCACGTGCTGGGCTGCATGCTGAGCGCAAGGACAGACCGCCAACAAAGCTGGTTTCTTCAGGTAGCAAGCGCTTATTGAGCTCCTGTGTGTGCCTCAGGGACTCCCCGTTGAGTTGAGGAATAGCCACGCTTCAACCTGCCTGGGAAGACAGCATCTTCGGAAGACCTTGTCCTGAGGGGGGTTGCTCTCCTCACACTTGATGGCTGAGTTGCACAGTACTCACGGCCTCACAAGTGCCCCTGCAGGGGGCGTGGTGGGGACTGGGACTCTTGCCCATCCCCCGCTCCCATATCTCCTCCCTACCCTTGAGTCTCAGGTGGCCCCTGCCTGCTCGTGTGTGGGGGCCTTGAAGTGGCCCAGTTGCGTTGGGATATGCTCTTCTTTGCCTTACAGTGTGTCTCCCCGCAGGGCCAGGGGTCATTGTGCCTTCAAAGCCAAACTGAATGTCAGCAGGCAGCAGACGTGCGGGGACAGCTGCCTGCCTGCTCAGATCTTGGTAACCTGCTCACGATTGTATTAAATACTTGTGGTTGGTTTTCACTGAAGCCTGTGGTCTTGCTGCCCTGCCAGTCAAGATTTGTTGGTCAGTGGGCTTGAAGGCCCATCCTTGTATACCCCGGCACTTAAGGGGGTATGGGTCAGGGTGTTAGGAGTGTCATGTCACCCCGCTCCATAAGCACCCCTGGGAGTGTCTGATGCTGTGGAGGCCATCACGTGTGTGCTCCCAAGGAATCGGACACCATGTTTGGATTATCAGAGTTCGTGGAAGGAGCCCGCCTAGGGCAACAGAGCAGAGTCTGTGGACCCTGGGACAGTGAGTCCGGAGTGTTGGTCCCACCCAGTTCCTGTGACAAGACGGCAAAAGCAGCTTGAAGAGGAACTCGGCCAGAACCATGAGCAACCTGCGGACTAGCTGGCCTGCCTATGGAGGGTGCGTTCACGGCAGGCTGGACCCTCCTGTGTCAGCCACCGTGAGGGTGTCCTCCAGACAGAGCCACAGGTACCTGATGTGGGTCAGCCCTGAGGAGGTGAGACTCTAGGCTCTGTGGAGCTGACAGCTCCAGACAGGACAGATGTGTGCTAGGACTTCTTATGTCAAATCACACCTGTCACAGGCCGGGGCTTGTGTCCGAGACACCAACTCACAGGCCGGGGCTTGTGTCCGAGGAGACTGCTCCTGCTACACTTATGGAAATGGGCGCGACACTGACTGACAGTCATCAGCTTGTCCCGGGCCTCTGGTCCCTGGTTGGTTTGGGGTGGTGTGGACACGCTGGCTGGGTTACACTGTTGTTCCAGGACAGGAATAGTTTCTTCAGTTGAGTCTGGTCTGAGTATGCCGGTCCCCAGCTAGTCAGATTTTGCTTTTTTAGTGTGTTGGTGGGGGTTGTGGTCAAAGGACAGTTTGCCAGAGTCATCTTCCACCGTGTGTGTCCCCAGAGGTGACCTCAGCCTCAGGCTTGGCAGAAAGCACCTTTACCTCCTGGCCCTGGCTGGGGTTTTGTCAAAAGGAGCACCCGAGGCTCTCTGCTTTTCTTTTTAATATTAATAAAATATTTTTTACAGAGACCAAAAAGTCAGAATAGTGCAAAACATCTCAACACCATGCACTCGTGGACACTCCCAGGTGTCCCAGGTCACAGATGACTGAGAATGAGGGAAGATGCTGGACTAACGGGGCCTAAAATCCCTCCCCCAAGACAGGAAAGGAAAACGAGACACGCTTTGATTCCACGTTTGCAGTCACATGCTAAGAAGGGCTAGTTGAGGGGTTCCCTGGGCTGCACGGCAGGGGTTGGGGTCGGGAACCTTCTGGGGTGCAGGGGGCCCCCCTGTCAGCTGCACCACCAACAGCATCAACCCACTCCACTCGTTAAAAGGCAAAGAGCCAGCTTTGGTCCTGAAAGATGCTGGGGGCAGGACCGGACCCGGCCCCACCCCCAAGGGGCTGCCCTTGGGACCCCATAGGCCTGGGTCCCAGCCGAGAGGCCCCAAGGAGTTGTGGGTGCATTTGATTTTTTTGCATGTCTGATGGGGCAGGCGAGGTGACAGGCCTTGAGACCTGAGAGGGACCAAAGTGCAGAGGGTACCCCTCAAGTACTGGCTCCTCCCAGACTCGGTGAGCAACTGCAGGGCCTTTCCGGCTTCTCAGTGCTGGGGATGGAACCCAGGGCAGGGGCTCTAGGTAGGGCATAGATGGTGACCCTGGAACCCGATCTTTCCAGCTGCTCTTCCCCGCCCCCTCATCTGCCTCTATCAGTGCTGCCCCAGCCTCATGAACTCCCTGCAGCAGGCCAGGCTAGCCCTTCTCCAATGGCCCCTGACCTGGGGAGTCTGGAACGGTACCCCAGCATGTTCTAATACAGGAACTCAGGAGCCGGGACCCACAGCTCTGGAGTAACTTCCTTTCCCAGACGCTGCTGTCAGGGACTGTCCCGAAGTCACAGTCTGACCTCTGCTCCATCTCTGTCTATTGTGTCCTGGGGCTCAGCCTGGACACCTGCCGCGGGGGTGTCTGTCAGGGCGGGGACACGCAGACCCCTCAGCCTCTCTCAGCACATAATCCAAGTCAGCAGGGCCTTCCTCCAGATGCTGGGGGAGCTGGGGTTCCCCTGAGGAGACACAGAGCCAGGTACACACACCCCAGTCTGTGACATCAGGGCCAAGTCAGAGAAGGGCAAGAAGCTGGGGAAGTCCTTGCAGTTTTGCTTTTCTTCAGGAGGGAATTTTTTGTGATTGATGTTGAAAGATGAATAGGAGGTCTATAGGTAAATAAAAGAGGAAGTTCCAAACAGTCCTAGCCTGGGAATCAGAACAATTCATTCAACAAACTCCCACGGAGGGAGGGAGGGAGGGAGGGAGGGAGGGAGAGAGGGAGAGAGAGAGATCCATAACTACCATAACTATCTTGGCTCTGTCACATTCTTGTTAGCACTTTAGAAATTTCCTCTGAACACCTCTCTGTTAGCCATGTCTGATCTCCTAGAGTGAGTCACCCCCTGCCCAATTCCAGCGTCGGGTCTGCAGTCCACGAACAACATTCGGCTGAGCTCCCTTGTCCCTGGATGGAGCCTGCGTCCTACGCTTTGGTTCTGAATGTCCCGGATCGTGCCTGAATCCAGGGGACATGCTGTCGTTCCAAGCCAGTCAGAAAAGGGTCATCCATCTGTCACCACAAGCATGGGACACTCATATTCTCCCTCCCAGCCTCCAACCTCCAACCTCCTGGCCTCATTCTTTCCTGCCTGGATTTGGAGAAGGGACATGGGGGCGGGGGCGCCGGCTCTGGGGAAGCCCCAAACCCCCTCTTCTTGACGGGACTCTAGGTTCTAGGTGGGTTCGGACTGACGTCCCAGGAGGAAGGGCCTGACAAGGGTCTCATTTGGCAGCCTGAGGGTTCAGCGGGGACCCTTGGGGGGGGGGTCGGGGAAGAAGGGTATTTAGCAGCGATGGGGGCTGGGCATCCGTCGGCGCTCAGCCCACCGTGCGTGGCACGAGCGGGGGTCGCCAGCTGCCAGTGGGCACGCTGCACTGAGGCGGGGTCCGCGTGGAGGGGCGCCCTCAGCCCCAGGGGTGCGCCCGAGGGCGCATGTGCTTTTGAGAGCCCATCCCGAACTAGTTTTTGCACAGATGCCATAAAGGCTGCGTCCCGGCCTCCCAGGCAGCCCTGGGCACCGGACCCTCTATGGCTTTTCCAGGGGCGGTAGGCGGGGCCTCCCCAGTCAAGGCCACTGAGGTGGAGGGGCGTGGCCTGTGGCGAGGGTGGCGCCTACGAGGCGGGGCCTCGTCGGCTTCCGGGCCCCGCCCCGCCCGAACTCGCGCTAGGGCGCAGGCGCGGCGCCGCCCTCCTCGACTGAGCGCGTGTCGGATTTGAGCTTGACGAACTCCTTGGCCACCTCGTCGTTGCTGCGCTGCGACAGGATTCGCAGCACTGTGAGCCCGGTGTCGTCCATGTGGATGCGGCGGCCGAGCGGCAGCCAGCACGCGGCGCTCCCGCGCTGGGCGAGCTCCCGCAGCTGCAGCACCGCCAGCCCCACCGTGCGGTCCTCGCGCGCGAAGCAGTAGTCCTTAACGCACACCTGCAGCTCGTAGCACTCGGGGCCCGCGTCTGCGCTCAGGGAGCTGCGGGGAACGAGCGGCGCGGCGCGGGGTCACCGGCCAGCCCCGCCCCGGCAGGGAGCCGCCAGCGAGCCGCGCCCGCCCCGCCCCCGCCCCCGCCCGCCCCGCCCCGGCAGGGAGCCTCCAGCCAGCCGCGCCCGCCCCGCCCTCCCCGCCCCGCCCCGGCAGGGAGCCTCCAACCAGCCGCGCCCGCCCCGCCCCCGCCCGCCCCGCCCCGGCAGGGAGCCTCCAACCAGCCGCGCCCGCCCCGCCCCCGCCCCGCCCGCCCCGCCCCGGAGCCTCCAGCCAGCCGCGCCCGCCCCCGCCCTCCCCGCCCCGCCCCGCCCCGCCCCGGCAGGGAGCCTCCAGCCAGCCGCGCCCACCGGGGAAAGTCGCTGCCCGGGCTGCGTCTCCCCAGCGATGGCCTGCGGCGCTGCGGAGCTACCCCGAGGCTACCTGAGCCCTGCCGCTCGCCCGGGCGCCGCCCACACCTCCCTCCTGCCCCCTCGGCCAAGCCCACCCCTCTCTCCCCTCCTTCCTGGCCACGCCGCTCTCCTGGCCCTGCTGCACCCCGCCTCCTGCTCGGCCCCGCCTGCCAGTGACCCCGACTGTCCCCCAGCTGCCACCTCTGCGGCCTGTCGCGCCACACTCAGCCAACGGCCGGAGCGCGCTGTGTTCTGGGTCCCCGACCCTTGTGACCTCGCTCCCCTGCCCAACCTTCGCCTGGTCCTTCCTGCAGCAGCCCCCAGTGTACTGACCTCCCCAGGGAGCTGCTGGGACCTCAACCTGAAGTCCCTCTACTCGCGCCTGGGCTCCTCCCACCACCCGTGGGTACCCGAGTGCGTCCCCACTCCCCAGCGCCCGACTCACAACTGGAAGCTCTCGTTGTACTTGGGCGCCCAGCTGTTGTTTTTGGATTTGGTGGCGAATTTGCGTTTCTTGTCGCTGAGCTGAGGTCCAACAATGTTGACCTCGATGAACGGGCGGAAGATGCCGGAAGTCTGCCACTTGAGGTCGTTAGCGGCCACCACTGTTGGGGGGTGGGGGAGTCTGGTGAGCATGCCCGGTGTGACGGAGCGATACCCTGGCTTTCCAGCTTGGGGAAAGAGACTCCATTCCCCCGCCAGTCTCTCTAACAGGAAGGAAGCCAGACCAAGGCCGAGGAAGCCGCAGTAATGCCCGGGCACGGTTGCAATTCCTGGTGCGGCCACACCTGACTCGGGTTTACCCCAGGATTCCCCCATTTTCTAAACCATTAAAGAAAAAAGTAATTCCCCACCCCCTTGGCTTAAGTGAGTTTGCACTGGTTCCCACTCACCCTTGACTGTGACTTTCTGTTCCCCGGTTCCCGGATGCGTGAACAGCTCCACGTGGACAGACACTTCGCCTACAGGGTCTTCCACACCCGAGCCTGGGCAGGACAGGGAGGATGTCTGACATGAGCCCCGCTGTTCCCCACCCACCCAGGACGGACCTCGGTCACCTCCCCCACTATGTGCTGGCGGCACCAGGTCACTTAAGGCCCTGAGGGCACCGGGGTGGCAGGGGCCACCGGGAAGCCAGGGTGCTCCGTTGTGGGTTTCGCTGCTTCCCCGTGACTTGAGGCAAGTCTCTTAGCCTGAGCCAGCGCTGTTCTCTCTGTCCCCGGCCCGAGCCTGCTTCTACCCGGTTTAGCGTGCTTCTACCCGGTTTTGTCTGCTTCTACCCGGTTTAGCCTGCTTCTACCCGGTTAAGGCTGCTTCTACCCGGTTAAGGCTGCTGCCTCTTGCCCAGCCTTTCTCCCTCTCCCCTTCTCTGTGCGACCATCAAATCCCCTTGAACCCATTCTAGCCCTGGGTGCGGGACACAGACAAGTCCTGACAGCACTACCTTCAAAACATGTCTGGAACCTGTCCCTGTGTCTTTGCCCCAACCTGGTGGCTCGCCTGGGCTATGGCAGTACGCCCTTCAGGGATGGCTCTGCTCTCTCTCAGCCACACGAAACACTATAGCCAGAGGTGGCCACGTCTGGAGCCTGTCCCTGACTCCTGGCCGAGCCACGCCACACCCCTCCTGTGGTCACCCCTCCTGTGGTCACACCTCACTCCGCCACCAAGTCCTTCTGGACTCTTGCAGGGTCCTCCTCAAGAGGGCGCTTGCCCACCTCACTTCAGCCCGGAGCCCCCCACACGGGCTCCTCCTCAGCCTCCACAGCCGTGGCCATGTCCTGACTCCTGGTCTAACAGGTAAATTCAGTTCCCACTGGAAAGCGTTCAGCAATGGTCAGGGATCGACTGCGGTCCAGAGGACTTCCTGTCCCGACTGCAGTGGTCATGTGACCCAGGCTGGGCTATAGAAACTGGTAAGCTGGCCGACTGAAGCCTAGATCCCCCTGTTCTTGATGCCAACAAACCCCTCATCTTAGTTTCCTAGCCAACAGATGCTCTGCTTGTGGGTAGCCACGCACATGGCTCTTCCCAATCACCATTAAGCGTCCTGGGGGCCGTGATGGCGACCCATGAGCGTCAGCTTAGAACACACTGCCCTGATCACCCCCTACCGTGACTCAAGCTGTCCACAGGGCCTGTGAACCTGTGACCGCCAGCACCCCACCAACTGCCCCATCCCCAGGCAGCTGCCCACTCCTGGGGCACCACATGCACGGGCAGGGCAAGGAGGAGAATGTGGGGGGCAAGGGGATCGGGCCAGTCAAAGGTCCCTCAGGTCACCTGTGCTGGCCCCAGCACTGTCCAGCCCAGACGCCACCCGCCATCTCAGACACCTCCCCAGTCACATGCTCAGCCCCTCCCCCAGGCCGATGCTTCAGCAAGCTCAATCCGGGCCAGAAGTGGGGTGCTGGGGAGTAGACATGATGGGTTATGTAAGAGGTCAGGCCACGGCCCAGGCTAGTAAGAAGGGGGAGGGGCAGTGCGGCCCTACCCAGGTTTGCTGGCTCCACCAGGAAGGACTGGCAAGGTTCTACCCTCCCCCCATGATCTGGGTTCCCTGGCAGGGGCAGGAGGCTGCCCCGCCCTCAGCGGTTCCACAGCTGGAGAGGTCTCGTGTTCTCTTGGGTGCGGGTGCGGGTGTGGCCCAGGCTGGCTGGAGCTTGGGATCCTCCGGCCTCGGCAGCCTATGTTCAGGGACCACGGCCTGTGCCATGAGGCTGTCCCTGTTTTTCAGGGGGCAGAGGAGACTGGCTGCAGAACGGATGACCCTGGGTCTCAGAGCAGTTCACGGCTGAGTTTTTGTGCTTTGCTGGTGATGGAAGCTGTCCCATCCAGCTGGGTGCCTGTGGCCCGGGAAAACGGACTCCTTCCCCGTGTGGAGCCAGCAAGCTGCCCTTCGATGTATGGAGGCACAGCGCTCCTGTGGGGACGCCGGTGTCTTACTAGCCGGGCGGGGGAGGAGGGCGCAGGCACCGGGCACCACGTGCGGGTGGCGGGCGGCGCAGGCACGTACCCATCTCAGGACAAACGTCTTCACTAAGGGTAAACCTAGTCCCCTTTCCACCATGAACTGACCGGGTGGATGGGGAGGACAGGGGGAGGAGTGTGTGTGGCGGGGGCAGGGGGAGGCGCAGAAAGGGGACAACAAGTGACAGGGGGGAGAACGAGAGAGAGAGAGAGCAAGAGAGAGAGAAAGAGAGAGAAGGGGGAGAGAAAGAGAGAAAGAAATGTCAGTGCAGACGGACGGACAGACAGACAGCCTCCCACTCCGGGAACACCAGGGACACCAAAAGCAGCAAGAACAGGAGGGGAAACTGAGGCTTGGGTTCCACCCCCCTGTGCGGGGGTGGTGGTGGTGGATGGCGACCTTCCCCGCTCCAGCCTGAGGCCACCAACCTCTGCCCAGCTGGCACTTGGGAGTTCTGAATGGGGTCCCTAGGAAGGTGGGCAAGGACCCTGGAGCCCTGCCCTGTGGCCTCAGCTGCCCCACGAGAACTCAGAGGGACGGGGACAGAAGCAAGACACAGACAGAGAGAAGAGTGGGGACAGATCTGAGGCCCAGCACCTCCCGGGTCCCCCACTCCCAGGCTACGACCTGACAATCATTCCACATCGGGTAGCTCAGAGGCCCCGCCCCTATGGGGACCGCCCTGCCTTGGATCTGAGACATCAGAGATTTTACCTAGAGCTGTCAATCATTCCTTACTCTAAATCATCACAGAAGTCCCGCCCCAGAGCGACAACCAGGTGCCACCACTCATTCACTAGTTCCAGGGCGTTATCCCGCCCCTCGAGGACAGTCACTTGGTTGCCCTAGGAGTTGTCTGTCAGTTCCTGGCCCATGCAGTCTGTGCGGTCCTTTCCCAGATGCCAATCACCCCTGGTTTCTTTGCCTTGAAAGAACCGCCAGCTGTGAGGTCGGAGGTCCCGCCCCCACTGCGATCAGTCACCCAGGGTCTGGCCGGCATCCGGGCCAGGAGACCTGCTGGCCCGGGAGGGGAGCTCGCGGTGCTCTTACCCTGCGCGGACTGTGTCTGCACGAAGGTTTTGATGAGCAGGTCGGTGGCCTGCGTGTAGAGCGACAGGGCGTAGCGCAGGGACTGGAGGTCCGGGCTCTTCTCCAGAAAGGTCTTCTTGAGGCCCACGCCGCCCGCGTGGAAGTATTGCTAAGGATGAACAGGAAGATGCTGCTGAGGGCTCCCAGCACCCCCCTGACCCCCACTTCGCTCACCCTGGGTCTTCACCAGGTCACGGCTGCCCCCTCCGGTGGGAAGCCCCTCCCTGCCCACGCAGGTTTCCTGTCCTTGGGAACTCACGCGTTTCCCAAAGCCCGCTTCCGCCCTCTTAAAGCCCTGTGCGGCCCCTCACCTTGATGGTGTCCAGGGCAAGTTCCACCACAGCGCACTGCTTTGGGGTCAGGCTCTTGGCTTCCTCGCGTACCATGTGATCCTGCGTGGGTGGCAGGGAGGAGTCAGGTGGGCAAAACTGACCCAAATTTTGAGACGGTGAGTCTTGAGCCTCATGTCGGGGATCAAATGATCTGTACCCTTGATCAAGCCGAACCTGCCCTCCATTTCCCAACACACTCGAGGGCATTTAAGTGGCGTCCAGGTCCAAGAGCAGGGACTCTGTATCTTGGTCTGTCCCTGGCCTTCCCCGGGACCCTCCGTTCCTCACCTTAAGTTTGGACAGCTGGCCCAGCTCCTTGGCGGCATTGAAGATCATTTGTGTTCCCTGTGGGAAACAGCAGACAGCTGGGGTGACGGTATGAATTTCCTAAAGGTTTCCCCCACCCCCCCAGTCTTGGTTCCTGTCCGAAGGTTCCTGGTGACCAGTGGGCAGAGGGGTCAGGAGCCTCCTAGTGAGATCATGTGGCCACCTTGTCCCTGGAGAAGCTGGCTTCTGTGGGGACACCGTCTCACACACCGTGGCCCCACAGTTGGAAGACAGGAGAGAAGTAGGCACGGGGGACTGTGTGTGCGGAGAGGGGGGCACCCTGGGGGGTTTCACTTGGGGGAATTCCACTCCGAGCATCAGGAAGACCCTGACACACAGGCATCTGCACCCCCCTCAGTTACCCACCAGATGGCAACTGTGGCTGTGATGCCAACAGGCCAGGCAGGCCTATCCCAGCTGTGCAGCCTCAGGCAGGTGACTTAACCCCTCTGACGCTTGCCCCCCCCCATGGGAGGAATCATGGCCACCCGGTGGCCTTGAAGGGACATGATGTGTCTTCGGCTGTCTAGGTCGCAGCTCAGGCAATGCCTGACAGACTGAGTCCCAGCCTAAGGGTCTGCTGTCTGGACGGCCCAGGCAGGTGTCTCACCTCTGGGCCTGGTCTATCCCTGGCTAATTAGCAGTTTGTTGAAAGGAGGGCTGCCCCAGGGTGTTCTGGGTGGGCTGCTTAAGGCCCTGCCAGACCTCTGGAGATCCCTAAGGTTTTTGCTACCTCAAGCTGTGCTATTCTGTGTGTTATTCTGTCCTTTGGGGATGGAAGCCCAGACCTCACACACATCAGGGCAGAAACCAGCATCTGGGCCTGGAGTTCATCCACGGCCACACACTCTCAGGATCCCCTGAGGCTGTGGGCCGGAGTTACCGGAGCCCAGCTGTCTGGGCCTCGGTTTCCCTTGTGGCACCCACCTGCAAAGCAGGGGCCTCTTCATCCTCCACGCCTCCCATTGCCCTTCCCTACCCACCCACAAGCAAGCCAGACAGACAGAGGAAGAAGAAATAACAGACAGGGCCACAGGACGCCCCCGACTTCACGGACCACAGAGTGGAAGGGGCGGGGCGGGAGAGGGAGGTGGGAGCCAGACAGACAGTGAGAGGCCGGGCTTACGTCTGAGTGGCTTGGCAGTTTCACCCTGCCCTGTGGAGAGAACCAGGTGGAGGTCAGAGTTCTGGTGGCTGCTGGGAAGACACTCAGTGGGACTTCACTACCCCCTGGAGTCAGATCAAGAGCTCCCTCCCAGTTACTGAAGCAGATACTAGCTCGTCCCCAACGGAGATGCCTGCCCTTGTCTCTGAGTGTAGACTCCTTAACCACGGCACACAGGCCCCGGAGACTGCAACCCCGGCCATGGGTGCTTGTGACGCTTGATGAGAAAGCAAGGAGACAGAGGGCTCTAGGTCTGCACAGACGCTGCGTGCACCAAGTCTCCACTGGGGAGGCCGGACCACAGAAAATGTCCCGATAAACCCTTCAAGCTCCAAACTCCTTCAGTGTGGACACACACATGCTCACACATGTGCACACACAGACACACGCGCTCACACAGATACACAGGCTCACACATTTTCACACACACAGACATACATGCGCACACATACAGATGTACACACACAGGCTCACACAGATACACATGGTCATTACACACACACAGTCAAGCACAAACATGCACACACAAAGACACACAAGCTCACATACACACACACTCACACAGGCACACATGCTTACATACACAGGCACACATGCTCACACACACACAGTCAAGCACATGCATGCACACACAGAGACACACACAGGCTCACATACACACAGACACACATGCTCACACACACACAGGCACACATGCTTACACACACACAGAGTCAAGCACAGGCACACACACAACATAGCTGAACACTTGCATGCACACACGGAGATACGCACAGGTTCTCCCTCTCTCTCTCTCTCTCTCTCTCTCACACACACACACACACTCTAGACCTGCAGACAGCTTCAGCAGATACTCAAAATCATCAAAAGTTATCAAATCACACATGTAGGAGGCTCACAGGCCACCACACACACGTTTTGCATGATCACATTCAGACTCACGCATCCTTGACCACACATGGGTGCATACATGATGCCCCTGGAAAGCTCTGGGGAGTGGGACTGCCCTACCAGCCAGTCACAACACAAGCACCCATCTGTGTACAGAGAGGCCTAAGGCACCCTGTATGAGCGCACAACCAAGCCACTGCCCACAGCCCCATCTCCTGACAATCCATTAAAGCAGCAAAAGCCCAGGACTCAAGCAGGGCCATAGACATCAGCTGCGCCTGGGGCTGTGCACACTCCTCCCCCCTGACTCTAGAGAATGATCCGTGCCCTGGCTTCCAGTTCCTAGGCACAAGATCAAGAGCCACCTCCCACGGTGACCTCAGCTGACCTTTGCGAGAACAACAGGAGCACTCACACCCGGCACCCGGGACCCCGGCAAGTCAAGGCCCTCATTACCTTTTCTAGGCCCTTGCCATGTTTTCTCAAGAGGGTACCCTGCAGAGACAATGTCACAGGGAGGTCAGGACTCAGGCACATCACACTCCCCCATGTGGGGCAGGGGCTGCACTGGCTAGGAACTGGGGAAGGCTGGGGAACTGTGGGAGCTCACTCTTAAGAGAAGGAGGATGGGGGAAGGAGAAGAGAAAGTGTACGATCCAGAGGGAGGAAGAAGTGAGGAGGGGGAGCAGAGATATGAAAAGGGAGGGGAATGAGGAAGCCAGAAGACAAGGAGGAGGGAGGATGGGGAAGAGACAGATGAGGGAAAAAGAGGAAGGTGGGGAGGATGGGAAATATGGAAGAGGAAGGAGACAAGGAGGGGAAGGGAGGGGAGAAATGAAGGAAGGGGAGAAAGAGGAAGAAGAGAAAAGAGAGCCAGGGCCAGAGAGAGCCCAAGGTAAAAGCCACTGTTAAAATATAAGCCATTTACATTTGGTGTACAAAGGAACCCACTGGACCCCAGGTTAGCAGAAGCACGCAACTCCACACTGAGACAGATCTGAACCTGAGCCCATCTCTGGCACCTGCCGGTGGTGTGAGCCAGGTGGTTTCTCTCCAGCAGATTGATTGGACTGAGACCTCCTCCTTCAGTAGGGCTGTCACGAAAGTGAACTGTGACAGACACTGACCTGCCACAAGCCGTCAGTATCATGTGTTCCTTTACACTCTGCCTACAGCTTCAGTCTGGGCATGACGCCTCGATGTGGCTACAGAGACACAGGCTGCACCCACTGGGAAAGGGAGCTTGAGACAAAATAAAATGTCATGGCGGCCTCGTCTGAGGTATGTGGGGTGGGGATTTACTGGGGGTCTGCAGGTGTGAGCATTTGGATACCTCGATGGCTCCCCTTCCACTCTGACAGCTCAGAATCCTGGTATGAACTCTACTTCCCAAGCCAGGAAACTGATTCTCCCAGGTCACAGTCTGAGCAAAGTGGTGACACCCAGGCTGCCTGTGGCCACGCCTCCCAGCTGGGTCTGCAGGTGTGCAGGTGTGTGTGGGGGCCCTAGGGGAGCATGGTGGAGACCTGCACGCAGCAGAGAAGACCCCACCCCTGCCCGTGTCTACTGGGTGGCTTCCATCCAAGGGACAAGGACACAGTTGGACATGACAGAGTAAGCTGACAGTGTGGAGACAGGCCCTTCTTCCCAGTCTGGGAGGGGCGTGGTCCTCAGGCCCCTCCCCTCTCAATGCCCCACCCACCAGCACACAGATACAAAGTCAGGGTGAGGGGGGGGAGCGGGCACTGGGAGGAGGGGGCGGCCCCAGTCCAGACACACAGCAAAAGAACGACGATGATGGACAGACAGACGGACAAATGGGTCTCTACTTACAATCATCTGCCAGCCGGAATGGGGGCAGGGTGGGGAGAGGTGAATAAGTCACTGTGAGTGGCCCTGGGAAGGCCCAGTGTGACCTAGAGGACACCGAGGCACTGACACCCCGCCCCCAGCCCTGGTCCATCCTAAGGGTCCTCAGCTCCCATCACAGGCACTGGCTGAGGCCGCTCCACCCTCCTCCACCTGTGAGCCCACCTAGGGGTACCCTGCAGCCAGCCCTCGGCCCTCGTCCTATCGTCACCCCGGAAGACACACCCAGCTCTCAACCTCAAATGTCCCCAAGCTCTCTGACCAGAAATCAGGGAGACACCAGGCTGGTGATAGCTACAGAGGCTGATGGACTCTGGCCTTCCAATCATCCCCAGTGAGTGTGTTCACCCCTGGACACTCCTGAGTGACGGCCCTGAATCCCAGTGTCACTGCCTGGCCCCCTGTCTTGGAGGCACCACCTTCCCTGGGCTTCCCTCACAGGGATGGCCACGTGTCCTGGGACACAAGTCTCACCGTTTGGTCTGTGAGTGGCGGCAGGACGATCGTCTTCTCCATGGTATTCATCACTAGCTTCCACAGCTCCTTCAGCACACGCTTCAGAACCGTCTTCTCACAGATTTTGGCAAACAGGGTGAGGCTAGGGGTAAGGTTGAGGTCACTGAGAGGAACTACCCAGGCCCCTTCCCTCCACACAGGCGTGGTCTGGCAGGGTGACCATACATGGAGTGTGCAGGGAAAGCAGACAGAAGGGGTCTGGGGAAACCACCCGGGATTCATGGTGAAGGCTATGAAGTGCTCAAGGTGGACACACAGGATTGTTCAAATAGGGAAGAACACTGTGGGCAACAGGGTTCTCGTCTCCTGGGAGGCTGGGGACCAGAGGATGCAGGGGCTGAGGTCATGGCCAAGGACAGAGACAGGATGGGCAAGAAGGCAAATGAGGAGAGTGATATCTAGACAATTCGTGACACTACTTAAGCGGGTTGTAGGAAGAGGACAATCTGCCAGCATACATTTCCCAGTGGACCCCTCACCTACCCAACACAGCCCCAAATCCACCACTGCTATTCACAACCCATCCAATTGTCAATGCACCATCCATCCACCCATTCATCCTTCCACCCACCCATCCATCCATTCACCCAACCAACCATCCATCCATCCACCCACCCACCCATCCATCCATTCACCCAACCAACCATCCATCCATCCACCCACCCACCCATCCATCCATTCACCCAACCAACCATCCATCCATCCACCCATCCATCCACCCATCCACCCACCCATCCATCTATCCATCCACCCACCCATTCATCCACCCACCCATCCATCCACCCATCCACCCACCCATCCATCTATCCATCCACCCACCCATTCATCCACCCACCCATCCATCCATCCACCCATCATCCACCCATCCATCTATCCACCCATCCATCCACCCATCATCCATCCATCCATCCATCCATCCATCCATCCATCCACCCATCCATCCATCCACCCACCCATCCATCTATCCATCCACCCACCCATTCATCCACCCACCCATCCATCCACCCATCCACCCACCCATCCATCTATCCATCCATCCACCCATCCACCCACCCATCCATCTATCCATCCACCCACCCATTCATCCACCCACCCATCCATCCACCCATCCACCCACCCATCCATCTATCCATCCACCCACCCATTCATCCACCCACCCATCCATCCATCCACCCATCATCCACCCATCCATCTATCCACCCATCCATCCACCCATCATCCATCCATCCATCCATCCATCCATCCATCCATCCACCCATCCATCCATCCACCTACCCATCCATCCACCCACACACCTACCCATCTTCTGAGAGCCATTATCATTTATTACAGCTGATGGCAATTAATATTCTAGGTGTTAGCCCACCAGAAATAACTTCTGATGGAGGAAATGCATATTTGCAAAGCTTGCAAGAAATGCAGACTCCATAATATCTGTTGCTTCTGCCTGTGATTTTACATGTGCTAAATTGCATTCTTTCCCTAGCAACTGTATCTAGTGTGTGTGTCTCATGTACACAATCCCCATCTACTGGGCATTTTTATCTGAGGATTGTCAAGAAGGTGACCCTTCTTTAGCTGTATTGTCCAATTGCGATTAGTAATTTAGCCTATAGAGTCTTGATGAATAAAATAAACAAAAAAAGATGCCAGCCAAGTCAGGTGTTACAAGTTTCCATTAAGAGCTGTCTTGGAGCACAGTTTAAGAAAAACAGCTGTATTTCCCCAGCTGCCAAGATATATGGATACTATTAACTGATGTAAAACTTCAAAGTAACTTTAGATTAGACCAGTTGCTTTGCTAATGGGTTTTAAGATAGACATTTCACAGGAAAATATAATCTTATTAACAAGGACATGTAACCAGTGTCTGATTTGTTGAGCCAAGGTAAATAGTACAAAGTGACTTAATTTCGGTGCCAGAGCATGTGGCCTTTGTTCAGACACCAGGGGAAAAGATTCTCTAACTGCCAGGGCTACAAAATATTAACTAGAAACTGGGCAGTGGTGGCACATGCCTTTAGTCCCAGCACTTGGGAGGCAGAGGCAGGCAGATCTCAGTGAGTTCGAGGCCAGCCTGGTCTACAGAGTGAATTCCAGGACAGCCAGGACTATTACACAGAGAAACCCTGTCTCAAAAAACCAAACCAAAACAAAACAAAACAAAAAAACCAAAATATAACCTAACTTCATAGCCCTGAAAAAGAATTACAAGTCTCCATTCTTACCGTCAAGGGTTACATGCAGGACAGAAAAATGTATTTTAAGCTTTAAGACGCTTTTGTTGTCACTGTGCCTTGGAAGGTGCCGAGTAAGTTCAACCCCACCCTGAGCCTTCACTTCATGCTGCAAGGGACCTCTCAGCTCAGCTCGGCTCAGCACTGTACTCTTGTGATGACACATTGCTGTTTGTAAACAGTCTTCAGTCCAGGAAAGCCTGCTTTTACAACCGCTAACCACAAAACGTTTAAAATGTTTATGCACTTATAAGTATAGGACATAACACACAATTTCCTTATTCCTTTCTGTTTCCTTGGTAGTTTAGTGTTATAAGACTATCTCTGTAGATATGATAATAAAAAAACTTCTCTTTTTGCAGCTGTAGGTTGCAGCCCACTAATTAGGGAGCTAACTAAAAAAGTGCTCCTTCCTTGTTACTGTGACAATTTACCTGGATTTATTTATGACTGTTGCTTATTATTTTCTCAAGAAATGGTACGTGACCTTCGGATGTAATGCCTAAATGATTCTGAGGGTCTTATAAGCTGTGAAGAACAAAGACAGCTGGCTGAATTCAACATGAGAGAATGAAGAGTGATAACATCAGGAAAACATGAGTTTCTTCACTTTTTTGTAACCCCCTCAGACAGAAGAGTCTCTGTTTCATGCACCCATCCATCCATCCACCCACCCATCCATCCATCCATCCACCCATCCACCCATCCATCCACCCACCCACCCATCCATCCACCAACCCATCCCTCCCTCCATCCACCCATCCATCCATCCATCCACCCACCCATCCATCCACCCACCCATCCATCCATCCACCCATCCATCCATCCACACATCCATCCATCCATCCACCCACCCATCCATCCACCCACTCATCCATCCATCCATCCACCCACCCATCCATCCACCCACCCATCCATCCATCCACCCATCCATCCATCCACACATCCATCCATCCACCCATCCATCCATCCATCCATCCACCCACCCATCCATCCACCCATCCATCCACCCATCCATCCATCCATCCACCCATCCATCCATCCACACATCCATCCATCCACCCATCCATCCATCCATCCATCCATCCACCCACCCATCCATCCACCCATCCATCCACCCATCCATCCATCCATCCACCCATCCATCCATCCACACATCCATCCATCCACCCATTACTCACCCATCCACCCATCCACCCACCCATTACTCACCCAGCCCTCTATCACCCACCCAGCCAGTCACGCACTCATCCATTCATCTTCCAAGAACCTATCCACCATATGTTTAAGCGTCTGTCCCCTGTCCATCCTTGTAAGTATTTTGTGGCACAGCCCGCCTCACTGTCCCACCACCCATCGTGTGCCACCCTCCAGCCACAGGAACAGCAACAGGCCCATCACCATTAGTGAGCAGGCATGCCCGCCCTCCCCGCCCCAGCCTCCTCCCTCTCTGCGCCCTCACTTGCTGTCCAGCAGGTCCATGATGGGCTGCAGCACGTTGTCGGCATCCTGGGCCACACTGCTGCAGGCACTGGCGGGCACATTGCCCGTGCCCTTCACCTGGCTCAGGATGTCACCCATCTGCTTGACACACTCTTCCACGTGCGGCTGAAAGCTGTGGGCAAATTGAAGAGGTGCTCGACGCAGGCTCTGTGTCCCAGAGGGTGACCTTGAGATTCTGCAGCCCGGGTTCCTGTCCTCAGCACCAGGAGGCGATCACACCGAGTGAGGGCGCACACGAGCACTTAACCCGCCGCGCCTGGGACTCCGCGTGTGGACCGTTCAGAGCTCTTTCACAGCCCTGGTGACATCACTGCTACTCCACCAAGGCTGGACCGGCAAGGGGCTCACTGAGCCACGCAGCCAGGCCTTGGGAAAACCACACCTGAGCTCCCAGTTAACCTGCCTGAGCCTCACCTGTCCCTGGTGTGAGATGAGCACAAGATGCCCAAGTCCCTGCTCATGTGTCCCTGCCCGGAGATGCCCCCCCACCTGGTGGCGAACACGTGGCTGAGCTCATCCAGGACGCTGTTGAGTTTCACCTGCAGCTCCTTCAGGGTGCCACTGGCCTCGGCGTCCAGCTGAGGGGAGCAAGATCCTTAACACACCCCTGATTTCTCATGTCCCTGAGAAGGTATCTGAGGGGCTGGGGAGGAAACTGAGGCACAGGCAGCCAAGTCTCCCTGGTACATCTGCAATTCACACCCAAGCCTGCTGTCCACAATCTCAGGGGCTCCTGGAAATGGGTGAGCCCCTCCCTCGCCCACCCCATCACTCACCTCCTTCCCCCCCCATCGCCTCAAACATCTTCTCCAGTTGCACCCGCAACTGCTGCGTGTTGTTCATGAGGATGCAGGGCTAGAGAAGCAAGAGTCAGGCTGGCGACTCCCCACCGCCTCCCGGGGGCCCCCAGAGGATGGGAGGCAACAGCCCTGGACATGCATGAACTGGGGGTTTGAAGGAATATCGTCCTGGGACACATGCTGGGCCAGGTGGGTCCCACCGAGGAGTAGGAAGTCAAGGGGCAGAGAGGAACCCTCAGGGCCCGCCTGCCTCTGCTGGCGCTGCTGATGCTACAGCCTCAGAGGCTGGGAACAATCGGGAACACGTAGGCAGGCATGTCCTTCCTGTCATGTGCACACACAGCACTGCCCCAGACACACAGACATGAGCACACTCACGGCCCAGTCCTCAGCAAGCTACACAAAACAGATAGTTGCGTACAGAGGCACACAGCTGTCACCCCTGCACTCAGAAGGTGGAGACAGGGGGACCAGGTATTCAAGGCTAGCCTGGGCTACATAGCCAGCGTAAAGCTACCTGGGCTACACTGCCAGCTGGAGTTGAGTCTGTGGTGCATAGCAAGTTGAAGACCAGTTTGGATTACACAGTGAATTGGAGGCCACCTTGGGCTACATAGCAAGATTGAGGCTAACCTGGGCTACGTGAGAAGCTCAAATCCAGCCTGAACTCCATTTTTAGAGCTTGTCTTAAAAACCCAACCAAGCAAATAACTAATCACCACCATCACCAAACCCCACACTGTCAGACCCAGACAGACAGACGGCAGACAGACACAATCACATGTGTCCTCGAAAACCCGTGTCCCCTCAGTAGCCTTGCGTCATAGCTCGGGGTAGGAAGGACCTCCCGGGCCCTGAGGGAAACTGAGCAGGGCAAGGAGGGCTGGGAGGGGAGGGGCGGGCGTCCCCGGTCACCACTTTCTCTTTCTCCTTGGAGCAGTAGGAGGCGAAGCCTTTGGAGACAATGTCGGCGTACTGCAGAAGGACGTTGCTGATGGTCTGATAACACAAACGGGGGACAGGGGCTGTGGTCTCAGGGACCCTGGCCACCAGGCACCACAACGCCCACTGTACACACTGTGGTGACTGCTGCACAGTGTGTGCGGTGGACATCGGGCTGGAGGGCTGTCAACCCCAGATGACCAGGACACAGAGGGGATCAGGGACCCCCCCCCGCCCAGAGGAGTGTTTGCACTACAATAACTCCTGTGTGGCAGAGACTGGCCTTGAACTCCTGATCTTCCTGCCCTGGTCTAGACTAAATACAAGCCCCACCATCGCCCATATACCCTGCTCTACTTTTTTGTTTTTTTTTTTTTGGTTTTTTTTTTGGTTTTTCGAGACAGGGTTTCTCTGTATTGTTTTGGAGGCTGTCCTGGAACTCGCTTTGTAGACCAGGCTGGCCTCGAACTCACAGAGATCCACCAGCCTCTGCCTCCTGAGTGTTGGGATTAAAGGCGTGCGCCACCACCGCCCGGCGCCCTGCTCTACTTTGAAGGAAACAACTGCAGTATTAACCTGATCCCTCATGGAATCCAGATGCCAGCCTTTAATCCCCAGCTAAACCATCAAAGTCACCCAGAGCCAGCTCTGTTTATGTGAACCCTGATATTGGAGATCCCCATGGCAACTGCAGCCCCAAGCCCAACCCCATTACCCAAACTGGAACACTCACCCCCCCCACTTTCTGATTTCTTTGGAGTTAATAATTGCCTTTTTTTTTGCTTTGTTTTATTTAACTTTTCTTTGTGTGGTGCTGGGGATTAGACCCCTAGTCCTCGAACACACTAGACAAGTTCTCCACCACTGAGCTACACATCCAGCCTCTCCACTCCCACCTCCCCAACATAGATTTGTGTGTGGTCTATCTGTGTAACAGTCCTGGCTGCCTGGAACTCGCTCTGTAGACCAGGCTGGCCTTGAACTTGGAGATCCACCTGCCTCTGCCTCTGAATGCTGGGATTAAAGGCATACACCATCATGCCCAGCTAGATTTTTTAAATTTAATTAGTGTGTGTGTGTGAGAGAGAGAGAGAGAGAGCATGTATGTGATCATGTGTTCCTGTGTGTGATCATGTATGTGTTGTAGAAGTCAGCCCTCCTTCCTCCCTAGGGACCCCAGGGATGGAGCTCAGGTCCTCAGGTTTGGCGACAGGCAAGTCCACCTCCTCAATTTTTTGTTTTTCTAGAGTTATCAGTTTACTCTTTTTTCTGCCTAGTTTTACCTTTGACTTCTCTGTTTGTGACTCTGGGGATGGATAACTTGCACACACTGGCTCTCACTATCCAGACTGGTCCCGTCCCTCAACTTCCATATAAGTGCCAACCTCGGGCACCTAACTGTAGACATGTTTCCACCCCCAGCCCCAGCCCTACCCGATCCCACCCCACCTTGGCAAAACGGCGCATGTAGTGGCCCACGATCTGGGGGTCAGGACACTCCAGCTTTTTGATGATCTCGAAGCTCTGGTTGAGCTGGGAGAAGACATCCACCACGGAACAGGAGAACAGGGCGTGCTCTGACGTCTGCTGGAACTGCAGGGACAGGCGACAGGCTGGACGCCACAGCAGCCACGGGGTGGGCCCGGGGGACGCCACAGCAGCCGCGGGGTGGATGCCACAGCAGCCACGGGGTGGGCCCGGGGGACGCCACAGCAGCCGCGGGGCCCCGGGGGGCGCCACAGCAGCCCCGGGGTGGAACTGGAGGGACAGGCGACAGGCTGGATGCCACAGCAGCCGCGGGGGCCCGGGGGGCGCCACAGCAGCCCCGGGGTGGGCCCGGGCTGCAGAACCGTGGAGGCCCTGGGCTGGAGGGAGACCACGCATCCACGCTGCTAAATGCACGGGGGAGGGCGCCCACAAGCAAGACCTCTGCCCACCACTCTGCACCGCCTCACCCCATCCTTCTTGTCTCGCTCCAGCGCACCGTGCAGGAAGTCCCGGGACACCTCCTCATTCTCATCCAGCCACTGGATGACAAATGGCTCAAACCACCTGCAGGGGGCAGAGCGGCCGGGGCACCCTCAGAGACAGTGCGCCAGCCCTGCCCACCCCGGCTGCGGGCCTGCTTCTGGTCTGGCGCTGGGGTACAAGCTCTAGTCCCGATTCCTAGGAAGTGGTGACCTTGGTTCCGCCCCCGGCTTCCACCCTGTACTGCGCAGCAGTCACTTCGGCGTGGTTAGCGTCTTTCATCTGCTCATTGAAATAGAGGGTTGATGTAGCCCAGGCTAGCCTTGAACTCAGTGTGTACGTGGTGAACAGGGAGGAGAACCAGGAAGAGGAGGAGGAAGGAGGAGGGAGCTTTCGGCCTTTACAAACTAAAAACATTTCAGTCATGGCTGGTTTCAACTGGGTGGCTTCCTTCTCCCCCCGACGCCTGAGCCATGGGGACACAGCTGCCTCTTCAGTGCCCACGGGGTGTCAGGCTCACTGTCCTGAGCTTCAGGGAGTTGGGGTCCGGCACTCAGGCCTGCACCCTCTCGGGTCTTGGTGACACTCGGGCCGTGAGAACTTACGCGGGGTACTCGGGCACTCGGTCCTTGAAGGCGGGCAGCTCCGCCACGTACTCGTTGTAGAGCCACTTGACCTTGAAGTGCAGGTTCATGTAGTCAGCGCTCTTGCAAAGACGGTGCTTGTCGTGCTCTGCGGGGGGGGAGGGACAGGGGGAGGGGCAGGGGGAGGGACAGGGGAGGGACAGGGGAGGGACAGGGGGAGGGACAGGGGAGGGACAGGGGGAGGGACAGGGGAGGGACAGGGGAGGGACAGGGGGAGGGACAGGGGAAGGACAGGCCCATCAGCAGACGCCCTCCGCGGCTCTAGCCGCCCACCGGGCTAAGAGACTCACCCTCCATGACACTCACCCTCCATGACACTCACCCTCCATGGCACTCACCCTCCATGACACTCACCCTCCATGGCACTCACCCTCCATGGCACTCACCCTCCATGACACTCACCCTCCATGACACTCACCCTCCATGGCACTCACCCTCCATGACACTCACCCTCCATGGCACTCACCCTCCATGGCACTCACCCTCCATGACACTCACCCTCCATGACACTCACCCTCCATGGCACTCACCCTCCATGACACTCACCCTCCATGACACTCACCCTCCATGGCACTCACCCTCCATGACACTCACCCTCCATGACACTCACCCTCCATGACACCCTCCATGACACTCACCCTCCATGGCGTACTTCATGTCCTGGGCAAACAGGCCCCACATGACCTCAGCGCTGATCTTTCCCACATTGAGCTCCTGAGGAAACCTGGGAGGAGGCCATAGAAAGCTGGGCTGCGGCAGGGCGGGGGGCGCTCGACCTCCTGCTGCCGTCACAGGGCTCGAAGGCCAGGCTCGCCCTAGTGCACACCCACGCAGCCCCGCCCCCCACCAACCATGACTCAGACACGCGTCTATCCACACACTCACTATCACACACTCACTATCACACTCACTATCCACACTCACTATCACACTCACTATCACACTCACTATCACACTCACTATCACACTCACTATCACACACTCACTATCACACTCACTATCACACTCACTATCACACACTCACTATCCACACTCACTATCACACACTCACTATCACACTCACTATCACACACTCACTATCACACACTCACTATCACACACTCACTATCACACACTCACTATCACACACTCACTATCACACTCACTATCACACTCACTATCACACACTCACTATCACACACTCACTATCACACACTCACTATCACACACTCACTATCACACACTCACTATCACACACTCACTATCACACACTCACTATCACACACTCACTATCCACACTCACTATCACACACTCACTATCACACACTCACTATCACACACTCACTATCACACACTCACTCACTATCACACACTCACTATCACACACTCACTCACTATCACACACTCACTATCACACACTCACCATCACACACTCACTATCCACACTCACTATCCACACACTCACTATCACACACTCACTACCACACTCACTATCACACACTCACTATCACACACTCACTATCCACACTCACTATCACACACTCACTATCACACACTCACTATCCACACTCACTATCACACACTCACTATCACACACTCACTATCACACACTCACTATCACACACTCACTATCACACACTCACTATCACACACTCACTATCACACACTCACTATCACACTCATTATCACACACTCACTATCACACTCATTATCACACACTCACTATCACACACTCACTATCACACACTCACTCACTATCACACACTCACTATCACACACTCACTATCACACTCACTATCCACACTCACTATCACACACTCACTATCCACACTCACTATCACACACTCACTGTCACACTCACTCACTATCCACACCCAGTCACCACCCCACCCCAGTGCTCACTGTGGAAGGAACAGTCAATGGCTCCTTTAGCCGTGTCATAAATGCTTGGCAGAGGCCATGCCATAACGACATAACGATTGTGCCCACATCCCCACAAGTTGCACAGTGTACAAGCCTGCATACTGCACAGCGTTGCATACGGTATAAAACTGTGTATGACCTGTTTGTTGTTTCAGGGTCCCTCCATGTTGCCAAGGCCACCCTGACACCAAACTCAACTGGTCCTCTCGCTGCCCTGAAGTAGCTAGGACCTCGGGTGCTCGCCTGGAGCTTAGTTACAACAATATAAGCTAAAGTTCAACTGTACAACGCTCTATATTAAAGTTCAACTCTACAACATTCTATATTAAAGTTCAACTCTAGGCCAGTGGGATGTCTCTGCGGGCTTGCCACTAAGCATGGAACCTGGGTTCAGTCCCGAGAAATCTCATGGGGGAGGGAGAGAACCAATCCCTATAAGTTGTCCTGTGACTATGACACGCATGCACACAGGACTTAGGTTCAATTCCCACTACCATAAGATGGCTCACAACCATCTGTAACTGTAGTTCAGGTGATCTAATGACGTTTTCTCACCTCAGGCACAAGCATGGTTCATAGACACGCAAACACACTTAAGGACAGTATTTTTAAAAATAAAGTAAAATTTAAGAAAAATCTTTTTTTGAGTTTTTTGAGACAGGGTTTCCTTGTATAACAGTCTTGGCTGTCCTGGAACTCGCTCTATAGACCAGGCTGGTCTAAAACTCACAGAGATCCCCCTGACTCTGCCTCCCAAGTTCTGGGATTAAAGACATGCACTATGACTGCCCAAGATAAAATTTTAATTAAAAAAAGTTTAAGTTCACACCACAGTTGTAAACACAAATACAATTAAACTAATGTAACCAGACTCTAAATTCTGTAGGTGGGTCTGCAGCCCAGGCCTGGCCTCCCAGCTCCCCGGGAGACCCAGGCAGGGAGATCTCAAGTTAAGGCCAACCTTGAGGTTAGCTTTATGGAGACCTTTCCTTAAAATAAAAAGTAAAGAGAAGGCCAGCCTACGGAGCCCCTCTCACACACATTTGTCGCTCAGGCTCTGTGACCGAGCGGCACTCACTGGTTGAGGCACGGTGTGTAGGAATTCTTATCTTCCTCAATGATGGACACGATGAGCGTGATGAGCTTGGACCAGAAGTCCAGGTTCTTGATGCTGGGACCCTGCTCCTCCGGGGGGACCTCCCCCTTCTTGGCCTGAAAGGGGCAGAGGAGACGTTGCTTAGAAGCCAGTGTGGGCAGGCGTGGGGTATCCCAGTGCAGAGCCATACCTCATGCTGGAGAAAAAAACAAACAATGGCGCAGAAGCTGGTGCACGCTCAGTGGAGAGGCTGTGGCCACCTCTTCCTCGGTAATTCTGAGCCAACCTGGGCTACAAGCGATCCTCATTTCAAACAAACAAAGAAACAAAGCAAAACTAAAAGAAATTCAGCCCAAGCCAGTATTTTCTTTTCTTTCCTGAGACAGAGACTCAAGATGTAGCCCAGGTTAGCACGGAACTGCCCATCTCGCGTCTCAGCATCTGAGGGCTGAGGAAGGCAGCATCCACACCTGTCAACATTTCGTCACGTCTTATTTGTTTATTTGTGTATGTGTTGGAGGCGGGCACGTGCTCACAGTATGCAGAGACAGAGGACGACCTGTGGGAATCGGCTCCCATGCGGTCCCCAGGGGCGCGCCACGGGCAACCAGGCTCTACGCCCGCTGAGCCCTCTCAGGGGCCCCCAAATTTCCTTTACTTTTTACATATTATTTGATTTTATGTAGCTGTCTGTAATGCACGTGTGCAGGCGGGTGCCCAAGGAGACCAGAAGCACTGGAGTTAGAGGGGATGCGAGCCCCGTGTGGGCGCCGGGAATCGAGCTCGGGTCTCTGGAAGAGCAGCCAGGGCTCTTAACCATGAAGCCATCTCCAACCTTGCACGAATGGAGACCCTCCACTCATCTTGAGGCCTTAACCCAAACTCACCAAACACATTCTTGAGGGCCTACTGTGCACTCGTTGCTAAGTCCTCCACTGGAGGCCACCAAATGCCTTTTTTCTTACTCAGAGCATTCCACAGTCCCCATGCTTGGCTCCTAGTCCCAAATCCCAGAAGGCAACTGTGAAGGCCTAAGAACAACCTGGCCCACGGGTGCCCACCCCGGGCCTCACCGGGTCTGTCTGGTACTCGCGGCCGTAGAGCTCGTGGCAGTTGTTGAAGATGTACTCGTAGGTGGAGTTGAGGCACGCCTTCACGCAGTCCTTCACCACCTGGCTGGCACGTGGAGGGCTCTGCAGTTCCTGAACCTGAAGAGAGAGACAGGCCGGGGTGAGGGTGGCTGCGGCCGGGACAGCGACGCCCTGAGCTGGCTCTGAGCTGCTATGTGTTGGCTGCCTGGTGGGTTTCCCACGATGCTCTCATCGTTCGTGATTTATTTGTCTCGATCTGTAGACCAGACTGGCCTCACCTGCCTCTGCTTCCGAGTGCTTGGACTAAAGGTGTGTGCACCTAGGAATGGTCTGTGTGTGTGTGTGTGTGTGTGTGTGTGTGTGTGTGCGTGCGAAGGTCATAGGACAGCCAGTGGAAGCCAGTTCTCTCCTCCCACGCAGGGCCCGGGGGTTGAACTCACATCGCCAGGCTTGTCGGCAAGCACTCTTCCCACTCAGCACGTTGCTGCCCCCCCAGCTGTGCGTTTGAGGGTGCACGGTAGCCGTGGCCACAGACACACAGCCAGAAACCTTCACACGGCTGTGAGGACAGGCGGGGCTGCCTCGGGGACACCCACCTTCATGCGGAAGAAGGTGATGCTGGTGAGGAGGTCCACGGTGGACTTGAGGTCCTGCAGCCGCTCGGGGCTGCTGGCTGGGAAGTTGTTCTGTGGGCATCAAGTGGGTGGTAAGAGACCAGGGACACGGTGACAGCCCTCAGTGTCAGCACACTGGGGCAGGGGCTGTCCCCGCAGGGTCCCCAGGCCCCTCCCCTCTGGGTGACACAGGACACAAGCTCAGGGGTGCAGCACAGGAGCCTCTCACCCGGTACATGGACAGGTCGATCCTCAAGGAGTTGTGTAGCTGGTCCAGAAGTTTCACAAAGCGCTCTTTCTAAGCGGAAGATGGGAGGGTGGAGGCGGAGCTGAGGGGAGGTCTGCTGATTTCTCTGTATATTGGCTACTAGCTGACTGCTGCCTAACCACTAGGCTCACCACCCAGCCAAACCCCATTTCTTCTAGCTTTTTTTAAAGATTTATTTATTTTTGAATATTGTGCTCTATCTGCACGTCTGCCTACATGACAGGAAAGGACACCAGATCTCATGATAGACAGTTGTGAGCCACCATGTGGTTTGTGGTTGATGGGAACTGAACTCATGACCTCTGGAATGGCAGCCAGTGCTCAGGCCTAGTTGTGCTGGGACTCACTCTGCAGACTAGGCTGATCTTGAACTCACAGAGATCTGCTGCCTCTCCCTTCTAAGTGCGGGGATTAAAGGCGTGCGCCACCACTGCCTGGCCCCTGGCTTTTTGACACAGGGTCCCTGTATCCCAGTTGGCTTGGACCTGGAGATCCTCCTGCCTCAGCCTCCTGAGAGCTGTGATGACAAGCATGTATGTTACCATGCCCAGCTTACATGGTGCCTGGGATGGAGACCCAGAGCCTCATTCATCCTAGGCAAGCACCCTACCCACTGAGCTACCCCACCCCACCCACTCTTAACATCCTTCCGGTTCCATTCTATTTTTTTTTTTTTTTTGGTTTTTCGAGGCAGGGTTTCTCTGTAGCTTTGGAGGCTGTCCTGGAACTCACTTTGTAGACCAGGCTGGCCTCGAACTCACAGAGATCCACCTGCCTCTGCCTCCCAAGTGCTGGGATTAAAGGCGTGAGCCACCAATGCCCGGCCCGGTTCCATTCTTACAGACAAGCAAACTGAGGCTCTGAGGTAGGTAGACACTGGGGCAGAGTCACCCAGGGTTAGTAATCACAGGAAGTGTGTCCGGCCCTGGCCCCTAAGACTGACCCCAAAGTTGGAGGCGGCGAAGCGGTCAGAGGCAGATACGTTGGTTGAGGCGGTAGTGTGTGCGTAGTAGGCGTTGATGTTGGCAAGCAGGGTACTCATGACGGCAGGCACCCCGGGGCACATGTACTTGGAGGAGAGGCAGGCAAAATGGCTGGAGGGTGAGAGCAGGCGGCATTGGGTCTGGGGACCTGGGCTGTGGGGTTCCCAGAACTCCAGGACACTACCAAAGAGGCTGCCTCTTCTACAGCTCCCCCCGGCCGGGCTTTGCCTCTGAGAGCACACGTCTGTCTTGTCTTCCATGTTTTTAACTTAATTTTGAGACAGGGTCGTGCAGAGCCCAGGCTGGTTTCAAACTCTGTGTAGCAAGGATGACCCTGAGTTCCTGTCCTGTTTCAGTCCCCAGTGCTGGCACCTCAGGCCACCTCCTGGCCCGTCTCACCCAGCTGTCTAGGGACCACGCCTCTCTACCTCTCATTGGCTCTCTGCCCACACCTCCCAATAGAGGCATCCTGACAGTCCCGGGGACGCGGGACGCCCTCCCTTTCCCGGGCCACACTCTGTCCTCACGTCATGGCCTGGTAGATGGACTCCACACCATAGCGCATGGCAAACTCATCCACAATCTCCTGGGCTGTTTCGTCATAGTACACCTTCCAGGCGTCATCGCCCTTGGCATCAGGGATCTTCACCACACCATTGTTCTGCACGTCCGTCACAAAGTGGAACAAGTTCTGCACCAGAGAGACAGCACCAGGACTGAGGAGGCGGCCGAAAGACAAGCTTACCTCACTCATCCTTCCGGTCACTCCTCCATGTGCTGTCACCCCATCCTCCTCGTCATCCAGGCTTCACATCTGTCCTCTACCCACCACCTACCCACCCCGCTGACCATCCACCCAGCCATCCATTCACCACCCATTCATACCCATCCATCCAGCCATCCATCCAGCCATCCATCCACCCATCCATCCATCCACCCACCCATCCACCCACCCATCCATCCATCCACCCACCCACCCACCCCGCTGACCATCCACCCAGCCATCCATTCACCACCCATTCATACCCATCCATCCACCCATCCATCCATCCATCCACCCATCCACCCATCCATCCACCCATCCACTCATCCACCCATCCACCCATCCATCCACCCATTCATCCATCCACCCATCCATCCATGCATCCATCCATCCATCCACCCACCCACCCATCCATCCATCCACCCACCCACCTAACTATCCCACAAATCATACCCCGTATTTCCACGTGCCTGTCACTTACAATCTGTCTCCACCCTCCTCCACTTTTCCATGTACCCAGCTACTTGCAGATCTACCCAGCCACTCACCTCATTTCTACAGATCACTCCGATCCACCCGTCTACCCATCTGAATCCACCCACGCCCTCAGCCACACACCAATCACTCCCTGGGGCCTTGTATCATCCTCACTGCATTCATCAAGCAGCACTCGTTTGAGCATCCCAGCCTGGGGATAGTGTTCTCTCCTAAGCCCAGCCAGGAGCAGGAGAGCTCGGGGCTGGAACCTGCCAGGAGTACAGCTATGAGAGCCTGCAGGGGGCAGCGGTATTCCTGGATGGGCCTTGATGCATGCGTAGGAGTTTCTCAGGAGCAGGGAACCCTGTGAGGAAGCACCTCTGAGGTGCACAACTGCACAGCGTGTCTGGGAGGAAGGGTGGTAGCCATGGTGACGAAGACGCCAGCTGTACGTTTCTTGCCACCGGGGCTCAGTTCATGCAGACGGTGTACTGGGGGCTCACGTCTGGGGGGCTCACGTCTGGGGGGCTCACGTCTGGGGGCTCACGTCTGGGGGGTTCATGTGTGGGGGCCTCACGTCTGGGGGCTCACCTCTGAGGGGTTCACGTCTGGGGGACTCACGTCGGGGGCTCACCTCGTGCAGACAGGTGTACTGGACATGGTATGGCGCCACCTTCTCCTCCCCTTTGATCTCCACACTGATATGAAGCCGAATGGCGCCTGACACGGCAGACTTGTCTGTCCTCTTGTCTGTGGGTCGTCAGGGTGCGTTAGAAGGTCCGGGGCAGCCTGGTCTGTGTCTGCAGCCTGGCCCGCTGGGCTCTCTCTCGTGCTGCATTTCCTGGGTCCCCCTCTCTGTCTCCAACCTCCCTGAGCCCCGCCCTCACTCACCCAAATTGTACCACACGTCCATCTCGCCACTGAGCGTCCGCACCTCGATGATCGTCTGCCCTAGGAAGTCGTCGGACTCCCTCTTAAACCTCTGCTTCACTCGGGACTTGATGTCATCATCTTCATCCCAGACACGCACTTTGATCCGGTCAGAGGAGTTGTGGCACTCACTGTGTAGGGGTCAGATTGGAGGACAGGCATCAGGTAGCCACCCTGTGCCTGGTTCCAGAGACCACTATGACTTGGCCCAGGAGCAAGCCTCGTCTGGAGCTGGGGATCCAAGCGGTCACTCACAAATGGAAATTTTCTTCCCACACTGGGTTGAGGTTTCCATAGATGGTTTTTGTCCTTTTCTTGGTCTTCCCGACCTGGACGGTGACATAAGGATCACTGGACCCTGTCTTGTCCTTGGCCTGCAAGCCCTGGGCACAGACCACTGAAAGACACACACCACACAATGTGCTTTCAAGAGGGGGACTTGCCAAAAGCGGTCACTAGCACACACCTTAGGTGACCTGTGGCTTGGGCCGGTCACAGAGACAGCCCATCGAGCGGTGCTAGAGAGTTGTCGCAGGACCCCAATCTGATCCACCCACCTCCCCACCCCCCCATCCTTCCCTGCAGTCACCCATGCGCACCCACACGGGCCATTCTGCAATGACCCAACCTTCTACCCACCCATCCTGCCGCCCTACCACCCACGCAGCCATCCATCCAAGCCTTCAGCCGCTCATCCTTGTCCTCTCACCACCAAGCTACCCGCCCATCCGTGCAGCTACCCGCCCATCCGTGCAGCTACCCGCCCCTCTTCCTGTCACCCACACCCCCACTCTCAAAGTATCTAGGTAAGCGTGCAGCGCCCGCCCACTCACCCGCCCATCCAAGCCTGCAGACCCCATCTATCCATCCATTCACCACGCATGCACCATGGGGGACCACTCCCGCGTGCACGTCAGAAGAGGCTTCCCTGAGGTTCCCAGGCTGGCCCCCTTCCTGCTTCTATGCGCCCCTCAGGTGTGGGGGGCGTCTGCACATGCGCACCCGTGATGCTGATTTTGGCAGACCACTTGGACGTGCCGTCGAGCACACTCTGTTTGACAGCCTTCATCTGCTGTGTGTGAGCACTCTTGGTGACAGCGAACACCTCCTGGATCAGCTCGAAGATCTCGGGCTTGTTGCGCTCACGGATCTTCATTCGGTCCTTCAGCACCATGATGATGTTCTGCGTGCGGTCTTCCGCGCCATGCTTGGAGCTCTTCTCCGCCGCCCCTGCGGAGGGCGACGCAGACGCACCTGGCCTTGGTGTCCAGCCGCTCCAGCCTCCAACCCAGGCCGCCCGCACAGCCCCGCCTTCGGGCTAAGCCACGCCCTCTGAGGCTATCCTGGCTTGGCCACGCCCACGGAGTTCCGCTCCCCGGAGTCTCGGGCCATCCCAGAGTCTCGGCCACCCAGATACCCTGCCCAACTCTGGGCCCCACCCCAGGCATCACCCTACGTGTCGCGCTCTGCACTCCCTGCCCACTGAGTCCTGGGCCCTGGCCTCACGGTGTCTCTCCCCCCCTGGAGTCTGAGGCCAACTGAGCGAGCATCCTTCTGAGAAGCGCCACACCCTGCAGGAGGCCACGCCCCCGCCGGCCCCACCTCTCCTGTCCCTGGCCCATCACCTGTATTCACACAGCCTTCCTGTCAGGCGGCGGCCTCTTTCAAAGCCCCGCCTGTTAGACGGCGCGCGCTCGGACCACCCTCCTCTGAGACGCAGGGCGGGGCAGGCGCCTCCCTCTCCCGGAAGCCCCGCACAGGCCAGCACCCTCAGCGCCTCCGCTCCTCTCCACTCCCTCAGCCTTGAGCCCGCTTCTCCGGTTCCAGAGCGTGACCAGTGGTTCTCAACCTCCCTAACGACCCTTTAAGACAGCTCCTCGTGTTGTGGTGGCCTCCAACCATAAAATTATATTGCTGCTACTTAATAACTGTAATCTTGCTACTATTATGAGTCGTAATGTAAATGTCGGTTGTGCAGGATATCTGATTTTCTGTTTGTTTGAGACGGGGTTTCTTTGTGGAGTCTTGGCCATCCTAGAACTCACTCTGTAGACCAGGCTGGCCTCGAACTCACAGAGATCCTCCTGCCTCTGCCTCCCGAGTGCTGGGATTAAAGGCCGCGCCACCAATGCCCGGCCTGTTTTTTTTTTTGTTTGTTTGTTTGTTTTGTTTTTGCAGGATATCTGACATGGGACCCCCAAAGGTTGAGAATCTCTTCACACAAACCCGCGGAGCCCCGCCCCTAGTCCGAGCCACGCCCACCAAACCACGCCCATTGCCCTGCCCCTGACTCATACCTGGGGCATCCCTGTTCCACCGCCTGCCCTAAGCTACCGACCTCCATTCGCGCAGCAGAGCCTGCACGCTCCCTGTCAGCTCCCCCTCCCGGCCCGGCCCACTCGCGCCCGGCCCCGCCCACCGCCTCGGCCCCGCCCCGTGGCCCCGCCCCGTGGCCCCGCCCCGTGGCCCCGCCCCGTGGCCCCGCCCCTCACGCTGCAAGCAGTCGGCGTTGAGCAGGTCCTGGCACTTCTCGTGGCACTTGACGCCGCACTCGGTGCAGCGCATGCCCTGCCGCGCGATGCCCCACAGCAGCCCCTCGCACTCGTAGCAGTAGGTGGGCGTGGTGGCCGTCCACACCTCGAAGTTGTGCGGTGTGGTGCAGGAGATCGGGTAGATTAAGGCTTGCAGGGTCTTCTTGTAAACGTGGTTTTTCTGTGCGGAAGGGGGGCCGCGTGGGGCGGGGGCGTCCCAGGCACCGCAGCCCCACGCCCTGCTCCTCGGTCACACGGGGACACTCCTAGAGCCCCCCCCACACTCACCAGCTCTTCATTGTTCAACGTGCTGGAGGCCAGGGCCGAGGTGATGCCCGCCTTCCGCGACTGGACCAGTGACTGCGGCAGGAAGGTCACCAGTGAGTGTGTGAGTGCGAGCCACACAGCCGAGGTCGCGGTGCCGGGCAGGGGTCTCTGAAGGAATCCTGGGAGGTAAATGCCCCACACCCCAAAGGCGGTGGAGACACCGGCCAAGCAAAACTCGCTGCGTGGTGCATCAAGGTAGTTTGGAGCATGGGACACCTGCTCCCGCACCCGTGACCCTTGAGACCCACACGGGGGCCACAGTGAAGAGACCCCGCTCAAGATCACTCACCATAGCCTGGGGTCCGGGAGGCATGGGGTTGGAAATGAGCCTACATTAGTTCCAGCACTGCCTGGGCAGTCCCCGGCCCCAGGGACGCTGTGGGCAGCTGTACGGGTCACCCACTGCTCACAACGGCCCCGTTCAGGGTGGGAGCACGGAGCTGCTCACCAGGTCGCTCACGAGGGGAATGGGCTTCCGTTTCCTGATGTCCGGCATACTGTCAATGATGATAAGGCCACCGCCTGGGCTGGAAGACACACCCGGACACTGAGCGCGCAGCCTGTGCTCCTGGCCTTACCCCATCCCTGAAGTGCAGGCAGGACCTTTGACCTCTCCGTGGGCAGAGACTTCAACCATCTGTCAAATGACAAACTGAAGCACTCGTCCCCAAACCTAGAGGCATGATTATTTGGACTTCGGTTCTCAGTGATTAAACAACCAGTATCTCAGGAGACTGAGGCAGGAGGAGTTCAAGTCTGGCCTAGTCAGCACTGGGAGACCCCATTCAAATAATAATAATAATCAGCCAGGTGTGGTGGCACACCCTTTAATTCCAGCACTCGGGAGGCAGAGGCAGGCGGATCTCTGTGACTTCGAGGCCAGGCTGGACCAACAGCCTCCAAAACAATACAGAGAAACCCTGTCTCGAAAAACCAAACCAACAAACAAACGTCTCCCCTATAGCCAAGTGCCCTCTCTACTCACCCGCCTTTGAACCACAGGGACTTGGACAACTCTCCTTCTCCTCGTGCCTGCAGGACACACAGACTGGTCAGCATGGTTGCCCCTCTACTCCCTGGGCAAGCTGCATTCCCGTCACCCCACGTGGATGAGGGTCGGGAAAGCCAGTCCTACACTTCCCCTCTGAGCCTGTAAAGCAGGCTGCAAGTCACAGAGCACCTGTCAATCAAACATGTCAGTCCTGAACACCTGACATCATTCTCCCAAAGAGTCTCGTTGGACTCTTTTGATTTTACTTTTTGACTGGGTCTTCCCATGTAGTAGCCTTGGCTGGCTTGAACTGCAATCCTCCTGCCTCAGCCTCTCAAATGCTGGGATGGCAGTCCTGTACCACCCCATCCAGCTAACCTGTCTAACATGTTTTAAATTTTATTAGGATTTGTATGCGTATACATGTTCTGCCTGCGTTTGTCTCTGTACCATGTGTATGTCTGGTGTCCACAGAGGCCAGAAGAGGGTGTCGGTCCCTTGTAACTGGAGTTACAGACACATGTGAGCCTCCACGTGGTGCTGGGAATAAACCCAGGCCCTCTGTGTGAGCCGAGACATGTCTCCAGCTCTAAGTTTTACATTCTCTTCATACATGGAGAAGGAACTGGTTTGGAAAGCCTGCACTGGGCGGTCTCAGCACCCTGCTCCCTGATGCTCCAGCCCGTGTGGATGGAGGCCCCAGACATCAGCATGGCTCTGCCCACAGCCCAGACTAAGAAGCCTCTGATGCCCCGCCACGGCTTCCTGCAGCTGGTCACCACTCGGCCTCAGACAGGCAGCAGCCCTCAGCTGCCCCAGTGGGCAGCTGCTATGCCAAATACCAATTCCAACAGACCTCTGACCTCTCACGGCCAGCTCTGCCTTTACCCCAGCTCTCTTCTCCTGTCTCAGCCTCCAGTTCTGTTCAGTACGGATTTGGAAAGTCCAACATTCCGAGGGGGAGGCTGAGCCGGGGACAGGGGGCCAGAGAGTGCAGATCTAGAGGCTCAGAGCAGGGCCAGGAGAGTCGGGACAGTGACCTTCCCATCAGTCTGCTGTGGAGGGCGGGCGGGGAGTGGCGGGCAGACATTGTGGGGAGTGGCCGTGCCGGTGTGTGGGTAATGGCGGGTCTTGGTGGGCACGGCCTCCATGCCCAGAGTGGACAGGCGGTGGCATGGGCTGACCTGTCACTCACCTCCTGCAGCTGCATCCGCACCTTGTTGAAAGCTCGAAGCCAGTTAGATTTGGCCCTGGACATGGTGTCCTGACCTTCCTGACCTTCCTGCTCCTCTCGAGACCTGAAACTAAGCCCGGGAAGGCAGGCAGAGGCTCAGAAGGGCTCTGTGGGACCCCATGTTCACACTCTGCCCACCCAGTGGGCAGCCCTCTGGGGCCCACAGAACTCTCTGCATCCCAGCCTGGCCAGCGCCCTGTCCCTCAGATTTCCAGATACCTCTCTTCAGCCTTGGGGGGCTCCGTTTCCTGGGCACGCTCTGCGACTGCCATCTCTTCAGGTGTGGCTGGCTTGGGGATGCCCTTGGCCACATCGGGGGCTTCTGTGGGCACCGCTGGGACCTTGTCATCCTTCTGGGGGAAGCTGATACGCTTGAACTCTTTGGGCTCAGCTACAGTGGTGTCCTCCTGCTGGGCATAGCTAGCCAGGTCATCAGGGACCTCCTCCTCCTCCTCCAGCTCCTCCTCCAGCTCCTCCTCCTCTTCCTCCAGCTCCTCCTCCCCCTCCCCCTCCTCCTCCTCAGGCAGCTCCTCATCTTCCAAATCTTCTTCATCCTGGTCCCAGTGGGGCGAGTCCTTGTGGTAGCTCACAGAGCTGTGACAGGAGTGGTAGGAGTCCCGGTCCCTCTCATCGTCCAGCTCGGAGCCCTGCAGGCTGTGCTCATCCGGGTCGAAATCCTCACTCAGCTGTGAACTTCCCTGGCTCAGCTCTCCAGAGGACGCATAGCGGCTGCTGCCTGTGGGGCTGCAGAGAAGGAGTTAGACCTTGGCCACACCACCAACCGTGCACACACACCGCTTACCCAGGGTGTGTGCGACACAGCCAGAGCACCTACGGTGTGCTCGCCCCTGCTCAAGATATGTGGGCCCCACGCCAAGCCTGTGGCCAGCATTGATGAGTGCCTGCTGCTGGGATACGGGTCACACATCTGCCCACCGTGGACTGAGCGCTTACTGGGGGCTCGTTCTTTTCTGCTCCAGGGACACGGACCCGCAGTGACCCACACATGTGCTTATCGTGTATGAAGCACCTGCTGTGTGTTCTTTAAGACACTGAGAACACGGGCCACATCACCTAGACACCTGCTTGGCGTGAACTGAACCTGTAGTGTGCCCGTTCCCGTCCCAAGAAGCACTCACTTGGCCAGGACAGCCAGAGTCTTCCTCTCCTGGACAGATTCCGTCATCTCAACAATCCCAGCCTCGGTACCCACTCCATTCCTCTCCTGGACAGATCCAGTGATTTCAACAATCCCAGCCTCGGTACCCACTCCCTTCCCCCGACTCTCTTGCCATGCCCAGTCTTGTATTATAAGCTGCTAATATTTGCCCTGGGTTATCCCAGACACAGCCTGACCCTGCCTGTGGCCAATCACTCAGCTGTCGAGCACTCATTCAGTCATTCAAAATATTTTTTTTCTAGACAGGGTTTCTCTGTGGCTTTGGAGGCTGTCCTGGAACTCGCTCTGTAGACCAGGCTGGTCTCAAACTCACAGAGATCCGCCTGCCTCTGCCTCCCGAGTGCTGGGATTAAAGGCGTGCACCACCACCCGGCCTCCCCAAATCTATTGCTCCTCATCTTAAATACTGCTGGGGTCTCTTCCCTAGCTATCCCTGGGAGTGCCGCTGTAATACGAGAACCCCTTTAACTCCTGTTTGTCAGTCGGGAGTATTAGCTACATTTCATTTGAGAGCTGGAGACTGGCTAGGCCTGGATGTTAACCAGGGGCGACACGCACACTCCCCCTAGTGTTGAGGCTCTAAACTGCACTACAGGGAGAAGCGGAGGAGAGGGGACCCATCCTCAGGCTTGCTCCCTCTGCTCCCACTAAGGGTGGTGGGACTTGGTGGCACCAAGTTTCTTTCCACCCCCTCCATTCCAACGCATGCCCCGGCCCCTCACCTCCCTCCAGTCACCCAGGGGCCTCCTGCTTGAGCGCCCCCTGGCGGCCACACTACACTGCTCTTTGCCGGACCCGTCCCTGATGGAAGCCTTCTTGGATTTGAGGGACACTCCAACTCTGTCCTCCAGAGAGCCCTCCCGACGTCCCTGACCCAATCGAGTGCTGACCCCACAGCAAGTCCCGGTGCCAGACCAGGTCTCAGAAGACAGGCGGATCCTGCCCATCCCTCTTCTAGAAAGCCCTTTAGTCCTTCATTGCCTGCCCACAGCGACGCTCTGCGGGCTCCCGCACGCTGTTCACCTTCCATCGCTCTCAGAGAGCCTCACGAGATTCTACCGGAGGTGTGTAGAAAAGGAGAGAATGCTTGCGGCTCGTTGGTGGAGCGCCTGCTTAGCATGCTCAAGGCCTTGGCCTCCATCCCTAGCATGGTATAAACCGGAAGTGGCGCGCCCTGTTATTGCAGGCAGCACCTGGAGGCAAAGGCCGGGAGCACACATAGTCAGAATGCTTTAAATGGGGCAAGCACGAAGAGTGAGAAGGGGCCTTGCTCCGTTTGGCTTAGTTCTTCAAGACAGGAGTTGTCTGTGTAGCCCAGGCTGGCCCCTGCCTCCCAAGTGCTGGGGTTAAAAGTGTGTGCCACCAGTGCCCAGGTTGTTTTGGGTTTTTTTGAGACAGGGTTCACGTAGCCCAGGCTGGCCTCCAGCTCCCAACGTAACCAGAATAGCTGTGAACTTCCGATTCCCTGGCCTCCCTCCATCTTAAACAAAAGGCTCCAGCGCTAAAGAAAGCACCAAGGGCCAGCGAGAAGGCTCAGGGACACAGGCGCTTGCCACCAAGCCTGGTGACCTGGGTTCAATGCCCAGGACCCACAAAGGAGCCAGAGAGCCCACAGATTGTTGGATGACACACCCCCACAGCACACCCCCAAACCAAAGAATCAAATGTAAATAAATTGCTCCGTGAGATGGGTCCAACTCGACCCAGGCAGGACCCACAGCCACCTGAGCGCCCGCGGCTCTGAGAACTCCTCGTAACTGTGCATGGAGTCGCTGTAGGACTCCCGGGACCCAAGAGGCGGTGGGCGCACGGAGTACTGGTGCACAGAGGCGTTGGGCTGTGACGTCGTGTAGTAGGGGGGGCGGGATGCTGTTGCTCGTCTCACTGCGGTAGTCACTGTCCCGGTCATCCACCGCACTGTCGGGGTCCTCATCTGCAGGAGACAGGATGGGCACACAGTGCGGCTAAGCCAACCTCCCAGGCTGGGGCATCTTCACCCTCCCCACCCCCCCCACCCGTGTGAGGGCTGCGGAGCTCCGGGGGACAGTGCTCCATCTGGGAGGGCAGGGGACCCACCGCGTCATCTGGAGGATGGGGCCCTGGCATCAGCATGGCCTGAGCAACGGTGGGGATTCCTCTAACAACCTGGGCATGGACGCCTCAGGCTCACTTCTTAGTGTAGGGCGCCCTCTAGCCGGACAAATGTCCCCGGCACTCCGGACAGTTTGCCGCACTCACCCAAGCACCCGCCGAGTTATCTGGCTTTTGTCTTTGGTTAACGGGACTTTCTTTGGCCCAGACTCATAAACCAGTTCGATATTCTCAGCTCAAACTGCGCAGCTCTCTCCCAGTAATGATTTTTTTAAGACAGGAAAGCCAGGGGCTGGAGAGATGGCTCAGAGGTTGAGAACACTGACTGCTCTTCCAGAGGCTCTGAGTTCAGTTCCCAGCAACCACATGGTGGCTCACAAACATCTGTAATGATATCTGGTGGCCTCATCTGATGTGTCAGCATACATGCAGACAGAACACTGCATACATAATAAATTAATTAATTAATAAAGCTTAAAAAAGACAGGAAAGCCATCTCGGTTGGAGTCTGTGCTTGTTTATCAATTGTTCATAAAATTATTGCATCCCATTTATTCATTGTGAGGCACACATGACAGCGTCTGCATGGAGGCCAGAGGGGTAGCTACTACAGGAGCCGGTTCTCACCTTCTAACATGGGGTCGAACTCAGGTCTTGGCTGCAAGCGCCTTTTACCTGCTGAACCATCTCGCCTGCCCCAACATATGGTTTTTGACCAAACTTCCTGCAGCTATCTCCACCATTTCCAGTCACTTGGAGATAACCATCTGCTTTGGATCCCATTAGCTTCCCCTTGACCCAGCAACACCTGCCAGACGGAGTTTTTAACCAGAAGCATTTGTGCTTTGGACGTCTGGTGCTGAAACCGGGGCCTCGTGCGTGTTGAACTGTTGTTAGAGACAAGGGCGGGGTGACTTTCCATCCCCAGGGTGTGTTGCCTTAGGGAACACAGCCCTGGGATTACTGCATGGCTGCTGTTTATGCCTGGCCCACGTTTGTGACATGGGGGCACTTCCAGGGTGAAAAGGGAAACAGAGGCAGAAGTATAGGGTGCGGTCATATGTGGAGGCAGGCGGGGTTCCAGTTAAGTCCCCACTTCATTCTCTTCATTCTATGCCGTGCGCAGCTAGACACCCTACGTCTGACCCCACTGTGCCCCACAATGCCTTGTGCAGTGCAATAAGTACATAGGGGTCCCCCAGGCACCTGTGTCCCTTGGGGTCTTGGACTCGGTTACTTACTCTGCTCTCCCCAGCCAAAGTAGTTCCAGTTACCTAGGAGAGAACAAATGGAGGCACTAGAGCCACGCCCCTCACCCCAGCCTCCCACTCTGCCACCTTGGGGCGGGGCAGGCTGCCCTGGGCTTCAGGCGGTCATCCCGGTAACTCCCCATGTCCCCCACATCGTCCCCAGCATAGAGATGCTCAGAATACAGCCTCCCCGCCCCCGCCTGAGGGGGTGGGGTGGGGTCTTTCACCCATTCCTGGACTCCCCAGCCAGGCTGAGCCAGGCAGGTCAGTGAGCCCCAGGGGTCCTCCCGCCTCCACGCCCCAGCACCACGCCCAGCTTTGGCAGGGCATTGGGTATTCGAACTCGGGCCCCGTGCTTTGTAACAAACCCTTTACTTGCTGAGTGAGTCATCTCCCCAGCCCTAGAGCATTCGGCTTTCTGTCCATTTTCTCCCTTGGGAACACCAACTTCACATAAGTCTTGTCACATTTACTTGTTTTGGCTCAGAGAGGGTGAGTGAGCAGCTTGAAGCCACACAGCCTCCACTGGCAAGGCCAGAGGCACATGTTCTCCAGCACTCCACAACTCAGAAAAGACTGGGAGGTCACGAGGCCACCCCCTCAGGGACACTCAGGGTGGACAGTGGTGGTCATGTCCTGGTTTAACCCTGCACTGTCCTCAGTTTGCTGGCCTAGGCTTCACGCCTCCTGCAGCCCCCAGGCTCTGCTCCTCCAGGCTCCTCCCCACTGTCCTGGGCTCTTTTTTTTTTTTTTCCGAGACAGGGTTTCTCTGTATTGTTTTGGAGGCTGTCCTGGAACTCGCTCTGTAGACCAGGCTGGCCTCGAACTCACAGAGATCCGCCTGCCTCTGCCTCCCCAGTGCTGGGATTAAAGGCGTGTGCCACCACCGCCCAGCTTGTCCTGGGCTCTTGAGGGAGTGGGGGACACTGAGGAGAGGGAGGGGAGCAGATGGAGGAGGCAGCTAGAAGATGATATGGGCCTGTGACTACTGAGAACTCCAAAGGAAGGGACGCCTCAGTGCCCGGGGACCTGAGGGACTCGAGCCCTGGGCAGGACCAGCCTGCCACCACAGGGAGGAACCCTCTGTGACTAAGAGGCACCGTGCAGCCCAGCGGCTCAGAAAGCTGAGGCAGGGGCATGGCCAGAGCCCAGGGCTTCAGGTCAGTCGGGGTGACACGGGAGTCGCGGCATCCCCAAGGCAGCGACAGCAGACGTGGTGGCCCGCAGCCCCAGACCCATGTGCGGCTTGGCCCTGGCTGCCACTTTCCCAGGCCATCGAGGCAGCCACCAGCCGCTGTCGGCCATCTGCTGTGCGGCCTGCCCCAAGGTGCCACCCTCTAGACAGGACGGTGACTGTCATGTCACGGGAGAGAGACACTCACAACACTGGCTGCTGGGCACGGGCAGTGGCTTGTCCGGCTGGTCCTGGAAGGAGTACTGGGGAGAGGACAGTGAGTCAGGGGACAGCAGGGACACGGGCTTGCCCCAACAAGTCCACTTACAGCAGACTTTGTGTGCCCATGGAGCAGGATGGGGAGACAGAGAGACGGAAGAGACAGAGACAGATTCTAAGGAGGAGCAGGCAGTGGCTGGTGAACCCTCGCATGCCCCCCCCAAGACACCGAGTGGGTCTCAGCTGTGGACTGGGACACTCTGAGCACAGAGGATAGTTCAGACGGCCAGCGGGGGCTGGCAGGGAAAATGGGGCATTCCAGATTGTCCCCGTGTCCCTGAGAGGTTGAGGTGACCAGACTTCCCGTGTTGGACTCTGAACCTCACATGCCCCAGTGCGCTGGGCTCTGGGCCATCGGAAGCCAGCTACAGGGACAGGCAGAGCAGGGACAGACACTGCTGGGCGCACACCTCGTCCTGGTCACGCATGGCGTTCAGCTGCTCCAGCTTCTTGGCCCAGTATCGAGCCTCCTCCTCAGGGATGTCTGAGAGCAAAACCACCATGTCCTGGACACCAGGGACCCCGGCCTCCTTCCCTCAGGCCCTGGCTGGATGGTGTGGGGAGCAGCCCGGGGAACCCCAGGAAAGCACCCCTGAAGGCCATGGCCTCTACCATCTCTGTCCCCGTGAGTGGATGCTGTGGTCTCGGGTCAGGCGATGGGCTAGGACTCACCCAAGGGCAGCTCAAAATGTGCGTCTAGCAGGATACGGTGGAAAGTGGGGTCCTTGGTCCCACAGATCTCGCTGTCTGCCATGATGGCCTGAGAGTCCAGCGTCAGCCACTCTCCTGGGCCCTCCTGTCATTGGCAAAGGCACGGGACCAGGGTCAGAGGCCCCAGGGATGGGAACAGTCCAAACTCTGGCCGCTGCGCACTGGCCCCTCTCCCGGTGACCTCCTCCTCCCCGTCACAGGTGACGGCTTTGCAGCTCAGGTTCCCGGCCCCCTCAGGAAATTGCCTGAGGAAATGAGACCCCACTGTTCTGGTACATGACACTCTGGCCCTCAGTTTCTTTATTGCTCATATGATGAGTCTTCCGTGAAGAACTCCTTCTGCTTCCCAGGGCACCAGGATACCCTCACCCCGTGGACCACTGAGATCTGGCTCTGGCTTTCATGGATGCTGTATCTACTCCTCCCTTACTCACTCATTTATTGATTAGTTAAAAGCAAAAACAAATATGTCCTGGTGTCTTGTCGATGCAGGGTCTACCTTAGGTGGTGCTGGAGTCCCCAGGAGGTCCCGGTCACTAGCCTAGCTCCTGAAGAGCCCACAGTCCAGGGACACAGACTTCCCAGGCCATGGAGGCCAGGAAAGAGCGGTTTGGACCTTTAGCCGAGACTAAATTCCTGGCTGGGATGCAGATGCAATGGGGAACCTCCAGAGACTTGCTAGGTGGTGACCCAAACTGAGGACTGTCAGGGAGGAGTCAGGTCTCTCTCTAGACCACCCTCCCCCACCTGTCACTCACTTCACTGGATTGGCGGATGGTCCGCAGCGGGATCCACACAGTGCCCACCATCGTGTCCCAGATGAGACCCTTGTTCCACACCTCCACCGTCAGGCCCAGATCCAGGCGGTTGATCTCACTGTGCGCAGGAGAGGGGGACGGGGGGGGGGGGCAGTGGGAAGGGGGAGGGAGGCTCAGAGAGTTCAGGGAACTGGCCTGAAGACACACAGTAGCTGGGCCTGGAGGAGCCCAAGTGCCATGAGAGGCAACACTCTGGCTTCATTCCGTGGGGGGAAACTGAGGCCCCGGGAAAGACTGTCACGGGCAGCGGAGTTGCATCCAGCAGGGAGGAACCGGGGACAGAAGGGACCGTCATACCCTCTGTCTTCCACACCTCCAAGGCGGCTTCTGCCCAGATCCTCGCATGGTTAACTTGGGGTTAGTCATGCCTGAGTCCACGCACTGGCCAACCCTGTGCCGAGTAACTTTTCTGGGCCTCCTTTTCCTCATCCACAAAATGAAACTTACCGCAGAGACCCCCTCAGGGTGATGGACACCGTTGATTTAAAAAAATAAAAACTCACAGAGTGGGGCACAGCCTGGTCGCCAGGCATCAGAACAGGTGTGTTGGTGTACACCGGTAATGTCACCACTCAGGGGGCTGAGGCAGGAGGATCAGGTTTGGGGTCATCTTTAGCCATACAGTGAGGCCAGCCTGGGCTACGTGAGCTGAAGGGCGGGTGCAGGTATTCAGCAGCAAGTTTGCAGGAGCCACTAGCCCCTGGGGCAGAGTCGGGAGAGAAGGGAGCAGCTTGGCAGGGGGTGGGGAAGGTGTCCCAGAGGGGGCGGCCAGCTGGCGGGAGGGGCGCTGACTGCAAGTGAAGGAGCTCCCGGGCTGGGAGAGCAGGGGCATTTCATTTAAACACGCTGAGGAGGCCTCCTACTACCTAGAGGGAGCAGGCTGAGGGTTGGGGGAAAGGGAGGGCGGAGGGGCAGGAGCAGGGATGGGGCCGAGGGACGTGGAAATGCGGTGGACGGGGCAGTGAGTGGGTGGGCGGGGCCTGGCTGAGGACGGTGGGCGTGGAGTAGTGAGTGGGCGTGCCAGGGCGTGGCTTCATGCTGAAAGAGGAGTCTGGGCCTGGAGCGTGACCTCACTGGGTGGGGGCTGCACCAGCGGTGTCGGGGTGCCTGCTTGGGGAGGGCCTAAGGAGGGCAGCCTGTTGGGGGTAGGGTCTCTGAGGCCTAGGGCGGGGCTTGTTGAGGTGGGGCTTGTTTGGATTTGACGTGTGGGGGTCTGGGTGAGGCCTGGAGGTGTGGTCTATGGGGGTGTGGTGGTGGGCGTGGAGAGAGGAGATGGAGACTGGGGCCCCTCCAATGGGTGTTGTGGGCGGGACCAAGGGTCGTGCCTGAAATGGCCTGTGATGGGCAGGATTATTGTGGGTGGCTGGGGTGTGGGTGGAGCCTTCGGTGGGCTGGCCTGACGAGGGTAGGCGGAGCCTGCGGTGGGACAGAGTCGGCCTGAATGGGGTCTGTTTGTGGGAGCCATGGGGACGCCAGGCTGGAGGGCGGGGCTGTGGGCGAGTTCCTGTTTTGAGTTGGGCGAGTTTTGTGGGCGGGACCTGTCACGGAGGGACTGTGGTGGGAGGGACTTTTCAGCGGGTGGGGCTGATGTGGGCGGGGTTTCTGGATGAAGCGGCCTATTGTGGGCGGGCCTTGGATGGGCGTGGCCGAGGAGGGCGGGGCTTCACACTCACAACATGAAGTCCTGCTCCCAGCTGGGCTGGCTGCCTCGCACAGCAATGGTGGTGCTCTTCACGTTCTGCACCTTCAGGGTCACGTATGTGTTGAACTTCTCTGCAGCGGAGAGTGGGGCAATGGCCGGCTGTCCCCTCTCAGGTCCGTGTGCTCACTCAACCCCAATGGTGGACCAGCAAGCCCGGGGCCCAGAATTGCCGGTTACCATCCATTCTTACAATTACACAGGGAAAGTGGAGGCCAAGTGTAAGGAGTCTGATTTTCAGCTGGGGAGACTGAGGCCCCAGGAGGGACTGACAATCCATGCAGGAGGCTGGCCTCAGCTACAGAATGAACTCCAAGCTAGCTTAGCCAATTAGTGAGACCCTGTCTTTAAACATAGAGACGGACAGCTAGAGCTGGAGTTCGGGGTGGGCGGTGTCCAGGCCTTGGTTTCCACGTGTATCCCAGGCACTCCCTGGCCCTGGGTCCCTCCCCAGGAGGATCTCTGGCCTGCTTGGGGACAAAGCTTACACTTGAGATGAGCCTGCCCTCTGCATGGTAACAGGTGCCGATCACCCTCCTCAGGCCCAGGACACCAGACAAGAACAGACAGGGTGACAGGTGACGGGGACAGTGCAGACAGCCAGGACAGGACACTTACCTTGGGCACCGTCAAACTTGGCTTTTTTGACTGTGAAGAGATAGGATCGAGCAGCAAGGTGTGGGGAGGAGGAAGAGCGGATGCAGAGATTAAGACAAAGATAGAGCCAGATAGGCAGGAGAGTGAGACATGGGAGAGAGAGATGGAGGGGAGAATTCACAAGAGGTGCCAGGGGCAGGAGGGGGAGCAGAGGAAAGAGGACAGGAAAGAGGAGGAGGGAAGAGAGGATGGGGAGGAGGGAAGAGAGGGTAGGGAGGAGGGGAAGGGAGGAGGGAAGAGAGGGTGGGGAGGAGGGGAAGGGAGGAGGGAAGAGAAGAAGGGAAGGAGGGGAAGAGAGGATGGGGAGGAGGGGAAGAGAGGGTAGGGAGGAGGGGAAGAGAGGAGGGAAGAGAGGGTGGGGAGGAGGGGAAGGGAGGAGGGAAGAGAGGAAGGGGAGGAGGGGAAGGGAGGAGGGAAGAGAGGAAGGGGAGGAGGGGAAGGGAGGAGGGAAGAGAGGAAGGGGAGGAGGGAAGAGAGGAGGGAAGAGAGGGTGGGGAGGAGGGGAAGGGAGGAGGGAAGAGAGGGTAGGGAGGAGGAGTAGATGGAGGAGGTGGATAAGAAGGGGGAGGAGGAGGGACAGGAGGAGGGAGAAGGAAAAAGGTCATCAGATAGACCGGAGCAGAAAGTGTCTGGCCCATGGGCACAACCCTCCCCTTCCCCGGGCTCCGTGCGGTCCCTTCACTCCAACTCCAACAGAGCTGGAACTGGGGAGGTGACAGGATGCCTCCCCTCAGAGGCCTTCCAGGGCGACATGGACATGTGGGGGTTCCCGGACATTCCCTGTGACCTGCAGTGTCAGAGGCCCTGACTTAGTCGTTACCTGGATGCTCAGTACTCCAAATCCTGGTGGAGGCAGAGCCCATGGACAGACAACCCTCCCTTTCCCTTCCCTTCTGGGGTGTTTGTAGGCAAACCCAAAACAGGGACAATACTATGCTTAGAAAGCCAGGCTCTCCTGTCTTCCCAGGCCCCGCCTGCCCTTGCTCCCAGAGACCATCAACACAGCTGGCTCCTGGTGACACTGTGGACACTTGTGCACATGACCATTTTTTGCTTCAAAAATAAAATCCCACACCCCCATTCCAAACCTTGAGGTCCTTGGTATGTGAGCTCCTATGCTATCACCAAGTCCCTGCTGGAAAACCCAGTTCGTAAATGCCAGGAAATTTGATGCTGAGCCTAGCACACCTGGGACCGTGGCCATGGAGCGTGGCTGGACACCGGGGAAGGGAAGGGACACTCAGGGCAGTGCAGGAAGGAGGGAAGGACCACATTTCATCCCTGTGCTGCGTGACCAGCAGCAGTGAGGGAGAGCTCTCTGAGCCTTCATCCTCCCTCACTTCCTCCTTAGCTCCTAGACTTCCTGGCTCACTTCCTCCTTAGCTCCTAGACTTCCTGGCTCAGGTCTCCCGCACTTCATCCTCTTTCTTCTCCTCCTCTTCTCCCTCCCCCTCCTCCTCTACCCCCCCTGCACGTTCCCCTCCCCCCTCATGCTCCCCTCCCCCCATGATCCTTAGCCCCTGTACTTGGGTCTCTGTGGCTGGAGGATGAAGGCATTGCCCCCATCCCCAACCCCCATGCTGGCTGGAGACCTGAGGCTCTGACAGCCCAGACCTGGAGACCCAGGACGTGGGCGGGGAGTCTGCAGAGCGGAGGAGGGGAGGGGAGAGCGGTGGTGGGGAAGAGCCAGGGGGAGGTGGTTGGGAGAGAGATCTGGAGCTGTGTCTCTTTCTGGGAGGGGAATAGAGTCTGAGGGATAAAAGTGTCAAAAGTGTTTGGGGAAGCTTTGGGGTCTCTTGCAAGGAGTCTGGGTGTCTGGGGGATTAGAAGTACCTGAGGAAGGGGAGGGTGGGGGAGGGTGTCAGGGATGAGGGGGAGGGTGTCTGGGGAAGAGGGAGAAGATATCTTGGGAGAGGCTGAGAGAGGGTTCTGGAGGGAGGGGAAGGTGTATGGGGGAGGGAAAAGGTCAGGGAGGCAGAGGGTATCTGGGGAAGGGAGAGGGTGTCTGGGGGAGGGGAGGGTGTCTAGGGGTGTCTGGGGAAGGGAGAGGGTGGGGGAGGGTGTCAGGGGTGAAGGGGAGGGTTCTGGAGAAGGAAATGGTGCATGGGTGAGGGAAAGGGTGTCTGGGGAGGAGGAAGGTGTCTGTGGGATGGAGAGGGTGTCTCAGGGAGGAGAAGGTGCCTGGGGAGGAGGGAAGGTGTCAGCTGAGAGGAAGGGTTCCTGGGGGAGGGGGGAGGGTGCCTGGGGGAGGGGAGGGTGCCTGGGGGAGGGGGAGGGTGCCTGGGGGAGGGGGCGGGTGCCTGGGGGAGGGGGAGGGTGCCTGGGGGAGGGGGAGGGTGACTGGGGGAGGGGAAGGTGCCTGGGGGAGGGGGAGGGTGCTGGGGGAGGGAAGTGGGTCTGGGGTAAGGAAGGGGAGTCTGGGGACCCAGGCTGGGGCAGGCTAACACCACTGCTGTCTGTGTGTCCCCTCATCACTCCCGAGTCACCCCCACATCACATCCGCCACCTCTCAGCTTCGTGCTGGGGTCAGCGGAAGCGCCTCATATGCCCAGCTATTTATAGCGCTCAGCAAGACCTCAGCGCCTCTGGGAATTCAGGTCCCGCCTCTCCGTGGCCTCAGTTTCCCTGCCTGGGCAGGGCAGAGGCGGAACTGCCCTCCCTAGGGCCACTTGTCACCGCAC